TGGATGAAGCCCCATTTTCTTGCTGTTTAAGCCCAGAATGGCAGATTTCTATGGCAACTGCTGGCTCAGCAGAAAGGCTGAAAAGACTAAAGCTAATGAACTGAAACTTCCAAACTCTGATTTGCTTTTGCTTTTTAAATAAAATGGGGGAGAATCCTGGCTCGAAAGGCAGCAATAGGTAGACTCTTGACCTGTCTGCAAGTTGACCTTCCCCTCCTTCCAACCCTTTTCTGTTTGTGTGAGGAGATGCGAGGAGCTCTTATCTGAGCACCATCAACTTTCCTGTGAATGATTGTGGTGCTGAGGCCTGTTGGCCTCTGCCTGTCAGGTTTGCTTGAGAGTAAAAACGTGAGTTCTCTTGGCACCTGGGGTCTGACACTGACTCAGAGAAAGAAAATAATGTGGCCAGCTGGACCCTCTGATAGAGAATGTGGGATCTAGCAGGAGGTGATTTTTGCAGGAGCGATGGGGAGTTGAGCATATCACCTGTAAAGATGTGACTGCATTATGGCAGAAGCTGTGTTCCTGCATACACACAGTCCATTGAAAGCACGTTGCTCCCCCCAAAGAATCTTGGGAACTGTAGTTTTGGAAGGGTGCTGGGAACTAGCTCTGGGCAGGGTGAACTAAAGTTCCCCAAATTCTTTGGGGGAATGTAGGCTCTGTGTGTTGGGCAGGGGAAAGAATTGTTCCCTGGATACAACTGGCTCTGTGTTGGTGTGTGGGGCTGAGCTGACCCACAGGCCTTGAGAAAGCAGTGACTTTGGTATCTAGCAAATGCGATCACTACCAAAATGTGTGACCCTTCGTTTTTCCAGCTTAGGGGGTAGGTTTGATGCAGATGGTCTGTTGTTGTTTTTTTAACCCCCCAGTACATAACTCCACACACAAAGAAGCTACGTTGGCTTGAAGTGGGTGTAAAAACACTAAAAGGTTTCTGTTCTTAAAATAATGGACACATCTATTGCTCCTGCCTGCCTTCTTACATAAAACTGGCCCAGGGGGTGGCCCTGTCCATTGGCTTACTCCTCTTCCTCTGGCTCAGTTTCCCCCTTGTCAAATTCAGCAGCAGGGAGGAGGGGGACAGAACTAGTTGGCCCAGCCTGTCTTTGGCTCTAGCGCCCCCTGCTGTTGGGCTCCCTGCCTTCCGCCCTACCAGTCTCAATGGGCACCAGCCATCACTTCTGATGGGAGATTAGTGCCAAGGAGGAAATGACTGCGTCAAGTGTGGTTTCTTTCAACCGCCCGGCTCCTCTCCGCATTAATCGGACAGGTGGGCAACTCTGCCCGTCGTCATCTTAAGGCCTCCGAGGTGAGAGCATGAGTTGTGAATAGTGTAGATTTGACATTTAGAAGAAAACAACACCAACCTGAAAGCTTGCTTGTATCATGGAGATTATTTTAAAACAAAAAGCGAAACTTGATTTCTAATGAACTATTAACACAACTTTGATGTAAGTTTTATCCCACTTGGGGTTCAAAAAAAGCATCTTGAATGTATAATCTTCCTCTTCCTCCTCCTGACTTGTAAGCCGTAAGCATGGCTTATTCTGCCAGTGGGGCTGTTCTATTTATTAATTTGTATAATTAACTTCCTTCCTCCTCTTGCGTTCATGGCTTTTTAGTCTGGGTCTGAAGCTAGGGTCTCCCTGTCCCTGCCTAACCCCCTCCCCATTTAAATAAAATCCCATTTTGTACATTACAATTATGACATTTTCAATATTTTTCAACGCAATCCTCCTGTCTTGTTTTTATTTCATCATTCCCAGTTTGAACCTTACTCTGCAAGCTATCTGGTCATTATCTCTGACCATTGGCTCTCCTACCCCCCTAAATAGACCATCAGCTGAAAGGAAGAAGGAACCGAGCAAACCCGGGTAGCAGATTTGCAAATTGAAAAGAAGATGCCCACTTGTAGTTTTGGATCACTTTGGGTTGGTAGAATGGGTTAGGCAGCAAAATGTTAAAAGGATCCCTCGGTTTTGGGAGAGAGAACTGATGGGTGCGGGAGGGAGGAGATCTTAAGGGATCGTTCTGGCTTTTGAGCATTGAAAGCAATCTTAGAATTGCAGAGTTGGAAGAGACCCCAAGAATCATCTAGTCCAACCCCCTGCAATGCGAAGTGGGGGTGATGTGGTTTATCAACCTGCCAGGGGCTGATGGGAATTGTAGCGCCAAAAAAAAATCTGGAAAAGAACCCGGTTGGCAAAAGATGGCGCCCGGGCCCACAGCAGATTTTTATTTTTTAACATATGAGTCCACACCTTCCACCCAGATTCCTTAAACACATTGGGGCAATCCCTCTCCAGAGCAGCCTGTCTTTTTGGGTGCAGAGAAGATCCAGTAGAACTGTTTTTAAACAGTGTCAGCCTGAGCTCATCCTTTGACCAAACCTCCTCCATATTGCCGTGGTTTCACAAAAGATCGAGGTGCGTTCGTTGGGCAGGACAGCTGAGTTGTAAGCTTCACAGCTTCATTATTTTGGTTTGGGGGATTTTGTTTTTTAAAAAGCTTTATCCGTAGCAAGCCAGTTGCACGCAAGTCTAAATAAGGACCAGGTTGTCCCCCGTCCCCCCCAGCCGCTTAAGGCGGAGGCTTTGCCGGGCACCGACCTTTGAGACCCAGCTAGAGGTGTGCATTTTCGCCGGCGGGCAAAGCGAGCCTCTCTCCTTGCTCTCTCTTGTACAATACTTCTCGTCAGTATTCCGGTCTTTTCTTCTGGTTCAGGCGTACACGATAGCTCATATAACCTGTATTAATTGTATAGATTGTGCATTTACAGCTGTTACCAACCAAGTTGTTTCGGGGGCAGTTGGGGAGGGGGAGGGAAATCAAGAGAACAAAAAGAGGTGATATGTAATATTTTGTTTGTAAGTATCCTTTGTATCATAGCAAAGGAAATGTTTAAAAAAAAAAAGAGCTGTAATAAAGTAATTTTAGTAGATGGCGTCTCTGCTTTGTTTGTTAACAGGTCAGTAATGCAATGCAGGAATCACAGTCCTCTGGTCAGCTGCTGCAATGCCCATCTCTGTCTACCCTCCCTCTTAAAACAGGGGTGGGGAATCTTTTACAGCCCATACAGCCAAATCTCCTGGGGGGGGGGTCACATGAGAGTGGTGGGTGGAGCCAGATGCAAAAATGGGCGGGGCAATGCATGCAAATTTTTACCTTTGCACAGTTGGTTGGTGTTTCTGCACGTGGTGTTTCTGCGTCTCCACCCCCATCGTTCTACCCGGACACTGAGGTCCATCTCCGAGGGTCTTCTGGCGGTTCCCTCACTGAGAGAAGCCAAGTCACAGGGAACCAGGCAGAGGGCCTTCTTGGTAGTGGCACCTGCCCTGTGGAACTCCCTCCCACCAGATGTCAAAGAGAACAACTACCAGACTTTTAGACATCTGAAGGCAGCCCTGTTTAGCGAAGCTTTTAATGTTTGGTGCATTACTGTATTTTAATATTGTGTTGGAAGCTGCCCAGAGTGGCTGGGGAAACCCAGCCAGATGGGTGGGGTATAAATAATAAATTATTATTATTATTATATTACACATCCCTCTTCATCCTCCAGGTAAACAAGAGTTGAAGGCAACATTTCTAGCCAGGCAATAAGCTCAACGAGGGTGCACTGCAGGGCTGGGGAGAATCCCAAGGGCCAGATAAGCTCACAAGCCAAATTTGGCCCTCGGGACACAGGCTCCCTACCCCTGCTCTTACTTATTCTCACAAGAGGGACTTGAAGCGCTTTACAGTAAAAGCAGCTAAGAAGAACATCAATAAGAATTTGAACTGTAGGTGGCAAGATAAAGGACAACCACTGTTTTCATTCAATCCTGGGCTGGGGGGCATTGTAGCAAGTTGAAATGGCAACCCCCATCTGCCCACTGCAGCCCCGTGGAAGGCTGTTCCAAATCGCAAGAGCAGGTCGGAGTAATCCAGAATTTCCCAACGACAGATAACAGATTCTTTATTATGATGCCGTCCTGGACCCGAGCAAAACAAAACCAAGCGCACTGGCAGCCAAGTATCCTAACGTACAAGTGGGTTGTAAGACAGAAATGATGTAAAATACTGCACAAGGAATACCTTAGCTAAGATATACAGCAGGATACCTTAAAACGTGTGAGTGAAGAGTTTTAAAAATCAGGAACCAGATTAAAAAAAGCTAATGTACAAGAACCGTAGCTGAACAGGACAGCTGTACCCTGGGGGAGTTTTCCTTCCATGTTAAGCAGCCAGAGGGGGAAACCTAATCACAGCCTCTGCTAATAATTTGTTCAAATCTGCAACAAGGTAGATTGGATCCCATTCAGAAGTCCTTCCTGGAGGTTTTGAGATGACAGGAGCTGCCCATTTAATTCAAAGAATGGTAGCGTTGGAAAGGGAGTCAGAGAGGCATCTAGTCCCACCTTGTTCAATGCAAGAATTGCAGAGAAAGGAAGAATGGACGAAATTTAATGATTATTTAGTTAAATACGTTAAGTTAAATTAATTGGAAAAAGCTTGCAATTACCAGTTAGGCTTAGGATTTAAATACGTAATGTGATGAATTATCATGTTTAATGCTGAATTGGGAAGATAAAATGATGTAAAGTGATTAAGTTTATAAGAATTTTGATTTGGAAAACCGTTAAAATGATATGCATTGAAATTCAACTAGGGGGATACGAGGAAGTCTCTTAACAATGTTAACAAGATTAGCTTTAATAAGGTTATGATTTATGTTTGTTTATTTGTTAGTTAATTTATTTAGTTTATTTGTTAGTTTATTTGTAAGTTTGTTGTGTTTATAACTCTGTGAAAATCAATTAAAAAAATTGAAAAAAAAGAAGAATTGCAGCGAAATTCAGCTGCCTTTATGGGCACCACAGGCAAGAACGATGTGGGCCAAATATTCTGTCGCTCCCTTTCCGCAAGGACAGAGACCCTTACATCCCTTAAAATACCCGGCTCATTTGCCCTTGAGGATTCCTGGTTGCTCCACAAGTTGTGCGCAGCCTGTTGCTCTGTCACCGTGTGTACGACCTTCGCCAGCTGAAGAGGTCGAGGCCAGGCAGGGCGGCTCCCCTGTTCCGCAGAGGGCCGCGCCGCCGGCAGCAGCGATGCTGGGCAGTGGCTGTCCTTCGGCGGGGCTTGTCCTTCACCCTCTCTTCCCCTCGGAGAAACTCCGCCAAGGTCTGCAGGTACTCCAGCACCACTGCGTTACCCCAGGAGCCTTTGGGATCTTTCCCGAGGAATCCGCAGTGTCCTCCGTGCGGACTCAGCAGCAGGAAGAAGAAAGGGTTGCTTTGGAAGAGCTCCCATGGGATTGTGTCCTCGGGAGCCCCCCGGACGGGGTCATCGGCGCTGCAGAGGCACAGGACAGGCACGGCCACCTCGTCCACGTCCCGCAGGGGATCATTGCTGGCCCAGTAGGTCTCCCAGCTCATCTTCTGCCTCCGCTGTGGGCAGAAGAGGGCAGCTTCAAAAGCTCGCAAGGAGCTGCTCCCAAGGACCCTGTCCATCTCCACCACCTTCTCCAGGGCATCGGTGTACCTGGAACACAGAGCAGCAGGTGGGGAAGTTTTTTTCAGGCTGGGCTCCGCATTTTCCAGGGGGCCACATGCCAGGGGTGAGTGGGGCCGGAAGGGAAAGCAAGCAGGGCAACAAATGCAAATTGTACCTTTGCACAAGAGGCTGATTTCTGCAAACACCCTGCTTCTCTATCCAATAGGCACCATCAAGAGTTCTACGTGGGGCTACCTTTGAAGGTGACCCGGAAACTACAACTAATCCAGAACACGGCAGCTAGACCGGTGACTGGGAGTGGCCACCAGGACCACATAACACTGGTCTTGAAAGACCTACATTGGCTCCCAGGACGTTTCCGAGCACAATTCAAAGTGTTGGTGCTGACCTTTAAAGCCCTAAACGGCCTCAGTCCAGTATCCCTGAAGGAGCGTCTCCACCCCCATCGTTCTGCCCGGACGCTGAGGTCCAGCGCGGAAATCCCTCATCGCGAGAAGTGAGGTTACAGGGAACCAGGCAGAGGGCCTTCTCGGTGGTGGCGGCGCCCGCCCTGTGGAACGCCCTCCCTTCAGATGTCAAAGAGAAAAACAACTATCTGGCATTTAGAAGACATCTGAAGGCAGCCCTGTTTAGGGAAGCTTTTAATGTTTAATAGGCTATTGTATTTTAATACTCTGTTGAAAGCCGCCCAGAGTGGCTGGGGAAACCCAGCCAGATGGGCGGGGTATAAATAATAAATTATTATTTTTTATTTATTATTACTATAAGGGGTCATTGAGATTTTTAAGCACAGAAGGCAAGCTTGCTGGGTCAGGACAGTGGCCCATCCAGTCCAACGTTCTATGCTCAAAGCCACCACCCTGATGCCTATGGGAAACCTGCAAGCAGGATTCGATCTCAAGAGCAATGTCTCGTCTGGTTTCCAGCAACTAGCATTCAGAAGAAGCATTGCCACCTCCCGCTTTGGAGGCAGGGCAGAGCCAGCATGACTAGCAGCCGTCAGCAGCCCTCTCCTCCTCCATGAATTTGTCTAATCCTCTCTCAAAGCCAACCAAGTCGGTGTCCATTGCAGCCTCCTGTGGCAGGGAGTTCCACAGCTGAACTGAAGGAGGAGTTCCTTTTGAGCTTCTCATCACTTCCCACCCCAGATCGGTTTCCCCCACACGAAAGGGGGGCACCCACACTTTGCTTTTTCAAAGAGATCTGATTAAAAGTCAGATCCTGTAAATTTAAATCTGGGCTTTGAAGACCACAAAGCCACAGCAGGAAGTGGGAAAGAGTGTCAGTCTTTTCGCTTCCTCCATCACCTCTAGGAACTGAAGGGGGGGTAGCAACCACCTTCACCACGTAACGGCCATGGGGTGGGGCAGTATGTGTGTTAGGGGGCCTTCAGGAGTTTTATGAGTGCCCCCATGTGCACCACCACCAGTTCAGGCTATTGGCATGTGGTCAGTGGACTAGGGAGACTAAGATAGTCCTCTAAATGTTCTCCTTGTGCCCAAAGCCTGGAAAGTTTCTGCCCAGGTTAGGGAGGGAGGCATGATGCTCACATGATCAACACCAGGCCATCAAGGCATCATGCTTGTGACATGTGCCCCCCCATCTCCCTCACTGGTCCCTCTGGTCCTAACTGTTCCCCTACGAAAAATGTCACCGCATACTACTGGTTCAGGCGCTATTCCCAACCCTCCAAGTGTCCCTATTTTCCAGGGGCAGTCCCGGATTTTCAGAAGCCGTCCCGGTTTCTGATTTGATCCCTTCATGTCCTGCTTTTCCTATTTTCATCAGAGAAATGTGGGAGGGCGGGCTATGCCAGAAGCTTTGGGAATACCCACCTGCTGACGCTCCTCTTCTGGGGCAGGAGGAGACTCCATTCATACAGCCAAGGGAGGCCGGCCTCAAACCAGTCCTGGGCCTTCAGAATGGGTGAGATGCAGGCAGCGCCACACAGGTAGCTGGACGAGCCGCATTCGCCCAGGTAAGAGAGCAGCAGGCCTGACCCTGACCCTTCGCTCACGGCAAACAGGGTCCTGGTGGGGTGCCGGAACTGGATGTATGCCACAGCCTCTTTCAAGTCGTCTGGGTCGCCAAAGGGCTGCAGCCTGGGGGTGGTCAGTGGGCAGCCGTTGTGCCCACGCCGGTTGAAGATGACCGGATGGTAGCCTTGCCGGAGGGCCAGTCGGCACAGCTGCTGGACGTTCCTGCTGATCGCGCCAGTGGCGTTGGGCACCACCAGGAGAACCGCTGCGTCAGTGGCTTTCCTGCCTCCGTCCACGGGTCCGGACACCCAATCCAACGCCACGATGCCCTCGTCCGCCAGTTGGAGGTGGTCCCTGGAAAACTCCAGTGGGCGATCCGGGGGCCACAGGAGCTGCACAGCAGTCTGCAGGTTTGGCCACCGCTTCCAGGACCACTGCTTGGTCTCCAGGTGGGCAGAGCGGCAGAAGCTCTTGACCAGGGCCTGAGCGAGGGCAGAGGGCTTGCAGATGAGGCGGCAGCCCCCTACAGGAGACCCCCGCTCTTCTCCCAAAGGGACTCCAGCAGCCTTGTGCTCCTCCTCTGTGAGTCCCTGTCTTCGCAGCTGCCTCTTGCCATCGGTGGATCTGCCGGGAGGAGCCTGGGGCTGACAGAACCACCAGGTGAGGAGGGCCAGAAGGATGCAGCCCACAGCCCAAAAAACCATCGTCTCTAGGCTGCTGGGGCCTCAGGCAAACACCTCACTAGAACTTGCTGAGAGTCTGGCCAGCTTTTTCTGGAGCTAACTGGTGCTTGGTTACTTAAGCAAATAATTTATTTGTCTGAGGGTTGCTGGGGGGGGGCGGGCAGGAAAGCAGGGGTGATGGGTGTTGCTCCTGCAAGTGGGTTAACCCTTCTGCTTCCAGAGCTCTTCACCTTCTGCTTCCAGAGGCCCAAAGGGGGATGATTATCCTCAGTGCTTTTTTTCCTGGGGGTATACAAAGGTATGTAGTAGCACAGGCACCTTTTTTCCTGTAAGAAAAGTACTGGTTAAAAATCTGGCACTAACTGTGAGTACCAGCACCATTTTCCCCCCAGAAGAAAAGCACTGATTATCCTGTATATTAGCTATTCCCCCTCTCTCCCAGCGTCTCCTGTTTTTGTACTCTGCCTCGTTCAGCCACAAGATCTGGGTGGCACTTTCCCCTCTGTAACCTTTGCTCCTCTGGAGGTTGCTGAATTACGACTCCCATCAGCCCCAATGGCCAGGGATGATGGGAGCTGTAGTCCATCAGCACTTATAGAACCATAGAAATGTAAGATTGGAAGAAACTCCAAGAGTCATCTAGTCTAGCAATGCAGGAATCAGAGCAAAAGAACTTCTCACGGATGAGTCTCTGGCGTCTGTTTAAAAACGTCCACTGAAGGAGAGGCAACCCACTTTTGAGGGAGTCTGTTCCACTGTCAACCAGCTCTTGCCCTCATGAAGTTCTTCCTAATGTTGACTTGGAATATCCTGTCTTGCGACAGGCCTTCATATTTGAAGACGGCTTTCACATCCCCTCTCAGTCTTTTCTCCTCCAGGCTGAGCATCCCCAGCTTCCTCAACCACTCCTCGCAAGACTCGGTCTGCAGACCCTTGGTTATCTTGGTCCTCCTCCTCCTCTGCCCACCTTCCAGCTTGTCAACATCCTTCTTAAATTGTGGCGCCCAGAACTGGACACAGGTACTCCAAGTGCTGTCTGATCAAGGCAGACTAGAGTGGCTCTATCACTTCCTTTGATCTGGACACTAGACTTCTGTGGAGGGCCAAAGGTTCTCCACACCTGACTTAAGGGAACAGGTGGCTGCTGGAGATAGCCTGGCTGCAGATGCCTGCCTTTCTTTCTTTCTTTCTTTCTTTGGCAAACTTGTACAAAATCTGGGCAAAGTTACTGCAAGCCTTATTTTTTGCTTGGTTTGGGCTTTATTCCTGTTTGGTGTCATTGCAATTGGGGCACAACTGTTCATCAGATTTCACATACATCCAATTTTTTTGCATGCAATTCACAGCTAAAAAAAAAGTACCAAAATATATTTTAGAAGTGTGTTCCCCACCCCACCCCAAATGTGCTGCTCCTAGTTGTTATCAGTGGTGATTAGTCCTGGAGGGGAAATGGGGCACTGCTCCACCAACCCCCACTTGCCCTCATCCAGTCCAGAGGGTGGCCCTATCCATCAGCTCCCCCCCCCCCTTTAGTCTCAGTGTTGTCCCTTGTAGACTTCAGCGGGGTGAGGTGGGAAGCTTGAGGACAAAACTGGAATTTGTTGTTTCTGCCTGTCATTGGCTCTGGCGCCCCCTACTGTTAAACTCCCTGCCTTCTGCCCTATCAGTCCCAATGGCAACCAGCCATCACTGGGGGAATTAGTTAGCCTTTAATTGTTCCTTGCTAATTATTCTGTTTTCAAATCAAGAGGCTGAAGACTGACGTTCCCCACGCTCCTCTCGATGTGTCCATCTGGCTGTTATGACTCAAGGCTGATCAAAGACTAACTTCCATCCATCTGGTATTCTGGAGCCTTCCTCCTCTCCAACAGTGGATGTGAAAATTAATAATCAAGACGACTGACTGCTTGGATCTAATTTTAATGCAGAGAAGTTCAAGGATGAGCATGCCACTGTTTCTAAGTAAGTAGGTAAGAAGAGCCTGCTGGATCAGGCCAAAGGGGGCCCATCTAGTCCAGCATCCTGTTCTCACAGGGGCCAAATACCCTAAAGAATCTGGATAGACTGCCTCTGGACCTGGAGGTTACATAAGAAGAGCCCAAAGAAGGCAACCTCCCAGGATTGTTTTGAGGATAAAATCCGTGTGAGCGAGGACTCTGTAAACCACGTGGAGCTCCTTGGGGCAAAGGTGGGATATAATCGTAATAAAATGAATAAAAGCAACCTCAGAAGAGCTTGCTGGCTGCCGCGTATCGGGGCAAAGGCCTGTCTAGCCCGGGATTCCTGTTCGAGCAGACAACCCGCTGCATCGTTAGCAAGCCGGCAAGTGAGACCCGAGGGCATCCGCCCTCTCCAGCGGGGAGAAATGCTTGCTTGCCCCAGCCACTGATCTCTCCGGTCCCTTCTCCTGCGTGCATTTGTCCGATTCCCCTTTCCAGCTGTTCGAGTTGGTAAAGAGGGATTTCATCAGGCGATCCGCGTTTGCGAAACGGCATTCCCTCCCGTAGCCAGCCGGCTCGCTCCTTCCCAGGCTCCGCCTTCCCGCCGAGCTTGGGGTCCGGCGCGCCAGGAACTCCGACGGCCGCCAGGCGGTGCGCTTTTACGCGCAGAGCGCACGGGACGAGCGCGAGGAGGCGGCGCCCGAGGGACCAGCCCAGCCTTCCCCGGCCCAGCCCCGCCGCCGCCGCCGCCGCCGGACCGGATGGGGGAGCCGCTGCTGCTGCTGCCGCCTCCGGGCCCCCCGATCCTGCTCTTCTTGCTCAGCCTGGCGCCCGGCGTCGAGGCGGGGAAGGTGAGGCAGAGGCGGCGCGCTCTTCTTGCGCTCTTCTCGCTCTCTTTCTGCCCCTTCGCGACCCCCTCCCTGCCAACCAAGGAGGGAGGCGCTCCTAAGTCCGCCTCCAGAGTAGACCCATTGCACCGAGATGGCCTTAAAAGTTAGTGGTAACTCGCCGCGATCTGTTGATTTCAGGGGCTGCAAAGCTCTCGGCGGCGGCTGCTTTTTTCAATCCTACGTCTGACTAGGAGAGCGGAGACTAGCGGTTCCAGAATCGGAGTCGGGCTTGGGGTGGGAGTGGGGGAGCTTGTGTGTTTTGGCCCCGAAGAGAAGGTCCTTCCGAGTCTCAGAAGGCGGTGGTCGCGAATCCTGTGAGGCTGTGGGGCACGCTCTGCACGTGCTCAGAGGCTGCTCCTAAATTCCAGCCACGCATCTTCTTGAGCAAACCCTCGATCGTCTCTCCCGCCGCCTCCCGCCGCCCAAACCTTCCGGTCTGTACGTCAGTGATCCAAGCGCTGTCATGGGTTGGGGGGTTAAGTGCACACGTTTTATAAAGTAGCAGATTAGTACGAAAACAAACTTTTGAACAAAAAACAAGTCACCACCCGGCCTGTTGGGTTGGATCCAGCGTTAGTCATACGCAGAGTAGACTCACAGGCACTAATAATGGACGTGAGTAAACTAAGAGCGTTAACATTAGTGGATCTATTCTGAATAAAACTTCCTTTCCAATGCATTGCCTGTTAATTGGGGTTCCAGAGGAGCAGATAGGACTACAGTATCAGGCTTTAAGCCTTATTAAAAACTTGGCTGAATCCTGTTTAGGTACAGACTGGCCATTAAAAGTTGCTGGCAGGACATGGTAGGAGACAGGGGTGGGCAAATAATGCCTGCTTTGGACCACTTCCATGGGGTCAGGATGCTCTCCTCTGGGCCCAATCCGTGACCTGCAGTTGGGGCTTTTGGATGCTCCTAATAAACCAGAAAGAAAGAACCGCCCCCCCCCTGCACACTTTTAAAGCAACACATTCACATTTTTCACATTTTGAGGTTGAAACATGTTGGCTCCCTCTCCTAGTCAAATTTCAAAACTCTGCACTTGGTGTGATTAGTGGCAGATAGCCTTTCCAGGGGGCCTTTTGCCCTCCCCTGGGGCCTCTGAAGGTTTTGGACCACAACTACCATCCGTGGATCTCCAGGGTCTCAGAAAGGGACCCCTTTCTCAGCCCAACCTGGAGATGCTGTTGGGGCTTGAAGCTGGGACCTTCTGCATGCAAAGCAGGAGTCCGATCACTGAGCTATGGCTCTTCCCCTAAAAATGAAACACAGGTTCTAGTCCTCATGGTTCTGGATTAAGGGCAGGATTGAAGAGGTGAGGACAAAACATAGCTTGCCTTGGAAAGGAGGGTTTGGTGAAGAAAAAGCCTGGTGTGACGAAAGAGAGATCTTTTGGGGGAGGGAAATTCTAAGTTGTTTGTTTGTTTTCTTCCTTGCAGCCCAGTTTTCAACAAGATCTCCCCTCCGAAGAGCAATATCGCTGTCGTGGGGTATCCTGGCCAATCCCTCAGCAGGTAGAAAGCTAGCTCTGAAGCCATAATCATCCGAAAATATTTTCAGGGGCATTGGTATCCCAAAATAAAACATCTGCACGCAAGGTGTCCAAATTCTCATACCCCAAGAAGCCAAATTCTCCTGCTCACACCATCAAAAATTCCAGTCAGTTTGCATGATTTTGCATAATTTATTCTGGTTTTGCAACTCATGGCAAGGAATCAAAATCTCATTCATACTACCCTCCTGTGGCTTTTGAGTGTGAATCACGTGCTTTTTAAAAAGCATATATTTGGAAGGGTCCTACTCTGATAGCCATTCCTCTGCCTTGTAAACACCTTTTAATTTAAAGAGAGGCATTTTGGTTGGAAACGGGTGAGAGTTGGAAGTTGTTCTGCCTGGTATGCTTTGACTCTGGTATCTCTCTTTGTGTATTATTTCCCCATCTCTTCCCTCTCATCTTATTCCCAGTGCTTGTTCTAGAAATTTATTTTATCTACTGATTTTGCTAGCGGGCATCGTGGTTGCTAACCCGTATATTGGCTTCTAAATGTTGTTCAGTGCCTTGGGCGTTTTATGGTGTAACAATGTTTTAGGTAAATAGGAATGTAAATAAGCTGAACTTTGCAGGAAGCTGGATTGTGTGTGCCCCATTCCAGAGTTTAAGAACCTGAGAAATGAGCCTGGCAGGATCAGGCCAAAGGGGGCCCCTCTAGTCCAGCATCTTCTTCTCACAGTGGCCAACCAGGTACCCCAAAGCCAAACCCACAAGCAAGACCTGAGCACAGCAGCAACACTCCCCACTTTGGATTCCCAGCAATTGGGATTCAGAGGCACTGACTGCCTCCGACAGAGGAAGGAGAACATAACCATTGTGGATAGTAAAAAAGGTAAAGGATCCCTGGACAGTTAGGTCCAGTCAAAGGCGACCTTGGTGTGCAGCGCCCATCTTGCTTTCAGGCCAAGGGAGCCGGCATTTGCCAACAGACAGATTTCCAGGTCATGTGGATAGCACGAATAAACCGTTTCTGGTGCAATGGGACACTGTGACGGAAACCAGAGCGCACGGGAATGCAGTTTACCTTCCCGCCGGAGCAGCACCTATTTATCTACTTGCACTTTGACGTGCTTTCGAACTTCTAGGTTGGCAGGAGCTGGGGCAGAGCAACGGGAACTCACTCCATCGCGGGGATTCGAACCGCCGACCTTCTGATTGGCAGGCCCAAGAGGCTCAGGGGTTTAGACCACAGCACCACCCATGTAGCCATCCACTTTTACCTTTACCTTGTGGACAGTAGCCATTGAGATCCCTCTTCTCTGTGAATTTGCCCCATCTTTTAAGGCCACCCTAGTTTGTGTCAACAGCACAGATTCTCAGTGTGTTTACCTTATATGTGTTGACCTGTTCTCTTCAGCCTATTAATGCATATTATTTATTTTTAAACCCTTCTGCACTGCCCTTCGCCAAACAAATTCCAGCTGCATTTGCAACGACAATTAGGTTAAAGTTCTTGATAAAAGCGGGGCAGTTAAAAGGACAAATCAGTCCAGGGGTTAATGGCGAAAGCTTGGTTTTAGTGATCGCAAATACCCAAGTGAACAAATTAGTTTCCCTCTGCCTCCAGGTACTGAAACAGCGCCTGGAGGCTTCTTTCCACAATTTTGCTGTATTTTGACCCATTCAGCTTGCATTTGGAGTGTGGGATCGGGGCCTCCAATCTGGCTTCAGACTTAATGGGGATCTGGTTCCGGGAGGATCCTATTTCTCCCCTTCTCCTTTAATTCCCAAAGCATGCAGAGGCGGGAAAAGGGTGTCCCCTGCTTCTCTCCCATTGGTCCCCACCCAAAGCCAGGGGCTCCTCCCTCCTTCCTCTGGGCCAATGAGAAATTGCCCAGGTGGCATTTCGAAGGCGGTCCCTCTCCTTCTCCCCCCTCATTCCCCACAGAGAAGCATGGGAAGGACTAGAAGCTTCCTTGTGCCAGGATTCTTGCCACCCGCTTGGGGACGAAGGAGGCATTTTGAATTCCGCTGGCAAAGGGATCGTTCCCAAGCTGATCAGGCCCCATTGATTTGCGTAAAATTGGTCCAGTAAGAACTTCAGAAAGAAGCTGGATCAGGCCAAAGGGGACCCACCTAGTCCATCCTCCTGTCCTCACAGTGGCCAAACACACCTTAAGAACCTAGCAGCCAAGATAGACTGCCTCTGAACCTGGAGGTTCCATAAGAACATAAGGAGAGCCTGCTGGATCTGTCCAAAGGGGGCCCATCTAGTCCAGCCTCCTGCCAGATGCCTCTTTGGGGAAGCCCACAAGCAAGACCTGAGCACAACAGTGCCAACTCTCCCCACTTGTGATTCCCAGCAGAGTTGGAAGGGACACCAAGGGTCATCTAGTCCAACCCCCTTAGATTTCTTTATATCCTACCTTTTTCTCCAAGTTGCTCGATGCTTTCCCACTCCTCATTTAAACCCCACAACAAACTTGTGAGGTAGGTTAAACTGAAAGGAGGCAACTGGCCCAGAGTCACCCACGGCTGAGTGGGAGGATTTGAACCCCAGTCTCCCAGGTCCTGGTCCAATACGCTAACCACTACACCATGCTGTCTGTCTGATATCCTTACTCTGTGAGCCTGGGAGAGGCTGGCTGCCAGAGGGGGCCCATAAATTCCACCATCCTCTTCTCACCGTGGCCAGCCAGATGCCCCAAGGGGATGCCAGCTTTTGGTGTGCTAGCCTGACGGTCTTCTTTATATGAAATCTCGTAACCTGCCAAGCTCAAACCCCCTGCCTTCCTTGTCTCATGTCTGCTTGTGGCACATGCATTGCCCCATGTGGCGGCTAACAGATTGAGGTTGAATCCTGACAAGACAGAAGTACTGTTTTGGGGGGACAGGGGGCAGGCGGGTATGGGGGACTCCCTGGTCCTGAATGGGGTCAATGTGCCCCTGAAGGACCAGGTGCGCAGCCTGGGAGTCATTTTGGACTCACAGCTGTCCATGGAGGCGCAGGTCAATTCTGTGTCCAGGGCAGCTCCATCTGGTACGCAGCCTGAGACCCTCCCTGCCCACAGACTGTCTCGCCAGAGTGGTGCATGCTCTGGTTATCTCCCGCTTGGACTACTGCAATGCGCTCTATGTGGGACTGCATTTGAAGGTGACCCGGAAACTACAACTAATCCAGAATGCACAGCTAGACTGGTGACTGGGGGCGGCCGCCGAGACCACATAACACCGGTCTTGAAAGACCTACATTGGCTCCCAGTACATTTCTGAGCACAATTCAAAGTGTTGGTGCTGACCTTGAAAGCCCTAAACAGCCTCGGTCCAGTATACCTGAAGGAGCGTCTCCACCTCCATCGTTCTGCCCGGACACTGAGGTCCAGCTCTGAGGGCCTTTTGGCGGTTCCCTCATTGCGAGAAGCGAGGTTACAGGGAACCAGGCAGAGGGCCTTCTCGGTAGTGGCACCCGCCCTGTGGAACGCTCTCCCATCAGATGTCAAAGAGAACAACTACCAGACTTTTAGAAGACACCCCTGTTTAGGGAAGCTTTTAATGTTTGATATATTACGGTATTTTAATATTTTGTTGGAAGCCACCCAGAGTGGCTGGGGAAGCCCAGCCAGATGGGCGGGGTATAAATAATAAATTATTATTATTATTATTATTATTATTATTATTATTACCACCACCTGCCAGTTCCAGACCAACCCCTAGACAGATGCGCTTGGAGGACTGACCATTAGGAGATATCACCCAATATCAGTAAATGGTTTGTGAGTGTCTTCATTTCTTTAAAAAGTCTTCTCTCCATAGGATGGGGGCATCGTTTTTCTCGACCACCAGTGCTCTCCCCTGTTCCTCCGCAGACAGCTGACCCTCCTGGCCCGAGCCTGCCTGCCCCACCAGGACCGAGCCCCGCATGACGGCCCCACAGGACATTGGGTGAGTGTGCTGGGCAGAGGCTGCCAGGCAAGGGAGAAGAGTCCCTGCCATTGGACCTTCAGGATTTGGGGAGCGGGAGGAGGAAACCACAGAACCGTAGTTGGGATCCGAGGGTCATCTAGTCTGACCCGCCGCAGAAATCACGGCTAAAGGGGCTGTGCTTGCTTTGGCTAAACAGCTCTTTTGCTTCGCAGCCCCTGCCGCTGGCAAAGACAGAAGCGGCCCAGGCCGTCGCTTGGCTCGAGAGCCACATGGCCCAGCAGATGTCTGAGAAGCCCCCGACAGGTGGGGAACGCTGCCGTTTCCTGAAGCGAGCATCTGCGGCAGGCGGAGGTTTATGCCCAACGCACCTGGCACAGGTGAGGTGACGGTTGCTTGGTGGCGGAAGGGGAAAAGCGCCACAGGAATCTCCTCTGATAAAACCCGGCGCCTCTTTCCCGTTCCCAGGCTTTGCGGAAGCTGCTCCAATGCTGGGAAGCCGCCCGAGGTCCCTGGAAACCGCGGAGACGGGGTAGGAAGCGCCGGGCTCTTCGCCGCCGGGCAGATGGCCTTCTGCAAGCAGATGTGGGTGGCGGAAGGCATTCCGCAATCGCCAACCCTGTGAAAGGCGCAAACGGCAGCCCGCCTCCCGTTACCCTGAGCTTGCAGGCTGAGCAAAAGGGCATTTCAGAGTCAGTAGACCTCGGCGGACAGGCCCGGCCGAGTGCGACGCCCCTGCCAGGTGGCCTTTTGGGGCAGCAGCCCCTCGTCACGCAGGACATCCGCCCCTCGCTGCCCGTCCTGCGCACCGAGGCGAGAGCGGCTGGCGGCACGGGATGCCGGTGCCCGGATGGAGGACTCGGCAAAGCGCAAGGCCACGAAGGCAGGAAGGAAGCCAGAGGGTCCCAAGCGGGGGTCCGTGTCCCCACCCCACGCACCGAAGAGGCGGCCTGGGCGGCCAGTGCCCTCACTTTCCTGCTGGTGGTGCTGACCCTCGCCATCCTTTACACCCGGCTCCACCGGAAGTGCCGCCGCGGCAGAAGCCTCTACTGGACCACGAGCACTGAGGAGGGGAGCGACACAGTGGCTGGTGAGTGGTCTGCAGGGAAGGCAGGGGGGGTCCCAGCCCTCCCCCCATGCTGTGGGGCAGGTGCAGCATATACACATATCCAGAGCACACTCAGTGCCCAATTTTAACCTCTGGGGAAATGCTGGTTGTTTACTGTAGGAACCTAAGGTTGGATAACCTGCGGAACTCCTGGCCACAAGATGAGGCCTACCCCTGCTCTGTGCTTGACCAGAGGGGTGAAGGCTTAGAGCAGAGCGGGTGGGGAAACCTTGGTTTCCTGGGTGTTGCCCGACTCCCAACTTGCAACCACTCCAGCTGGGATGCCCAGTGGGTCAGGCATGATGGGAGTCCAGCAGTGGCAGGAGATCCGCAGCTTTTCATGAGATTTTGCAGCACTTCTGGATCAGGCAAAGTCATTCTGGGGGTGAATATTCACAGTTAAATTCTAGCATAGCTGAAGGGGGTCTCTGCATTCAGGCAGCCCACCTCCCAATTACCTAGAGGTGTGGTGGGCCATCCCTCACTGGAGAAGTTCACGACAGAGGTTGCAACCATATAACACCAGTCCTGAAAGACCTACATTGGCTCCTAGGACATTTCCAAGCACAATTCAAAGTGTTGGTGCTGACCTTGAAAACCCTAAACAGCCTCGGTCCAGTATACCTGAAGGAGCATCTCCACCCCCATCGTTCTGCCCGGACGCTGAGGTCCAGTGCCAAGGGCCTTCTGGCAGTTCCCTCATTGTGAGAAGCAAAGCTACAGGGAACCAGGCAGAGGGCCTTCTCAGTGGTGGCACCCGTCCTGTGGAATGCCCTCCCATCTGATGTCAAGGAAATAAACAACTATCTGGCTTTTAGAAGACATCTGAAGGCAGCCCTGTTTAGGGAAGCTTTTAATGTTTGATCTTTTATTGCTATTATTATTAATCTGTTGGGAGCCGCCCAGAGTGGCTGGGGAAACCCAGCTAGATTGGTGGGGTATAAATAATAAATTACTACTACTACTACTACTACTACTAAGTACCTCGGGTTACAGGCGCTTCAGGTTACAGGTGCTTCAGGTTACAGACTCTGCTAACCCAGAAATAATACCTCAGGTTAAGAACTTTGCTTCAGGATGAGAAAATAAATCGCACAACGGCGGTGCAGCAGCCCCATTAGCTAAAGTTGTGCTTCAGGTTAAGAACAGTTTCAGGTTAAGAATGGACCTCCGGAACGAATTAAGTTCTTAACCTGAGGTACCACTGTAATTTGGAAACGGCCATCAGCTCATGAGGACCCAGATGCAAATTTTCATTCAACAATAGTCTTCTGTGTTTGCCACCCAGTTGTTTGATCGGTTTTATACCTGATGAGATATCTCTAGTCCTACCTTGAGATGCTGTGATTTAGACCTGGGACATTCCTGTTGCAGACTCTGCTCTGCATCCCAGCGATGTGGTCCCCTGCCTAAAATTTAATTGGGGCTGGCTGCAGTGGGGGGGGGGTGACTGCTTTGCTCGGTCCTGTGGTGAAGCGTGGAGGGTCCTCTATTACGTTTCCACATCCCCACGAACCCAGAGTCGTCAGGAGACTTGGCTCCAGGGGGTCAGCAATGGGGCTGCCCTCCCTTTTCCTACCGGCTTGCAAAGTCTTTCCACTCCTTTCTCCTTTTGCAGCTGTGATCAAGCGGCGTCTCCTCTCCGCCCAGACCAGGCGCAAGAAGCGAGGTCGGCAGCAGCAGCAGCTCCCACCCAAGGCGCCTCTTCTGCCAACGTCCACCAGCGACAGCTCGGATTAGGGACGACCCTCTTCGGTGGAGGCGTCCAGCCAAAGGCCTCCCGGAAATCTGGGCTTTGCCAACGGAGCAAAGAGGACGAGGTCGTCTGCGGGCGAAACTTTGGCGTTGCGGTGAAACAGCAGCCTGACCGTGGTCTGTTTACTCTCCGGAGGAGCTGGCTCCTTGCCTTCGTTTGTTTTTCTTACGCAATAAAATCTTTTATTTTTGCTACGAAAGCAGGATGAGGCATCCCTAAAGCAAACGGGAGGTTTGCAGATCAGGGGGAAAGGCACGCTTTGCACTGCAGGCACAGAGCCCAGTCTGTTTTGCGTGGGTCAGTTTTCTATACCCATGAGGACTAGGCGCTTGGGGTAGCGAAAACTGTCCTGTGAGCTGCATGCCGGCAGCCAGGGAAGTGCAAGTGGTAGGAAAAGGAGCCTCCCCCCTTGAAACTTTTGTTTTCATCGAATTTTATAGAAGGGGGTTGGGCTGGATGACCCCCTGGGGTCCCTTGCAGCTCTACAATTCATTGATTTTATCAAAAGTTCAAGGACACTTTCCAGCCTGGCCAAAGCACTCAAGGAGAGCGTGTGCCACCTGGGACTAGGCTGCAGAGAGAGGTGCAAAGGGCCTGCCTCCTGGCACTGACTGGCAGTCACTCACTGGGGGTATTTTTAAAGGGTTCATTTATTACATTGACGCAACACCTTTTCTTCCAAGGAACCCAAGGTGTTGTCCGGGGTTCTCCCCCTCCTCATTTAATTGCCACAACAACCCTGTGTGGTAGGCAAGGCTGAGCCAGGATCATACCCAGTGAGCTACATGGGGATAAATTTGAGCCCTGGTTTCTCGCAGGTCCTAATCCAAGGCTCTAACCATTATGCCACACTGCCTTGCACTGGTTGAGCCTGGGACCTTCTGCTCTACCGCTGGGCGATATTCCTGTCCTAGATCCAAGGAACATGCACATATTCAAAACACAGGATTCTTCCAGGACGGACAAGAGATTCAGCCGGTTCTGGGTGGGTAGGGTAACGGGTTCAAATGACCTCTATGGTGTGGCCGTTTTTAGAGGGGAGGAAATAAGTTATTCCAACGGGGCAACCCCGGGAGATGCTCACATCTTTTTATTTGTTACAAATGTACAGGACAAACAAGATTTCCAGCGCAGTGCCCAGATGCAGCCCTCCATAGCCATGTGTCTCCCCCACCCCACTCCGGTAGCCCACCCCACATTCCCTCAATGGCCTGAAAAACTTCACAGATTTCAAGGGGGCGGGGGGAACACGACTGGCCAGTGAGGGGGAAGTGGGGGAGGACTGATTCTTTGCTACGGAGGCAAAGGCAGACCCCATACTCTCCCCCCCAAAAAAAAGGAATGATGGAGGGATTGGGGGGGGGAGAGAAGTGATCCAGCCGGAGGTTTCCGGGGAGGGGGGGGGAATGATGCCCCGACCCACAGCACCTAGACGTTGTAATTCCAGTGTTAACACTATTAGGGGAGGGAACGTGGTGAGATAAATACATTTGGTGTTTATATATCTCTCTATACATATATATATATCGGTGCGTGGGCAGGTGGGTCAGGAATGGGACACATACAGTTCCACGCACTATATGGGAAGGTGGGGAGGAAGAGGAGGAGGAAGAGTAGTGTTTGCAAGGGGGGGGGGAGAGAGATTTGACTCCCTTCAGGAGGACCCCCGCCCCGCTAAAAAGGGCAGGAAAAGCTAACCTGTGGCCCTTCAGGTGTGTCTGGATGCGTCAATTCCATCTGCCTCTGGAGCCACTTGGGTCAATGGGCTGCGATTCCTGCCTTCCAGGGGGTTGGGCTACATGAACTGTGTGGCCCCTCTCCAGCTAGGGGTTCTAGACTTGAACTCGCAACCGCCCCGAGCAGACAGCACAGGCGGGGTTGATTCTGATGATGACGAACGCAATACAAGTCCAAGCCATTTGTCCACCCAGGACTGTCTGCACTGACCAGCAGCAGCCCAACAGGGGTTCAGGCAAGGTGCCTCGCTCCCAGCCCTGCCTGGAGATGCCGTTGGGGCTTGAACCTGGGACCTTCGGCATGCAAGGCGGGGGCTCTGGCCTGCTTCCTCCCGGATCTTGAACGCCACACAGTGCCAAAGGATGGGAGATGGGAATATTTACAGGGGGAGATTTCTTCACTGCGCAGGCATCCCAGCGCCATGGGGCGTGTGCCCTATAGGGCCCCGATCCTGCCCCCCCCACAAGCTGCAGTGGGGAGTGTTGATCCAACCCAGTCTGGGCAGGTGGGCTGATTGGCAGGGAGGGGGGCGGGTGAGTCGGTGGGGAAAGGACACTTTCAAGTGGCTGCACCCCCCAAAATCCTCCAGTGGGGAAGAGAGGAGCTGGGGGGCGGGGAGGAAGAGGGGCTGCACCAGCTTCGCCCCCCCGCCTGCCCGCCCTTCACTGCTTCTTCTCGCGGGTGGTGATGGTCACCAGCTGCTTGGCGGCCTTGGCGATGTCGTAGGCACACTGGATGACCTGTTGGGTCAGGAGCTGGTAGTCCACGGGGGCCCCTGGCTCCGGGGGGACCGTCTTGCGGCACTCGCTCTGCAGGCGGTAGGCGCTGGCGTTCAGCAGGCGCAAGGAGCTGCGCACCGTCTCCAGAGCCGGCTTCTGCGGAAGGAGCAGAAAGGGAGAGTGGCGTAAGACTCCCAACTCAAGTCCAGAGGTCCAGAGTTCAAGTCTAACCTCCTTATTGTGAACTCACAATGCGGCCTCCCAGCCTCACTGCTGACTAAAGGGACTTTTGTCTGGCCTACACAGCCAGTTCGGAGTAAGGGCCTGAATTAACAATACCCTTCACCAACCCAAAAACATGTGCAGAGAGCCTCAAAAGTTTGCCTGTTTGGCTTTACATTTCCAAAAGTCGTCATCATTAGGCGGTCAATTTTTAAAAAATGTATTTCCTAAAAGTTATATCCTGCTCGATCATAGGAAAACAACATCGCAGTGGTTAGACTTGTTCATCTCTGTGTGTATGTAAAAATTCAAAATAATGGGGGGGGGGGCGGTTGAAGGGAGGTGGAAGTTGGAGCCTGGCTGCTGGGGGATGGGAGAGGGTCCCATGTTGCTGCCCCCCCGGCCCTATTTTAAACTATCACTTCCTGCTTCTAAGGAGCCCCTTAAGAATATGAGAGCCTGCTGGATCAGGCCCATGGCCCACCTAGACCAGCATCCTGTTCTCACAGCGGCCAAACAGATGCCCCAGTGAAAAACCTATAAGCAGGATACGGGCAGGAGAGAAAACTCTCCCTGCACTTTCCAGCAACTGATGGTGGCCGTGCCTGCCTCCTGTGGCAGGGAGTTCCAGAGTTTAACTGCACTGCCTGAAAAAGGATTTTCCTTTGTCTGCCCCAAATCTCCCACGAGTTCTAGTGCTACGAGAGAGGAAAGTTTTTCCCGATCCACCACCTCAACGCCAGGCGTCGTTTTACAAAGTTCCACCACGCAATTTCTTGCTTGTCTTTTCTCTGCAACTTTTCCTCATAGGGGAAACTTCCCAAGCTCTGCAACATCCTTTGGGAGGTGTTACATCCTGGAAAAGCCCCTGGGAGTGGAGTCCGCTCATTTTGAGGACGTTTCCTGGGCTGGGAAGGAGATTTCCCCACCCAGGCCCCTCTCTCGGCAGAAGTGGCTCTCCCGCTCTCTCCTACCTTGGGGAAAAGCGACGCCATTTCCGTGACGGCAGCGTGAATCTTCTCCGAACAGGGGACGAAGCTGCTGGGGTTAAGAAGGGACAGAATGAGGCCCAGGCCCAGAACACTGACTCCTTTCCCCTCACCTGCGTTACAGGTCTTGCCAGTTCCCCACCCCAGTCGCAGCGTTACCCAAAGATCCCTTTAGGGGTTAAAGAAGAAAGCAAACTTTATTCAGCAGAACAATTCTGATTCCTTAAGAGCATTTGAGGGAATCTGCCGCCTCCCCAAGTCCCAGATCTGGGCACCTCTCCTTGCTAAGGAAGCGGCAAGCTCAGAGCAGGGACTCGTGCAGAGACACACAACAGGAAGATGTCCTCCAAAAGGAGCCAAATCCTGCCGCTGTCTCCCCAGCGCGAACAACTGCATGACAGCAACAGCAAAAGGTATACCAAAATGACAACCTTGCGGAGGCTGGCCAGGCGGAAGACCAGAACGGAGAATCACACAGAGATGCAGCAGGCACACTCATTTTCATTTCTCACGGCCCGTCACCCATCTGTTCCTACCCCATCTTGCCCTCCCCAGAGGATTCCTGGAGGGATTCATCCTGACCTGTCGTGCTTGAACTCCTGGGCAGCTCGGAGGAGCTCCTGGATATTCTTTGTGACCTGTTCCGTCTTGAGAATGACGTCTTCCGTGCTGGGCAGGCCCGGGTCCAGTTCGCCTTCCAGTGGTTCAGGTTCTGGGTGCAAGTCATCGTCCTTGCTGAGGTCCAGCAAGCGCTTCCCGTCCATGCTGAGAAAGGAGGGGAGAGAGAAGCAGAGTGGGTTTGGGGGCAGGGAAAGATGCTACCCTCCTGATCCCTGATGCCAACTCAGATATTGCCATCATCAAGAGCCAGGGAGGGTGCTATTTTTAGGCAGGGAAGACGGAGAGCGCCAGAAGAATCTTAATTTCTGTTTAAAGGAACAAAGTAAGCTCCTAGTCCTTATGGTGGGTGAGGGGAGAGAGAGAGAGGAAAACCACAGAAGCGTGGAGAATTGCTGAACAAGATTGTAAAGGAGAGGGGAGATATCTGAGCTGCTTACATGACCCTCACATCCCAGTTTGTCAAAACAAGGATTGCACAAGAGTCGCATAATGCTAGCAGGTTCCCTCAACGCAGAATTTGGCTTGCCGGCACCTGAGGGGTGTCTCCAATGAAACTCTACTCAGAGTAGGCCTACTGCAGAGAATGGACTTAAGCATCTGTATACATTTTCACTGGCTCTGCCCCCAGGATAACTGAACACACTGGCTGCAGCCTGGAATTCTTAGTCACTTTTGAGCCACTTTTGAGGTCTTCTCAAGCAGCTAGTCCTGTGCAAGTCCCAGAAAGGGATGCCCTGCACAGCCCTCGCCCTCACCTGAGTGGCAGATCCCCGCCCTGCGTGTTGTCATAATCGCTGTCTGTGCCGCTGCCGTGTCGGTCCAGTTTTCCAGTCTAGGAAGGGGGGGGGAAGAGAAATTGGGCAGAGTTAAAAGGGGGGGCTGGCAGCAGGCACCCCTGTTGTGTAACCAGAGCAGAGGCTTGCTTTGCATGCAGAGGGTTCCCAGGCGTCTCTAGTTTAAAGGAACTGCAAGAGCTGCTGCCGGTCAGAGCAGGCAATACTGAGCTAGGTGGACAAAGAGTCCAGCCAGGCAGGGAGTGGGTGGAGCCCCCTATTTTGCGTGCAGAAGGTTCTGCGTTGAATCCCCGCCATTGCTGAATAAAAGGTGGCAGGGCTAGGAAAGGAAACACACACACACACCCTGATGAGACCCGGCATAGCTGCTGCCGGTCAGAGCAGACAGCATTGAGCTAGATGGGCAAAGAGTCTGATCTGCAATAAAAAGGAAGCTTCAGACACTCCCAACCCCAAAAACAGAAATGTCATAAGTCACCATGTGACGTCCGCTCTCCGGGGCGCAGGACAAGAGGGGAGAAGACTGGGGGAATGGCATTGAGGAGATGGAGCCGCCTTTCCGCATCTGAAAGGGAGAGGGCAGGAGGCAGCCGTTAGGCAAACGCAGAGAGACCGGACTCCGATGGGCGGAGGGATCACTTGGCAGAAGGCCAGGAGATTTTCTTTTCATGTCTTCTGTCTGGGTGCGGCCCCCGGCCCCCAGTAGCAGCCCAGAAGGAGCGAGATATATTGGTTTTTATGCACTTTTTCCAGCATATCATCCTTTTCAAAAAATTTGGCTATCACAGCCTAGGACTCCCTTCAACCTCGACTGATGGTTTTCTAAAGTCTTTTCTAATTGTGCATCTTGTTACTATAATTATTGCTACAAATTCATATCTTAAATATAACTATTCTGAATTCTCTTCACAATGATTTATATAATACTCCCTACAAAACTTCTTTTAACCCGACAAGGGATGTTAATTGGTTACAATTGCTTTCCAAATATATCAAACCTCTTCCATTAGGAAAGTCTGGTCCTGCCGGTTCCGAATTTTCCCAGCTAGTCTCGCCATCTCGGCATAGTTCATCAGTTTCTCTTGCCAAGGAGATTTTATTTTCAAGCCTTCTGGGTGACCCACTTTGATCCATGGAACTGTCCCTGTTGCAGGGGCCACAAAACTCTCCTTCCACATGTGTAAGAAACCCATTTTTGCGTGTGGCAGTGCCTACACTTTGGAACTCCCTGCCAATTGATAATCAGGCAGGTATATGCTCTTTTGGGCACCTGATGAAAACATTTTCAACATTAGACAAGCCTACCCACATATTTAGAAACTGGTGTGAGTTCTAATCTGTTTTAATAAGTCTATTTTTATTGTAACTTTTTAAAAGCCTTAATTTTTAAATTTAATTCTTCTTACCAATAATTTTTTCGTTTTATCTTTTTTTTGTAAACCGCTTCAATGTTTCTTTCCTCCCCACTCCACCCCCCGCCCGGTAGTCAAGCAGCGTATAATTTTCATAAAATAAATTTTAAAAAATGGCAACATTCGCCAACCTGGTGCTGCTTTGGACTACAACTCCCATCAGCCCCTGGGTGAGCAAGGAGTTTATGATGAGGGCTGCAGTCCAAACTTTTTTTGAGGGTCTGAGGTCGGCGAAGTCTGTCATAAAAAGCAACCGGGGGGTCATGTTAGGGAGGCGGCCAAGCCCCAGATCTTTCACCCTGAGACCTCCCCCCCTTTTAAAACTTAAAAGCAAAGTAAATAAATAAAAACTTTGCTCATAGGGCTCTGTGGCAAAGCTAGTGAAACCACCTCCCTACCTGCCTTGGCAGGTTAGCAAAAATTAGCTATCTGTACATATAAACTAGCAGAGTGTTGTCATCACATTGGACCCCGAGGCTTTGAAGGGTCTAGCAATGGCCCCTGGAGGAAGCGCCACTCACCCGGTAGATGCTGGCCTGGTTGTGGATGGAATATAAGGCTTCCTCGTCCACTTCCTGGAACGGCAGAAGAACAAGGGGGTGAGCGGGGGGGCAACCCTGCGACCCCCCAAAAAGAAGCAGCACCGGTTGGATTGCAGAATCCCAACCCTGCGGACGTCACCCTCCTCAACTCACAGCTCCGCACAGCAAGGAACCCACCAAACACTTTTTCTCGTTGAAAGCAAAGCATGTTCGGGCGGAACAAGAGATCGGGTGAAAAAATGCACCCAAACACTTAACACCCACCCACAAATGCCCCCTCCCCTCCTTGGCACTCACCCCGGGGTGGAACGGAGTGGAAAGGCGGGTGACCAGGTCATCCATCGGCTGCTGGCCAAAGGGCTTGAGGGCCCCAGTGCCCGGCTCATACATGGAGAAGGCATGGCGGTCCCGGCGGTGGGCTCCCGTGGCCGTGGAGGCCACGTGGCCGTGGTCGGGGCGCTCACTGGGGGGTGGCGCTGCCGCCGGGTGGATGGGCCCCACCTGCTGGCGAATCTGCATGTTCTCCGCCTGCAGCTTGTGGATCTGAAACGCGAGAGGAAGGGGCACAGGACTGTCAGGGCTGGATCCGGCCGAAGGCAGCTCATACCTCCGAAGGCGGAATCACAATTGGAGAGGATTTCAACGGATTGGGGGACTGGGTCAGAGCTAGCGAAGCTTATGCACTTATCAAATTTGTATACCACACATCATCCGCAGATCTCGGGGCAGTCCACAGCATAAACACGCAAGATAAAAACACAAAATACATTTTTTAAAAAAAAATTAACTCCCCCCCCCCAACACATTCTAGGTTGCATCGAGAGAAGTCTAGTGTCCAGATGAAGGGAAGTAATAATCCCACTCTATTCTGCCTTGGTCAGATTCCTCCTGGAAAACTCTGTTCAGTTCTGGGCGTCAGAGTTTAAGAAGCTTGCTCCCTCTTCCATGTGACAGCCCTTCAGATATTTGTAAATGGCTCCCATATCTCCTCTCAGTCTCCTCTTCCCCAGGCTAAACATACCCAGCTCCCTCAACCGTTCCTCATGAGGCTTGGTTTCCAGACCCCTGGTCATCCTGGTCTCCCTCCTGTGCCCACCTTCCAGCTTGTCAACATCCTTCTTAAATTGTGGCACCCAGAACTGGACACAGTATTCCAGGTGGGGCCTGACCAAGGCAGAATAGAGAGGGACTATGACTTCCCTTGACCTAGACCAGGGGTCAGCAAACTTTTTCAGCAGGGTCACTGTCCCTCAGACCTTGTGGGGGGGGGGGGGCGGACTATATTTTGAAAAAAATAATGAATCAATTCCTATGCCCCACAAATAACCCAGAGATGCACTTTAAACAAAAGCACACATTCTGCTCATGTAAAAACACCAGGCAGGCCCCACAAATAACCCAGAGATGCATTTTAAATAAAAGGACACATTCTACTCATGTAAAAACACGTCGATTCCCAGACTGTCCATGGGCCAGATTGAGAAGGCGATTAGGCTGGATCTGGCCACCCGGGCCTTAGTTTGCCTACCCATGATCATTCTAGACACTAGACGTCTCTTGATGCATCCCAGAATAGCACTAGCTCTTTTTGCTGCTGCATCGCACTGCAGAGAACTATCTCGACCAAGAGTCGTGACGTAACATAAGGCACCATCCTCCATTCCCCTGGCCTCAGCCGTCGATCCCAGACCCTTCCTTCCGTCCGCCTTGTGAAGTTGCCAAATTTCACTGCGCGGTTGCTGCTCCTGTTCAGACCACTTCCAGGATGCTCCCTCCCCCCCCCCAACAGCAACATGCCTCTCTCTGCAGCCGCCTCAGTTCGTCGCTCAGGCTGTTGTTGACTTTCATCAGCTGCTGCACTTTTGCTTCGGAGGCGGCCAGCGCCTTCTTGACCTCCAGGTACTCCTGCAGCGTGATGGGACCATCTGAGAGGTCCGAGGAATCCATGCTCTTTTTTTCCAAGGAGAGAGAGAGAGAGAGAGAGAAAGAGAGAGCGAGAGAGCTCAGTGAGATGGGGTCATTACTGGGGTGGACACAAAAATGTTCCAGGCATAAAACAACATGCTTTGCGGAATGCTTTTAAATCAGTGCGGAATGCCAACAGCAACAAACCAAGCAGATTTTGCCAGGAAATGGGGTTACCCCCCTCCCAACACCCCAGACAAAGCTGGAAGAATTTTTGCCCTATTAGTTTCTAAACTGTACTCTATATTGCTTCATGTAATTTACAGATCTGTTAACCCCCCCCCCCCCTTACAAAGGTATAGGAACCAGATATTGGAACACATTTCCCCCCCAAGGATTGGAACAAAACGTGTGAATCGTGACCCTAAAAATCTGTTTCCTTAGGGAAAATTCTTCGAAATGGCTACACAGATGGTATCGTGCTCCTTTGCAAATGTCAAAAATGGCATTCTCCAGCGCTGGAAGGGTCGCAATAAACCTGGTGCGTGTTATCATTTATGGTGGGAATGTAAGTTGGGGCAAGATTTCTGGAATTTGATTTTGATGGAAATGAAAGCTGTTACTCAGGAAACTAGTCCTCATTGCTGATTGCCACACATCACGGCTCCCTCCCCCCCTTTTCCCCAGGGGGGAGGCTTACCCGAGCGCGGTTATTGCGCCCTGCGTTGGCACTGCGGAGGGGCTCCTGGTCTGTGTCCTCGTCTGAGGCAACGCTGTCGTAGTCGTGTTGGTCGTCGAGGTCGCTGGGCCCGTGGAGGGAGGAGTCGAGGATCTCTGCAGGGAGAAGGTGACAACCCCGTAAACGGACAGGGTGGACCTCCAGCCCCCCTGTTCCCACCACACCCCATCTCTCTCTTGCCCCCTAACCTGTGGGGCTGGAGAGGCTTTTGCCCTGCTGCCGACGTTTCGCCTCGCTTAAGATATCGATGATGAGGGTGGCAAATTCCCGGGCATTGAAGCGGGCAAGTTTCTGCCGCCCCTGGTAGAAAGAGAGAGAGAGAAAGAGAATCATCATACCAGCCCAGAACGGAGGCAGAGCTCAGCCCGGATCCAGGAGTCGTGATGAACACCCAGCGTCAGGATTAGGACTTTCTGCATTAAAAGACAAGACAGTTCCCCTCCTCTCCGTTTTATCTCACAACAACCCGGCAAGGGAGGCTGGGCTGACAGGAGGTGACTGGCCCAAGGCCACACACACTGGGCTTCCTGGCCAAGAGAGGGATTCGAACCCTTGTCTCTCGCAGGTCCTATTCCAACACTCTAACCACTACACCCCACTGGCTCTCTGGAATCTGGGCAAGCCCCAGGAATTCCAGCCCTGGATTCAAGGCCCGGATAGAAGCCCCAACCAGCTCTTTCCATCCCTGCCCTCCAAGAATTAACCACTGCCTGGAGCCACAGTAGGCAGAGAGGGCTGGCCTCAGCCGCCCAGAAATAAGTAGCGTCCCACCCGCTTTACCTGATTGCGCGTTGCAGAATATTCGGGGTTCACGGGAAGGAAGGGGACTGCGCTGCGCTCCGTCACCAGGGTGCTGTGGTTCTGCGTCGTGAGCCAGACTTTGTAGGGAGAAAGGAGGGCAGGCAGAAAGGTATTGTTAGCCAGCTACCCTGCACAGACATATCTGAAAAGGTTTTGGAGGGCCAGGTGGCATCATCTCAAGACTCGCCCCAATAAGGGGTGGGCAGACCACAAACGCTTTTGCTGGAAGGGAAGGCTAGATGCAGAAATATCCCCTACGCTCAGTCCAGTGTGTTTCAAAATGTCTGCACCGGGGACACTGGGGAAATAACGCAAAATGGGAAATCTAAGGTTCTTTATTTTATCCATGTAATGGAGTGGATCCAATGGCCCAGAAGGCGGATTCTGCGTGTGTTGTGGAGGGAAGTGAGGGACCCGTCCACCTGGGAAGGTAACCAACTAGGAGAAGGAAAACTCTGATCCTAAAGCTCTGCTGCTTTGCGGGATCTCTTTGGGAGAAGAAACGGCTTAGGAGTAAACCCTACACAAATTTGGAGTGAAGTCCCTAAGGCGGTTGGATGGCGCCTTGTACGCCTCCCTCCAGCAACTCCTGCAGCCAAGCTGGTGCCAAACATCTTTCTCTGCTTTCCTTTGGACCACATCTTGTCATCTGGGCAGCCCCGGAGCTCCCTCTGCTCTGCTCAGGCTTGCACCCCAGGAAGGAACTGCAAACACAGCTGTTTGACTTCACCCGCAGAGGCACACTCCATTGTCTCTCGGGACGGATGGATGCCAACGTATTTTATCAGTGCCCCTGAGGAAGTTTGAAAGTAGCACTCATTATGGAACTTGCCGAACTGACTGGGAGACTCCGAGACCAGAGAGAAGAGAAGGTGGAAGAAGACTGGAAGACGTTTAAGGAATATTTGGGAAAAAAATATGTTAATATTTAAATCTTAGAATAGCTTTGGAAGTGGATATAGGCCATAGGGTTAGAAATAGAAGATAGGGTATTTTAAAACAGTATTATTTGTAAGTGATAAAATGTGAAGATTTTTCTGGTAAAAGTAAGCGTGATAGAAAAAAAAATGGTTAGAAATTATGATATATGTAAACTGCTAAAGATGAGGTAAAATGAAAATCAGATAGGGGGGACTTGGGGAAGCCCACCTAACAATGTTTAGAAAAAATAAGGATAAGACAATAATTTGTTTGTATTGTTTGTTTTTCTGTTTGTGTTGTTTATCTGTGTTATAAAATGAATAAAAAAAAAATTATTTGGGGGGGGGAAATGAAAGCAGCACTAATTGATGCTTCCACACGCTTTTACAGGCTCTCACTTCCTATGCCGTTGTCTGCCCTATTTTGGAAAGAATAGGGCTAGATGCCCCCAAAGAAGAGGATTCAAGACATGTTGGGCTACACTAATTGAAACTTTCATGCCCTATTCCAGCCTCTCACTTCCTGCACTGTCGTCTCTCCTTCTTAGGAAGGGGCAGTTGGCCTGAAAGAGACACAGCAGTCCTTTCCTGGAAGTGGTACGAGGTCCTCAGTGATGGCAGATCTGGTCCCTGCCTGGCCACTGTGACAAAACAGACGCAGAATGAGGTGGGTTCCCCTTTGGTCTGACCCAGCTGCAGGGCTCTCTTCTAAGTTCTTGCTGAAATCTCCCAGCCACTGCTCCGTAAACATCACTGCCTTTTGGGTGTGTATTATTAGCAATTACCAGAGACGCCCAGATGACAAATCTCTACCACTCGTATCTTTAAGTACCCTTGAGCGACACACTCACGCTGTCAAGGGCAGTTCCTTGTCCTATGAGCTGCCTCACAGGGTCGTTGTTGCAGGAGGATGCATACGCACACACACGACTACAACACAGGGAGCCATTGGTCCATCTAGCTCGCTTACACTGGCCGGCAGCGGCCCTCCAGGGGTTTCAGGGCAGGGGATATTCCTGGCCCTGCCTGGAGATGCCATTGGGGATTTAACCTTCTGCATGTAAAAGAGGTGCTCCACCAGTGAGCTACAGCCTTAAGATACAGGAACCTAAGAAGCTGCCTAATAATCAAGGAGCTACATGTATGACCTAGCTCAGTATTGCCAACACTGACTGGCAGAGGCCCTCCGGAGTTTCAAACCCAGCACTTCTGAGAAATGCCATGGGGACTGAACCCAAGTCCTTCTGTATGCAAAGCAGGTGCTCTACCACTGAGCTCTTCCCCTAAAAACAGAGCAAGATTCTAGTCCTCATGATTCCAAACAAAGGGCTGGTTCAAGCAGGAACATCAGAAACCACCTTATACTGAGTCAGGCCATTTGGTCCATTTAGCTCAGGGCTGTCTACACTGACTGGCAGCAGCTCTCCAGGGTTCCAGGCAAGGGGTCTTTCCTTTGCTGCCCAGGGATTAAACTTGGGACCTTCTGTATACAAAGCCTTACTCCCGAGCTGTGGTCCAGCTTCTAAAGCCAGGTTCCAGTCCTCATGGTTCTGCTGGAGTTTGAACCCGGGACCTTCTGCATGCAGAGATGGTCAGCAAATGAACCACAGCCTTTCCCCAGAAATATGATGCTGCAAGTCAGACAAGCATGCTCACCAGGAAGGCAATCTCACGCCAAGCGCTGGTGGCAGAGGCAAATTACTTCCACGTAAACATGTCCCGTCGTTGGACTCTTCAACTGAGAGAGGCCAGCTGCTCCTCTTTCCCCTTTTATCACCACCATCATCGATAACAGTTGCGTCAAAAGCTGAAAATGCACTCAATGTTCCTGTTTCTCCAGAAACAAAACACCCCAACCGTGCTCCCCCCCCCCACGAAAAACCCAGGCAAGTCCCCAGCTCAACTCGCGCCACCCAGATCCCTCGGGGCACAGCTAAAAAGACAACAGCGCTTGTACAGATTACAACCTCCCTGCGGCCTTTTTGAAAGCCACCCCCTTTTTGCAGGCAACTTCTGGGAAGAAGCATAAATCTTTTTTAAACTGCAAGGGAGGAAACCGGCTACTCCCGAGTCGCAGGGAAGGGAGCAGCCTTGGCTGATGCCCAGACAGGGTGGGTGTTGGTGTGGGGGGTGACCCACCCCATCCCAATAAAGGAATCCAGCCTGGGAGTTCTCTGGTCCCTAAAAGGGCTTGCAAGCCCCACCTCAAACTCAGCAGGCTCCATGAAAAACCCACCCACCTCGCCCAGGGACAGTCCAACCGCTACCCACCCCCCAAATGCACACACAAACATCCTCTTACCAGCTTCGTCCGGACTCTGGGGCAACTTTTAGAAAGGGGCCTGGAGTTTGCAGAGGGAGCAAAAGGGAAGATTTATCCCTGCAAAGGATTCGGCCGGCCAGGAATGAAAGAGGGGGGGGAAGGGGAGGCCCGCTCCAGGGTGGCCGGGAGAGAGAGAAAGTGGCCACGTTCCCACAGAACCGCAGCCAAAGCGCTTCATTCTGCCGCCTCGCTCTTTTGGGTGGGTGGGTGGGAAAAGAGGGGGGAGATTCGCTACAACGCAGGACTTAGCCTGCTGGAAGACGTCAGGCCTGCCCCCCCTTCCCAAACACCCCCCCTTCCCACGCCGCTCTCCCCCTTTCCCTGCTCTCCCAAGGGGCTGGGTTTGGGGATGACTCAGCCACACGGCCAAGATTTCGGGCTTCGGGCCAAGGAGATGAACGAGCCACGCCTGGGCAAGGAATCGCTGGCGGGGTGGTTTTTTCTTTTCTTGCCGGAGGAGCGGACGAAAACGGATTTGCAAAGATGCCAGGAGCAGCACTTTGGGGGGTTGGGCAGCATGGAAGAGAGGGAGAGGTCTGGTCAAAATCCTGCGTTCGAATCCCGGCTTGAGGGTTTTCCTACAATGGGAATCCAGGCGGCAGCTGTGGGATACGGGATGCTGGACCAGACCCCCCTTCAATGCAGGGATCCCAGCTAAAGAATCCATCCAACCTCTGCTTTAAAAACCTTAAAAGCCTTTGGTCTGATCCAGCAGCCAGGATCTTCTTAGGCTCTGACCTCGGACGCCAGCGACAGAATTCAGCTTTCGGAGAAGGTGAATTTTGGTTTTAAAGAGGTAGGCTCCCAGCCAGGATGCAAGGGCTGTGCTAGCCTGAGGCTGATGTTGTCTGAAACATCTGGAGAGCCCCAGGTTGGGGAAACCACTGACCACTTTCCTCCCAAAAGCTAAACGGGGGGGGGGGGGGGAGAGAAAGGAAGTGAGCCACAATCATTGTCCTGATTCAGGAACACAGGAGAGGTTTCAATGGGCTGTGCAAACACCATGCATTTATTCCCCACTCATTGCAATAAAAAAGTCCTGGGAACTGTAGTTTGCTGGGAAATATAGCCCTGCTTGGGGTAAACTGCAGTTCCCAGGACACTTTGGGGGGAATGGGCTTTAAATGTGTCTTGCCCGTATGGTGCATAGACAGGCTGGCGCACGGCAAACGTGTGTACCAAATTCGAATCTTAGGAAAGGGGAGGTAAGAGTGGAGCATGCGGGAAGGAGCCAGCTTGCCCCATATTTATTCTCACACCTGGGTCCCACTCTCTCGAGATGAAAACCAAACGCTAGACATTTTACACACACACAGACCTGAAAATTGCAACCATTAAGAACTCACACCAATCTTTACTACAACAACCCACAAATTAAAACGAACTTCAGCACCAAAACGAGACAGACCAGCAACAGTAGAACTAAATAATTAGAGGCTCTGGCCACATAATGCTCGTTTTGCATTTGTAAAAAAAAAAATCCATCGTTTAGTACGGCAGCACCCAGCCTCTGGAACTCCCTGCCTCTTGACACCAAGAAGGTGCTTTCGCTGTACGTTTTCCAGCACCTGCTAAAAACATTTTTCGTTAAGGCAAACGCAGAATGCCGACGTTTGTTTTTATCTTATCGTTGGTCTTAATTTTCTTTTGTAGGTTTTTAACACTTGTGTTTAACTAATAAAGTCCTTGTTTTGCCCTTTTTTTTGCAAACTGCTTAGAGTTTTGCTTGTTTGCTTTGCAATTGAGTGTTATGTAACTTTAATGAAATAAAATAGTTTTTTAAAAACAACAACGAACACCACCCGCCAGAATAAAACACCAAACTAGTTTTAAAAGCAGGCAAAGGGAGAGGGGCGTAGAGAAGGGGAAATGAACCATACTCCCCCCCCCCCCATTGGAAGGCGATGGCATCTTTTTGCCCCACAAACACCCCTGCCTCTTTTTCCCAGGGCCAGCACAAGACATTTTTGTAGCCTGTAGCGCAGAACAAGATGGCAGCAGCCTGCAACCACATGCAAAAGACATTCAGACCAGCAGGAAAAATTTCCTTTAAGCATCCTCTGTCTCAAAAGAAGGTGGCAGGCAAGCTTAAGGAAGGAGCAGAGGAAGCTCACATTTCTGGCCTTCAGGTTCTCCATAAGTCACCTCACACCCCAGGGAATTATGGGTTGTCAGTGTGTGGGGGGAAAGACAGCTCTCTTTCCACCCACCCCCCACAGTGGACGCCAATGAGCAGAACAAACAAGAACCCTGGCCCAGCAAAATGATTCCAGGTGGCTCTCGCAATTGAGCCAAGTTGCATTGACACCCCCCCAACTAATAATCTTTAGTCTCTTCTTGGAGTAAACCACTAAAATACTTTATATAAAAGGGGTGGGGTGGGAAAAAACCCACGTTCTTTCATATTTCAGAACAGAAACTGCCATAACCAAAGTTGGGGCAGAGGCTTAATTGTAGAATTGCAGAGTTGGAAGGGAACGAAGAGGTCCTCTAGCCCAACCGCAGCAATCGCAGTTAAGGGGAGTAAATGTAAGTTTGGGGGGAGAAAATACAAGGCGAGAGGAAACAGAGAAATAAGTTTGGGCAGTGGCACTAGAGCAGGCACAGGCAAACTCCTGTGTTTTGGAACTACAATTCCCATCATCCCTAGCTAACAGGACCAGTGGTCAAGGATGATGGGAATTGTAGTCTCAAAACACCTGGAGGGCCGGAGTTTGCCTATGCCTGAACTAGAGGGTGCTGGAGGGAGTCTGGATGAAGCCAGAGTTCGAATCCATCCACCCCCCCAAATAATAATAATAGATTCTTCCAATGATATTACCACAAGCAACTGAGTGCACATTGCCACCTAAAGGCCAGAGGAAGAACTACAATGAACAAACTGATTTTTAAAAAGGGGGAGAGAGATTTTATCAGCCCCTTATTCATAAGTCTTCAAGCTGGGCTAAGCCTATAAGCATTGGAATCTCCTTGCCCCTCCCCCAAAAGACCAGGAGGATATGACTGAGAAAGGGGAAAGCCCCACCCTCACTCAACAAGGGGTTAGACTAGATGACCCCCCAACTTCAAGACCCCCACCCCCAAAACTCTTCACCTGCATCATTCTCCCGGCGATCCACTTCATCGTAGACGTCCATGGCGAGTTCCTCAAAGAGACGGTTGCTTAGCTATAGATAGATAGATAGATAGATAGATAGATAGATAGATAGATAGATATTTGGGGTGGGAGGGGAAAGAAATGAGATAAGAAGTCGGCTCATTAACAGGGTTCCAGGTGGTAATTGGGGAAGGAAAGTGTCAGAGCAGAGAAGGGAATGGTCTCAACTGGGCGGTCCAAACAGGGAAGCGTTGCTTAATGGTTACAGCCAGCCAGGAGCCAGACTTGTGAGTAGGAAGTAATCCCATGATCCCGAGGTTACCCAAGTAGGTTGTGGGGGTGGGATTCCCGGGGGGGGCAAGAGTGCAAGGGGGCAGGGTGTGGGTGCGTGTGCTAGAGGTGTAAATGACTCTCAGATTTCCCCAAAGCTGAGGTCACTGGATCAAGTTCATCAGTTTCGTCGAACTAATTAACCTCCATAGTTTTAATTGGATTTCTGAAGAACTGTGCAATCAATGGCTTTGAATTTCATTGCGTTGTTATGTTCCTTGGGGATGTAAGATGCAGGAGAGAAACTCGCTTTATAAACTGAAGGCAGCCCTGTTTAGGGAAGCTTTTAATGTTTAACAGACCACTGTATTTTTATACTTTGTTGGAAGCCGCCCAGAGTGGCTGGGGAAACCCTGCCAGATGGGCGGGGTATAAATAATAAATTATTATTATTATTATTATTAACTACTTAACACTGTATTCCAAAGAAAATCTAAAGCACCGTACTTTTCCGTGTATAAGACGCCCCCTAATTTTGGGGACTCCAATTTCAGAAAATGGCCCAAAGTCTTTTGGGGGGAGCATTGCCAGAGCTGTTGAGCTTTTTGGGGTGAGGTGCGGGTGTGAACGCAGTAAATCACTAACCTGACGATTGCAATCACTTGCGCCAGCTAACAATCGCTCGCGTCTGCTACAAGCATCTGCCCAGTCACCAACAGCAGAAGGAAATAGCAAGCACAATTGCCGCAGCGGCAGCCCGTCCTCAGCCGCCCTTGCCGCAGCCGCCAATCACACCACAAATCCCCAATGACAATCTGCAGCTCGCGGCTGCAACCAATCACCCCCCAGTTTTTAAAGCTTATTTTTTATTTTTTAAAAACCTAGTCTTATACACGGAAAAGCACGGTCACTTTTAAAAAGCAAGTAGAGGAGGAATGCCTCTATTTGGAAGAAACTGCCCCCCAAGAGAGAGAAGGAACGTCTTTATTCAAAAGAGGCACCCCCCCACCCCAAGAAGCAATGCTTCTATTTAAAAGAGGTTTTCCCTCCAGAGGCAGGGGAATGCCCTTATTTCAGGGAGGGAATCTGCAGGGCCTCCAGATGTTGGAGGTCTGTATCTCCCAACTCCCATCCTTGAGCAACATCTGGAGGGGGGCATGTTGGCTCCCCAGTTCAGGGGAAATAAAACAACACGTTTTCAAGGGGGGAGAAAGCCTGGGGCAGGGAGATCCATTTTTGAATTGGCCACGGGGGCCTCCTGACTCTCTGGGACAGGCTTATGACACCCCACCCAGGAGCCTCGCCCCCCCCCCAACAAAACCCAGAACCGCCCTCAATAATCCCTGGAAGAAGACTCACCGCCTGCAGTTTCTTCTTGGCTGCTTTGGCGAGCTCAGAGAGGTCCAAGCTGTTGGGGAGAAGGGCAAAGAAGCCGTCAATCTTCTTCCAGCGGAAATGAAATCGGGGATCAATGCCCATTTCCATGCACCCCACCAACACACACACACCCCTTACATCCTCCAAACGATGCCTGGCGCCAGACCGTTCAAATCTGCAGAATCCCCCCAACGAAGAAGTTGCGACTAACAGATTTGTAAGGGTTGGAGATTTTTAAGGTGAGGGTGGATGACCATTGGTCAGGGATTCCTTAGCTGGGATTCCTGGGGTTGGGCTAGATGACCTTTGGGGAACCCTGCCAACTCTACAGTTTTATTCCGCAGGGCCTGTAAGACAGAGCTATTCCGCCTGGCTTTCAATCTGAATTTAGCCTGATCTTTTATTCCCCTTCCTTCCCTCCCCCTCCCCTTTTTATGAAGATTACCCACAGCTAATTCTCCCCTGGTCTCCTTGTTGGCCCAAATAGGACTAATTTAGCCAGCCAGCCCAGGTGATCATTTCATGTTTATTGGATGGATTTCCCCCCTAAATTGATTTTAGAACTTTGAATTTATTGTTATCACACTTTTGTACTGTATTTTATGCTGTTTTTTTGTTGTATCACAATTAAGTGTTTTAAATTTGTTGTTAGCCGCCTTGAGCCCAGTTTTCTGAACCGGGAAGGGTAGGGTATAAATAAAAATTTATTATTATTATTATTATCATAATAATTGAGGGGGGAGGCAGGTTCATCTACAGACCGATGGACGCAGGTGAGAGCGCGCTGGAGATTATAGGCCCTTCTTATACCCATTTATATCACACTTCTGTCCGGTTTCCATACGACTTTGCTTGCCGCCAGTGGTGGCGGCATTTAGCCAAATCTGGCTAGCCACAAAGAGAAGCAGGTGCTGGACTAGGTGGGCTCCAGCAGTCAGGCTCTCTTCGCATCCCTAGACCCTTGGGCAGATTCTCTCAAGGGCGACCTTCTAAGCATTCATAATCCTGGGGTTTTTCCAGCCCTGCAGAAGACTGGGGGTGTGGGGAGAGACTGACAGGCCAAACACGGTCACAAAAATATTCTATTTATTCCCACCCTCCCTGCCATTTTGCATCCAAACTCCTCCAAGCCCACCCCATAAAACAGACACTGATAATCCATGTTATATCTCCCTAGACCCCACAGAAATTTGGAGGGCATGTGTGGGGCACACAGGGCGATGGTGTCGTCATGCAGACGGAAGCTGAAGCCTTGGTACCTTTGAGACATGCATTTTGGGCGCACTCTGAACTCCGAAAAGGCAGCGAGGGGTTGGAAAAAGAGAGAAGTGAGGATGTTAAGAAAAAAAACAAAAGCAGAGCGTTATGTAGCCAAAGGGTGGGGATTCGCACTCGCCTCCTGAAGGTCTCGCAGGTGCTCGCTGGGTCAAGATATCAAGCCAGTCTCTCCTTGCCTAACACTGACCCAGACCGTGCCCAAAACTGAGCCGAGGGATGCAGTGAAGGGGGTTGGACTAGATGACCCTCAGGAACCCTTCCAGTACAATTCTATGCTTCTAAGACCAAAATACACCACAGTCTGGGAGCCTTGACAAGCAGCCAGGGCCCCCTGTATCTGGTGCAGAGGACCCCCCCTTTGGGGTGGGTGAGAGCGACCCACTTAAGAACCCTCCTCAGAGACGTCAGAGGAGCCACCACCACTCAGCCCTCGAGGCAGAAGCACCCAAAGGTCAGATCTGAGGAGCAACGATGGGGCAGGCTCTTGCTTCAGCTGTAGACAGCTCAGTTGGTCAAGCATGAGACTCTTAAACGCAGGGTTGTGGGTTCAGGTCCTGCCTTGGGTGAGATTCCTGCATTGCAGGGGGTTGGGCTAGATGACCGCTGGGGGTCCCTTCCAACTCAACAATTCTATAATACAGTCGTAGCTTGGATCCCGAACACCGTTTTTGCTCCTGAACGCTGCAAACCCGGAAGTGAGTGCTGCGGTTTGTGAACGTTCTTTGGGACCCGAACGTCCAGCGGGGCTTCCGATTGGCTGCAAGAACTTCCTGCAGCCAATCAGAAGCCACGCTTTGATTTCTGAACATTTTGGAAGTCGAACGGACTTCCGGAACGGATTCCGTTCGACTTCCGAGGTACGACTGTACCACGACGCGGTTTAGGAGGCCAGGGCAGTGGTTCTCAAAGTGGGAGGCCAAGAGGCAAGGAGGCAGCAGGGGGCGCAAACGACTATCAGACTTTGAAATAGCTGGCCTCCCTGCATCAGGTCCGCCAGTTCTGTTGAGTTAAATGGTTTCAATTTCATTTTGAACGAATATGCCATGAATTGTCACTGTTCCCCACCTGTCTGCCATTTGCGGGATGATGTAATGCCCATTCTTGTGGTCTGCGTAGAGAGACAAAATAAAGAAAGGAAATGGGTTGAGTGAGATCAAAAGCGGCTTTTCTGAATCCAGTCGCCCTGCCCCCCTTGCACAGAGGCAGGTTCGCTGGCTCACTGGGACCCCTGCATTGCAGGGGGTTGGACTAGATGACCGCTAGGGGTCCCTGGGCCGACTCCCTGGTTCCACAAAGATTAGCAGGATGGCTCGTTCCGCAGCACCACCAAAACATACATTCCCACTTGCTCTGCTGCAGCAGAAACAGGAAATGCCAGGAATTATTTGGAAAGGTAAGGGTTTTAAACAACAATAGCCATGCCATCATTACATGTGAGCGAAAGAGCAATGGCCCTGTGGTGAAGTTTCCTGGGAGAAGAGCGACAGAGAGGAAGTTCCTAAACAGAATCAAGTCACGCCACTCTTGCATTAACGGTAAACATAATTCCGATCGCTACATTTTTTAATAAACCAAGACAAATAGCAATACAGTGGTCGCTCGGGTTGCGAACATGATCCGCGCAGGATGCACGTTCGCAACCCGCAGCATTCGCAACCCGCAGTGGCATGTCTGCGCATGCACGGGTTGCAATTTGGTACTTCTGTGCATGTGCAAAGTGCAATTTAGCACTTCTGCGCATGCGCAACCACCAAAACCCGGAAGCAACCCATTCTGGTACTTCTGGGTTTCGGCAGGTCCGTAACCCAAAAATACGCAACCTGAAGCGTCTGTAGCCCGAGGTATGACTATTGCACAAAAGGGGGTATTGGGAAGGGACGAGCGAATCACACGAGCATAGCAAAACACCTTATCCCGAATCAGATTCATTGGTTCATCTAGCTCAGTGTTGTCTACACTAACTGGCAGCTGTGGCTCTGCAGGGTTATTTTTTGGAGGGGGAGCTGTCTCTCTCAGCCCTACCTGGTGATGCTGGGAATTGAATTTGGGGCCTCTAGCATGCAAAGCAGACGCTCTCCCAACGAGCTGCAACCTTTGTCTTAGAAATTAGCTGTCAGTCCTCACGGTTCTGATTTAGGAGCCGATTTAAATAGGAGCACAGGAAAAGCCGTATGCTGGCTCAGAGGGTTGCAACTTGTCGGCAATCTTGGATATCTGGGTTGGGAGAGATGCTTTATCTGAAATCCTGGACAGCTCCTGCCAGGCAGGGCAGGCAACACTGGACTAGGCGGGCCAGTCGTCTGGCTCAGTGCATGGCAGATTCCCTGTTTCCGCTCTGCAGCTGTTTTGTCTTGAACAGGGACCCCTCCCTGAGCCCCCAGCTCATCTGTGTTCAGAAGGGAGGCTGGACAGACCGCTCAGCGGGAAGCTTCTGTGGTAGGAGGTTGTTATCCCCGAGGTTCAGCTCCCTCCCGCTGGAACAGTGTGCCGTTCTCTTACCCGGCTTTCGTCCGCAGAGGTAGAAAGCCAGCCTGTCCGTCAGCTCGTACTGGCATTCCACCAGGCGCTCGGCCAGTTCGTGCTGAGACGCCTGCCTGTGGGGAGGGAGGGAAGGACAACGGTCAGACAAGGTAGGCCAGAAAGAGAGAGAGAGAAACCCACACCAGTAAACAGGACTCGTTACAAACTTAACGCAACAGAGATGATCTGCTGCAACCAGGAAACACAAATGGGTAACCATCTAATAGACTGCTGATAGGTAAAGAGAAAAAGGTAAAGGAAGCTTTTAATGTTTGATGCATTACTGTATTTTCTGTATTTTAATATTTTGTTGGAAGCCGCCCAGAGTGGCTGGGGTATAAATAAATTATTATTATTATTAGTTGTAGTAGTAGTAGTAGTAGTAGTAGTAGTAAGCCCTGGACGATTAAGTCCAGTCAAAGGCGACTATGCGCTTGCAATGCTCATCTTGCTTTCAGGCCGAGGGAGCCGGCGTTTGTCCACAGACAGATTTCTGGGCCATGTGGCCAGCAGGACTAAACCGATTCTGGTGCAACAGGACACCATGACGGAAACCAAAGTGCACGGAAACGCCGTTTACCTTCCTGTCGCAGTGGTACCTATTTATCTACTTGCACTGGTGTTCTTTCAAACTTCTAGGTTGGCAGGAGCTGGGACAGAGCAACAGAAGCTCACCCCGTCGCAGGGATTCAAACCGCCAACCTTCTGATTGGCAAGCCCAAGAGGCTCAGTGGTTTAGACCACAGCACCACCCTGTTGATGGGCAATATTGGGCCAGCAGTGGGAGGTGCTAGAGTCAGAAGTGGGTGGGGCTATACATGACACCCTCACCTGGCGTAATCGATGGGGCTGCGTCCGTTCACGTCAGGTGCCCCGGGGTCCGCCCCGTAGACGACGAGCAGCTCCGCCTGGAGGATCTGGCCTGCCTTGGCAGCGACGTGCAGGGGCGTCGTCCCTTTCTCCTACAAAAAGCAGAGGATTTCGCTCTACCACCGCACACAGCACATGCCCAGAGGCACTCTTTCTCTCTATGGCCAGGCTCCGCCAATTAAGCGAAAAGGGCAGATATTCCGAGACCTAGCAGGGTGCGGCAGGATAAGAAACCCGACACTGGGAGATGGGGCAGTGGCGGGGGCTCACCGGGTGGAAGAAGTTGGCCTGGGCGCCCAGGGAAAGAAGGCGCAAGCAGGTCTCCAGGTTCCCCGTCCGGACGCTTGAATGCAGTTGCTGCGGAGGAAGGAGGACGGGGAGGAAAGAGGTCAGGTGGAAGGAAACACAAAGCTATCTACAAACATGTGCGCACACAAACAGGCCAGCCCCCCACAAACCGAGGGACGAAGACCCCGGAAAACAAGAGCTCATATACCCCATTTAATTCCTCTCAACCACTTCAGGCTGGGAAGCTGGTATGGCTACAGATGCCACACAATACTCATTCTTCATTTGTAAGAAATCCGTATTTTAGCCTGGCAGCTCCTGTCCTTTGGAACTCCCTGCCTAGTGACATCAGTCAGGCACCTTCGCTGTGTACTCCATTCAGCAGCTGCTAAAAACTTCTTTGCTTAGGCAAAGCCTGACATGTGTTTTCATCTGGTTTTTAGCTTATTCCAATTACTATTTTTTGAATTATTTTAAATTGTTGCTTTTAACCAGTGCTGGGGGGGACACAGGGGTACGCATACCCCTAAACATTTTGTGAATCTAAGTTTGGCCTCACTGAGGGGCAGAATTTCAATATAAGTAGGGAAATGAGAGTACCCCTAAACATTTTTTTTAAGAAAAAAAGCACTGCTTTTAACTCTGATGGTTCCCTGGAGTTGTTCTTTTCGTAAACCCCTTTCAGGTGTGCACACAGAAGTGTCTACCTTGCTGAGGTCCTTGGCGGTGACGCCGTCGTCGTCTCGGCACGGGAGCTTGTGGACAAAGGCCAGCATCTGGTATTTGGCACGGATGAATTCAGACTTGGTGGGGCTGAGATACAGAACAGGAGCAGATCAGTGAGGAGTCACACTAAGGCGCTGTCCGCACTACAGATTTAAAGCATGATTATACCACTTTAAACAAGCATGGCTTTCCTCCCCAGAAGGAATCCTGGGATCTGTAGTTTGTCATGAGTGTTGAGCGTTATTAGGTGACACTCCCCATTCTCACCCTCACGGAAGTACAATTGTGGTGTAAAGTGGTGTGACCATCAATTCCTCTTTTTCAGGGAACTCTGGGAATCGTGGCTGTGTGAAGGGCACAGGGGGAGGGATCGCCTAACAACGAACTACAGTTCCCAGGATTCTCTGGGGGAAGCCAAGACTGTTACAACGGTGTGATGCTGCTTTCTCCCCAACAGGGATTTATTGATAACAGTGGCCTAGAAAAGACTCAGGTAGCCTGGAAGCTCGTCAAGCTTCTGGATAATGAGGGCTAAGAGCACCTCTGCACATGACCAGAGGCACTCTTTCCCTCTCTGCTCCACCTCCTCCAGCACAAGCTTCGGGCCCTGCCCTGGGAAGGCTTTAATTCTTGGTTTGAACATTTTATTAAAAACAACAAAATGTGGAAGTGGAAGACTGCCTGCAAAGCAGAAAACCCCAATAATCATAATACCAAGAAATGCAACTGAACATAGAGACCTACAAAACACTTTGACAGCTATTCATTGTTTTTGCCTTCTTCCATCATCATCATCATCATCATCATCATCATCATGTAGAAATGTAGAGCTGGAAGGGATCCCAAAGGTCATTTAGTCCAACCCCGTGCAATGAAGGAAGTGCAGCTAAGCTGACAGGTGGCGTCAGAATTTAAAGCCATCAGAGCGATGTGCAGAGCAAGAACAGAATGAAACTTGGAAATGCAAGCTCTGCGAAGGGCAAAATAAACTCCCTTTGATTTTGCAGTAGCTCAAACGCTGTCAGAAATTATCTGTGGGTTCCTTACCTCCTCAGACGACCCACACATCATTTCTGAAAGAGTTTGAGCCCTCTAAGTTATTGGGTGAAGTGTGGAAATGACCGACGGTGTTCATGGAAATCTTAACTCCGCTTCTGCCTGATCTGGTGCCCTTTGGATGCTTTGCACTACAATTCCCATCAGCCCCAGCATCAGATAGCCATGCCTGCTGGGGATGATGGGAGTTGTAGTCCGAAACATCTGGCAAAGGCGGAGTTATGACTTTGTCGGGTGTCTTCTGCAACCGGAGCTGGTCCTGCTCCTTTTCCAACCCTTTCAGACGTCCGCTCCAAAATAGACAGAGCTCTTGAGTCTCTCCTCTCTCTGCTGCAGTCAGCAAGTTCAAAATTAGTTCCCCGCTTCGTTTGCAGAACTATTAAAAGGGCCCTTGCGGGAGGCTGAGATGTCTGAGTAGGCCAGGAATATGGCCGCAGATAAAGAATAGAGGCATAAGGGATAGCTCAGTCGGTAGAGCATGAAACTCTTAATCAAAGGGTTGTGGGTTCGAGTCCCATGTTAAGCAAAAGGTTCCTGTGTTGCAGAGGGTTGGACTAGATGACCCCCAGGGTCCCTTAAAACTCTACATGTCTATGATTCGGTGATCAGAGAGGCCTTGGGAGAGTGTGTAGAACCTAGCTGTCCCTAACCTAGCGCTCTTCAGAGGTTTTGGACTACAACTCCCAATCAGCACAGGTGCAGTCCAAGACAAAGCCAGGCTGCCTAGGGCTGATGGGAGATGTAGTCCAAAACCTCTGAGAAGCCATCAGGTTGGCAAAAGCAGATTTAACTCTGTACAGAGTTAAAGGAAGAGCTTTAAAATTGAGCTGCCCTCATCCTTTGGGTTGCATGATCTACCTTCCAATTCCAGATGGGTGATAAAAATGATAAGAAAAATATTGAAATGCGATTTTCCCTTAGATCCAGCGTCGATACTGCTCAACTGTACACTGCCTATCACATGCAAAGAACATTTAAGGGACTTACATCCTATCTGCTAATGGCTCAAAAGTTACATTCTTGGAATGAATGCTTAATAAAATTTGGGATTTGGCTACAGTGGCAAAAAAACCGATGCCTCAAGAGCCAGAATTGCAAGTGAATACATAAAACAATTCTGGCAAAACTGGCTGCTCCTATGTAATATTGACATCCCACGAAAGCAAATTCAAGTAGATTTTGAGAGGTTTTTAGAAGAAATATTGCAATTTTACACTAAGTTGTATTTTCTTGCAGATTGTTACAATTTGCAGCAATCTTATCTGGGGCAGTGGAGTTGTTAGTAACTGTCAAACAATGATTATTTTTTTAAATGGTTCCAGTTAAGAATGAGTTGTCAGTGGAGGCTAAATGGTCCAACATTGGCATTCTGAGTAAGACAGGGATGTACCAGTTACAGGTAGGTAGCCATGTTGGTCTGCTGTAGTCGAAACAAAACAAAAAATTCCTTCCAGTAGCACCTTAGAGACCATCTAAGTTTGTTATTAGTATGAGCTTTCATGTGCATGCACACTTCTTCAAATACACACCTGAAGAATGTGTATCTGAAGAAGTGTGCATGCACACGAAAGCTCATACCATTAACAAACTTAGTTGGTCTCTAAGGTGCCACTGTTAGGGATGTACCAGAAAATCATAATTACAGCTGGCATCATCCAGCAGGCCCCTCCCTTCTCTACGCACCCCGTAACCCCCACAAAAATTACAGAATGGTCAATGCCCACTGCCATTCTTCCTTGGGGGAATGAGCCCATCTCCCCAGGTAGGTACCCCCCCAACCTCTCCCCATCTACCCCCTCCTCCAATTCACCAGGACTCACTGGACTTTATCCTGTGGGTTAGCCTTACGCTTCCCGCTCTGGACCTGCGCCGGATCAAGCAGCGAGTGTTCCCATATAGAATTGGCACCGTTACTCGCGAGGGTGTGGACCATCTGAGGACCGGAGGGCAGGGATTGGGAGAGTGGGAAGAAAAAAAGGAGGAGAGAAAAATCAACAGGGAAATGGCCAGTTTACCTGCAGGATCACCTTGTTGCATCGACGTTCATCTGACTGCTTTGGCCTGTGGAACTGCTTTTTGTTACAGGTGCCAGAATAAATTCTCCTTTTAACATGCTTGTAAGAAACCAACCTCTGTGGAACTCCCTGCCTGTTGAAGTTGGTGTACTCGTTTTCGGTGCCTGCTACAGGCACATGCCTGGAGGCGGTTGGAGGATGGATGGCGGCTAACAGATTGAGGTTGAATCCTGACAAGACAGAAGTACTGTTTTGGGGGGACAGGGGGCGGGCAGGTGTGGAGGATTCCCTGGTCCTGAATGGGGTAACTGTGCCCCTGAAGGACCAGGTGTGCAGCCTGGGAGTCATTTTGGACTCACAGCTGTCCATGGAGGCGCAGGTTAATTCTGTGTCCAGGGCAGCTGTCTACCAGCTCCACCTGGTACGCAGGATGAGACCCTCCCTGCCCACGGACTGTCTCGCCAGAGTGGTGCATGCTCTAGTTATCTCCCGCTTGGACTACTGCAACGCGCTCTACGTGGGGCTACCTTTGAAGGTGACCTGGAAACTACAACTAATCCAGAATGCGGCAGCTAGACTGGTGACTGGGAGCGGCCGCCGAGACCACATAACACCGGTCTTGAAAGACCTACATTGGCTCCCAGGACGTTTCCGAGCACAATTCAAAGTGTTGGTGCTGACCTTGAAAGCCCTAAACGGCCTCGGTCCAGTATACCTGAAGGAGCGTCTCCACCCCCATCGTTCAGCCCAGACACTGAGGTCCAGCGCTGAGGGCCTTCTGGCGGTTCTCTCATTGCGAGAAGTAAGGTTACAGGGAACCAGGCAGAGGGCCTTCTCAGTAGTGGCGCCCACCCTGTGGAACACCCTCCCTTCAGATGTGAAGGAAATAAGCAGCTATCTTCTCTTTAAAAGACATCTGAAGGCAGCCCTGTTTAGGGAAGTTTTTAATATTTAATGCTGTATTGTTTTTAACACTCTATTGGAAGCCGCCCAGAGTGGCTGGGGAAACTCAGCCAGATGGGCGGGGTATAAATAATAAATTATTATTATTATTATTATTATTATTATTATTATTATTATTATGTCATCCAGGCGTGTAGAATGTGGAGATCAAAATATGTGTCCTTTTCGGCATGTTGCTGCTCATAATTACCGTATCTTTCGATTGCTTTTAATACCTGCTGTTCATTGCTTTTTAACAATACAGGCCTTGAATGTCCTCTCTGAATGATTACATGGTCTGCCTCCCCAGTGCCCCCAGAACTCCTGCAAAGACTGTGGCCTGGTCCCCCCCAGCCCCAAAGCTGAGCAAAACTTGTTTAGGAACATAAGGAGAGCCTGATAGATCAGGCCAAAGAGGGCCCCCTACGCCAGAATCCTGTTCTCATGGTAGCCAAACAGATGCCCCAGTACAAAACTCTCAAGTAGGACCCAAACACGAGAGCACTTTTGCCTGCTGTGGCTTCCTTCCATCAACTGGTAAAGGTAAAGGGACCCCTGACCATTAGGTCCAGTCGTGGACGACTCTGGGGTTGCAGCGCTCATCTCGCTTTATTGGCCGTACAGCTTCTGGGTCATGTGGCCAGCATGACTAAGCCGCTTCTGGTGAACCAGAGCAGCGCAAGGAAACACCGTTAGTGGTACCTATTTATCTACTTGCACATGACGTACTTTCAAACTGCTAGGCTGGCAGGAGCAGGGACCGAGCAACGGGAGCTCACCCCGTCGTGGGGATTCGAACCGCCGACCTTCTGATCGGCAAGCCCTAGGCTCTGTGGTTTAACCCACAGCACCACCCGTGTCCCAACTGGTATTCAGAAGCATTTCTGCCTCTGACTGTGCAGGCAGATAGTAGCCACTGTGGCTAGTTGCCATTGATAGCCTCCTCCGCCATGAATTAGTCCATTTCTCTTTTAAAGGCATCCAACTCAGTGGCTGTCACTGCCTCATGAGGCAGGGAGTTCCACAGTTTAATTGTGTAAAGAAGTCCTGCCTTTGGTCTGTCCCGAATCACCCAACACGCAGCTGCATTGGATGTCTATGAGTTCCAGCACATGGACACACAATTATGCCATATGCAAGTTTAGAAGCTTCTTTCACATCGCCTCTGATTTGCCTTCTTTCTAATTTGAACACTGCAACCTTCCTTCACTGGGGATCCTTTTAATAATTTTTTTTATTGCATTTTGGTGTGCCGGAAAGAGAGATGGAAGAGACAGGCCCCTGCCCCCAAGGAGATTACAATTCCTCTTTAACCAGGCCTTTATACATTTCACTGATTTTACAACCATTTTGACATTTCAAAACTTGACTTCCTTCCCCCACTGTCTGCGGTTCCTTAAATTTATTTTTAATATCTTCTGCATATCCAAATTAACTTAATTTGTTCATTCATTCATCTTCTTTAAATATATACCTTATGAAACAGCAGGTTATTACAATAATCCTGCCAATGTTTTAAATCTGTTTACAATTTATCTGTAAATATTCAATAAACCATTTCCATTCTTTTATAGAAAGTTTGCTATCTTGATTTCTTATTCTTCCGGTAAGTTTCGCCATTTCTGCATATGGATTATGGAATATTTTGTCTTTTTTTATATTGTAATTTTAGGTTGTAAATCGCCCTGAGATCTACAGGCATAGGGTGGTATACAAATGTTAATAATAACAATAACAATAACAATAACAATAACAATAATAATAATAATAATAATACTGTATTGGCCTGAATATAAGCTGCACTTTTTTTTCCAAATTCTGATCGTGAAAAGTTAAAGTGTGGCTTATATTCATGACCTTATGCCTCCGGCAAAGTGGCGCAGCTCCCCACCCCCCCAGAAAGCAGCCCAGGACCACGGGGCAATGGTGCTCAGCCCTCCTGCTGTTCCCAAACATCCCCAAAGCCGCTGAATTTTAAAGTTGCGGCTTATATTCGGATGCGGCTTATATTCGGATGCGGCTTATATGCGGGCCAATACGGTAATAGCAGACTACGCTTCAAAATCAGCCAACCAAAACAAGTCTATAAGGATTGGAGAATCTTTAAAGAATATTTAGAAAACTATGGAATAAAAGGAAACATCTTGGCAGAATTAGACTGATCCCTGTATTGTATAAATATAAGTTTGTAGGGAGGTAAAAAGAAATTATATGAGAAATACGTAACTGTACGGTATAAAGTAATGGATAGACAAAGTTCAGTGAGATTAACTGGAAGTCAGTTTTAAATTTCTTTTCTATAAATGTTATAATTGTGTTCAATACCAGGAGTATATATGATGATAATTATATTAACCTTCTTATATCTGAAGAGTGATGGTTTGTTTGATTTTTCTGTTATTGGTTTGATTGTATGTTTGTTTACTTGTATGTACGTCTGTTTTTCATACATGTATTTATTTTAAATTAATAAAGAATTTTTTTAAAAAAAAATCAGCTTTGTGCCACCATTCTGGGGATGCCACTGTCCCTCCGCCCGCATCCCAAAAGGTGCCCCCACTCACCTGCAACAAGGTGGCCGACCAAGGGCTGTGACGAAGGTGCTTGACGATGGATATATGGCGCCCCAGACTGCGATGGACGCTGCAACATTCGTCGCAGACCAGCACTCCGCGATTAATTGATGCCCAGCCAGGGTCTGGAGGGAGAGAAAACCACAAGTTTGAAAGTTTGGAAATAGCAACCCTTAACATCCGTTCCCAGTTTTCTTAGGGAAAACACCTTGAAATTGCTACACAGATGGTATCGCACTCCTTTGCAAATGTCAGAATTGCTTCCTTCCATATCACCTAATGGTTGGAGATTGTTGCTGCAATGAACTTGGTACATTCTAACTCTCTTTCAAATCAGAACCAGTGAAGGCGGTGAAGGTCGTGTGTGAGTGTCTGGAGGCGGTTGGAGGATGGATGGCGGCTAACAGATTGAGGTTGAATCCTGACAAGACAGAAGTACTGTTTTGGGGGGACAGGGGGCAGGCGGGTGGGGGGGACTCCCTGGTCCTGAATGGGGCAACTGTGCCCCTGAAGGACCAGGTGTGCAGCCTGGGAGTCATTCTGGACTCACAGCTGTCCATGGAGGCGCAGGTCAATTCTGTGTCCAGGGCAACTGTTTACCAGCTCCATCTGGGACGCAGGCTGAGACCCTACCTGCCCACAGACTGTCTCGCCAGAGTGGTGCATGCTCTAGTTATCTCCTGATTGGACTACTGCAATGCGCTCTACGTGGGGCTACCTTTGAAGGTGACCTGGAAACTACAACTAATCCAGAATGCAGCAGCTAGACTGGTGACAGGGAGTGGCCGCCGGGACCACATAACACTGGTCTTGAAAGACCTACATTGGCTCCCAGTATGCTTCCGAGCACAATTCAAAGTGTTGGTGCTGACCTTTAAAACCCTAAACGGCCTCGGTCCAGTAAACCTGAAGGAGTATCTCCACCCCATCATTCTGCCCGGACACGGAGGTCCAGCTCTGAGGGCCTTCTGGCGGTTCCCTCACTGCAAGAAGTGAAGTTACAGGGAACCGGGCAGAGGGCCTTCTTGGTGGTGGCGCCCGCCCTGTGGAACACCCTCCCATCAGATGTCAAAGAGAACAACAACTACCAAACTTTTAGAAGACATCTGAAGACAGCCCTCTTTAGAGAAGCTTTTAATGTTTAACAGAAAACTGTATTTTAATACTCTGTTGGAAGCCGCCCGGAGTTGCTGGGGAAACCCAGCCAGATGGGCAGGGTATAAATAATAAATTCTATTCTATTTAGGATGTGAATGTACCGGTAAGTCGACGCAAGATTCCTGGAACTTAATTTTGACGGAAACGAGACAGGTTACTAAAGAAACCATGGCTTGCTGTCCAAAATTAATGTTTCTGATGGTGCCAATGTAGATATAGTGCCAAAAGAATTGGTGTCCTATATGATCTTGGCATAGTTATTTGCAACTCAGTGGGAAATGGCCCAAAATCTCACTCTGGGTGCTTGGTACCAATCACTCTGGAACAGAGCTAGAATGGATAAAATTACGCATAATTTGGTATTTTGACAAGGACCAGGCCCTTTTAACATGATTTGGTATTCCTTTATTACATGCGCAACAGAGCCAACATTTTCAATACAACTCTTGTCCCAAGCTTGGCAAGTCTGGAACCAGATAATCAGATGACACAAATATTCTTTACTTGGACTTTGTTATTTGAACCCATGTGCAATCGGACTCAATTCTCCGTGCCTGTTTTATAGCTTTGCTTTTCATCTTTTAACTTTCAGCTCTTAACTTTGGTTCTCTGTTTTATATACATTACAAAATGAAATTTAAAAGTATATTTACGGAAAGAAAATGGAAACGGGGCAAGAAACCTCGAATAAAATTTAAGATATTAACAGATGTTAAAGAAAGAGGTGGATTTGCCCTGCCAGACCTTAAACTTTATTATGAATCAGCCGCATTTTGTTGGCTGAGAGAATGGATGCTTCTTGGAAACACGGATGTGTTGGATTTGGAAGGTTTCAACAATGTATTTGGTTGGCATGCATACCTGTGGTATGATAAGGTTAAAGCACACAAAGCGTTTAAAAACCATATTGTCAGAAAAGCACTGTATAATGTTTGGATAAGATATAAGGACTTGTTAGAAAATAAAACCCCAAGATGGTGGTCACCAATGGAAGCAAAGGCTCAGAAAAAAACTCAATATGGAGGCCAAATGGCCGAAGTATTGGGAAATCTTGGAACAAGAGGGAGACAGATTAAAATTGCAGAGCTTTGAAAAATTAAAAAACAGAGTACGAGATTGGCTCCATTATTATCAAATAATGGAGGCATATAATTTGGACAAAAAATTAGGCTTCCAGGTGGAAAAATCAAAATTGGAAACAGAATTGTTAGACCCTAAAGTTAAGAATTTGTCAAGAATGTATAACTTGCTACTGAAATGGAATACTCAAGATGAAATGGTGAAATCTGCTATGATTAAATGGGCACAAGATGTTGGACATAATATTATGATGGCTGACTGGGAACAGTTATGGACCACTGGTATGACGTTTACGGCATGTAATGCCTTAAAAGAGAATTTAATGAAAATGATTTATAGGTGGTACATAACACCAGTCAAGCTTGCAAAAATTTACCATTTGCCCGATAATAAATGTTGGAAATGTAATGAAACTGAAGGTACATTCTTTCACCTTTGGTGGACATGCCCAAAGATTAAGGCATTCTGGGAGATGATCTATAATGAAATGAAAAAGGTATTTAAATATACCTTTCTAAAGAAACCAGAGGCCTTTCTCTTGGACATGGTAGGCCAATTGGTGCCAAAGAAGGATAGAATTTTTTTCATGTATGCCACAACAGCAGCAAGAATACTTATCGCAAAGCACTGGAAGACACAAGATCTACCTACCAGGGAAGAATGGCAGATGAAGCTGATGGACTACATGGAACTGGCGGAAATGACTGGCAGAATCCGAGACCAGGGAGAAGAGTCGGTGGAAGAAGATTGGAAAAAATTTAAAGTATATTTACAGAAATATTGCAAAATTAATGAATGTTAGAAGGATGCTGGAACGAAGCTATATGGCTTTAGCAGAAATGTTATAAAGAATTAAGTAAAAATAGATTGTTAATGGACCAAAGTGGAAAATTTAAGGTTAGAGTGTCTTAAGTTAAATTTTAGAACGAAAATTGAGAAAGATGGAAAGGACTTGCTGAAATAGCTAATTGAACTAGAATACAAAAAGGGAGGTGTGAGGAGGTCGATGAAACAAGTATATGAAAGGTAAAGACATGGAAAGGCTGGATGTGTTTTTAAATGTTTTTGTTCTGTTTTTTCGTTGTTTTATTGTATTGGATTTTTTGTTTTTTGTTTTTGTTTTTTTTGATGTATTGTAAGGTATTGTTTTGTTTTGTTTAATTTTTTATTGTTCTCTTTCTTTTTCTGTAACTTGTAAACTCCTAATAAATATCTTTTTTAAAAAAAGAAAAGAAAATGGAAATGTATTTTTGGAGAAAGCACGCAGGAAGCTGCCTTATGCTAAGCCAAACCACTGAGCCCATCTAGCTTAGTACTGTCTACACTGACTGGCAGCAGCAGCAGCAGCTCCTCTCCAGGGTTTCTGGCAGGGAGTCTCTCCCAGACCTACCTGGAACTGTCAAGGGTTGAACCAGGGACCTCCTACATGCCTAGCAAGTGTTCTCTACCCCTGAGATAGAGGAGGGGACGTGTGTGCTTTGTGTTACCCTGATTTCATGGGAGGACGGCTCGTGCGCTTTTCTGAAAAAGGCAAGCTGTAAATTAATAACACGAACAATATCGGTAAGCAGGAACGGGGGTGATGAGGCTTCTGAGTTATCACTGCGGTGCAGCCAACGCTTTGGAATTATTTATAATTAAAAACAGCTACAGCTGCCTTTTCACACCTACAAAGGCATCCTCAGAGCAAAGTCATATTGTCAGATCATTAAAAATAACTAAATCACCCAGTAAAGTCAAGATGGCAACAGATGCAAAGGCAGCGCATTTTAATTTTCTTTTAAAAATAGATTTGGGGGCTCTGGACTTCTGACTTGTCTCTAATTCTCAGCTTGGGGGGTGGGAAGAAGAGAAGCTTTTCTGTATTATTCTTATTCTTATTAGCAGTCACTTAGTTACTTAAAAGGTAACTTGTTTTGCATTTAAAAACATAAATATATTACCCTACACTATACATACAATATATAACACAAACAGACTACCAAATACGATTTTATCTGGCAATGTTTTTGAAACCTTGATACATTTTGTATAAATGTGAACTGTGCATCCCACTATGGAATATATTTGAAACTATTCATTCTTTTTTTTAAACTTCATTTTTAAAAATCCTTTATTTTTATTCTTCTTTCCTATGGCATATTTTTGCTCGATGTTTCGTTGGTTGTACTTTCAAATTTACAAAAAATATGCATTATGCCATAAAGAAGAAGAACAATTATCATACAAAACATTAACGTTTTCATGCAGCGTGCTCCTTCTCCCCCCCAAAAAACCCCTTTGTACATGCTCAGAGGACAGTCTCCTCATCCCACACATTCTGGGGCTAAGTCTGGGCTCAAGGCCACACTCCTCCATTGGGCCACTGGCTATGAGAGGAGGCCCTTCCTCCCCACCAGGCCCCCAATGCATATTCTGCCCCCTCAGCAGCAAACCTTATTCCAGGGAATTTTCATGGGAAAGCTAGGAGGGGGGAGAGCACCCATCAAAAATCTATTGATGCAGAAGAGACACACCTTGTCTCTCCTGCCTGGTTGCTACGGAAACCCGAAAGGCCGCCCTAGAAACATCGAGGCAACTCTTCCCCTTCCAGCAGGGTGACAAAGAGAGAAATCATCAAGTGTGTTTTAGGCCTTGACGCTTTAAAACAGGGGTTGGCAACCTAAGGCCCATGGGCCACAAGCGGCCCACAGCGGTCGTTTAACCGGCCCCCAAACCGGGCCACCCACTTGGCGAGTCTCCATGCGCTGCACTAAACCAGCAAAGCGCGGCGTGGGGACTCACTTCTGCGGCACCGGAAATCGCGCCTGCACAAACACAGACGCCGGAAATCATGGGCACGCGCACGATCCGGCCCACAGAGGGATCTCCACTGGAGTAAACCTTGCCAACCCCTGCTTTAAAAGCATCCTCAGGTGGGAATCTCATTCTTTCCACTGTATCCACTCACCTCACCTCACCATAGCATGATTTAAGGACATAATGACATCGTAAGAGCAATGTTAGAAACTCAGATATATAAGCTAGGGAGGCTGTTAAATAGTTGTTGTTGTTGTTATCATTACAGTGGTACCTCAGGTTAAGTACTTAATTCATTCCGGAGGTCCGTTCTTAACCTGAAACTGTTCTTAACCTGAAGCACCACTTTAGCTAATGAGGCCTCCTGCTGCCACCGCGCGATTTCTGTTCTCACCCTGAAGCGAAGTTCTTAACCTGAGGTACTATTTCTGGGTTAGCAGAGTCTGAAGCGAATGGAACCCGAGGTACCACTGTACAGTGGAACCTCGGTTGTGAAATGTAATCGGTTCTGGAAGACTGGATATTCCTTTAAAAAATGGAGAAACGCACCTCAGAAGCCATTTGACCTCTGAGGCGCTTTCGAAAACGGAAGCATTCGTTTCCGGGTTGTCAGCGTTCGGGTTCCGAATTGTTCGGCAACTGAGGTTCCACTGTATTGTTATATTTGGAGCCCGCCCATCTGACCGGGTTGCCAACAGATATAAAAACACAATAAAACTTCAAACTTTAACAATTTCCCGATACAGGGATGCCTTCAGATGTCTTCTGAAAGTTGTATACAGTGGAACCTCGGGTTGCGAATGTGATCCGTGCGGGAGGCACATTTCAACCCGCAGCGCCACGTCTGCGCACACACAGATCGCAACCCGGTGCTTCTGCGCATGCGCCAAGCGCGATTTAGCGCTTCTGCATGTGCGCCGAAACCCGGAAGTAACCTGTTCTGGTACTTCCAGGTTCGGTGCAGTGCGCAACCCAAAAACACGTAACCTACAGCGTCTGTAACCCGAGGTACCACTGTAGTTCTTCAGATGGGAGGGTGCTACCACTGAGAAGGCCCTCTGGTTCCCTGTAACTTCACTTCCAGCAGCGAGCAATTTTAGAAACTCAGATATATAAACTGGGTACCAAATGGCCCCTTCATCTTTCTGAGATGCCCAATGTGGGTCCCAAAAGCGGGGCAGAATGGGCGTCTAGGCGAGATAAAGCGTCAGAGGAACAATGTTGGAGGGAGCGGGTGAGGAGAGAGGAAGAATCAAGGCTGCAACATTCACCCTGTTCTAACTATGCCCCCCCCCCAACTTCCTTCTGTACCGCACAGCTACCAGACTTTATGGTTAAAACATTGTGCAATCTTCACACCTCCCTTTGCCTATGTGCAAATAAAACTAAAAACCAAAAGAGAGGCTCCCACGCAAGTAGCTATTCCAAGCTTGGCACCCCCACCCTGTACTCCCTAGGGACGCACCAAAATTTGCAGCGCCAACCCTCCACCCCCCTTTCGGGAGGATAGCAGCATTCGCTGACATGTTCCTCAGCTCCTGACACCCAAGAACACCGCCATCCCCTTCAGAAGAACCCAGAAGACTCTCATCAGGAGTCTTCTCCACCCACAGCTCTGCTTGGCATGCAGAAGGACCCTGATTCGACGCCTGGGGTCTCTAGGAAGAACTGGGGAGGTACCCCCTCCCCGAAACCCGAAAGCATGGCGTAAACAAGATCAGGCCAGGTGGGCCAGTGGCCTGGTTCAGTAGAAAGCAGCTTCCTCTGTCTCGATGTACCCAAGACCCAATTCTGCACCACCAAGAGTCCGAAGAGACAATGGAGAGAGCACTTCTGAGCATGTGAAGAGTTTGCACTCAGTGACCCCAGAGTATCATTGATCAGGTTTTGGGGGGTTTGGGGGGGGGGCGCATTGGAGAAACAAGAGAGGGAAAGATGAGTTTTCAGGTTATTTATATCGCAAGATTTATAATAAAGCTGTTTACAAAAAACAAGAAGACACCGGCAGGGGTTTGGAGTAGATCAGTGCCCTACCAAAGCATCTCTAAAACCCTGATGCCCCCGCCCCCCCGCCGGACATCATCATCATCATCATTTATTTATATCCTGCCCTCCCCAGCCAAAGCCGGGCTATTACTCAGAAAGTGAACTCCTATTCACATAGAGGAAGCCTAAAAGGCCATTAATGTAGTCTAGTCGGGACGCGGGTGGCGCTGTGGGTAAAACCTCAACGCCTAGGACTTGCCGATTGCATGGTCGGCGGTTCGAATCCCCGCGGCGGGGTGAGCTCCCGTCGTTCGATCCCAGCTCCTGCCCACCTAGCAGTTCGAAAGCACCCTTAAGTGCAAGTAGATAAATAGGTACCGCTTTATAGTGGGAAGGTAAACGGCGTTTCCATGTGCTGCGCTGGTGCTGGCTCGCCAGAGCAGCTTCGTCACACTGGCCACGTGACCCGGAAGTGTCTGCGGACAGCGTTGGCCCCCGGCCTCTTAAGCGAGATGGGCGCGCAACCCCAGAGTCGGACACGACTGGCCCGTACGGGCAGGGGTACCTTTACCTTTAATGTAGTCTAACTCATTCTCGAATTGCCCCCCCCTTTAAAAATCAAATTGCCCCTGCCTGTGGGGCGTGTGCCCCACACTGGGAACCACGGGACTAGATGATCCTCAGAGCCCCTTCCAAGTCTACAATTCTGTGATTTAATCGGCTAAAAAACCCAACTTTTTACAATTATTTCAAAACCAGTTTTGTTTGAAAAACAAACTATTAGCAAGGTGCAGCTAAATCACAGAATTGCCAAGCTGGAAGGGATCCTAAGAGTCATCTAGACTAACCCCCTGCAATGCAGGAATCACAACTACTGAACCCCCGACGTGCAGCGCCTCTCTGCTGGGATCCTCTCTGCTAAGATTTCTACGTGGGGCCTCTGCTGCCTTCGCCACTGTGACACCCCTGGGAGGGACGGCTGTCCCTGGGTGCTGCCCCGAGGCTCCGAGACGTCACTCGCCTCCCCCTTGCTGGGAGGCCCAGGCCCTGGCTCCCTCTCCCCCCTCACCACCAAATCACTGGGGACCTTTTGTTCCACCAGCACAAAAGGGCGTTTGAAACCGGGGAAGGCCGTTTGCTGGGTGGGGGCGGAGAGATGGCCGGCACCCTGCCTTGGACCCAGCGAAGACTCACGCCAGCTGCCAGACAGGGCGGCTTCAGAAGATGCCACCCTGACCCAGCTGCTAGAGGAGGCGCCCCGTTGCCCCAGAGACCGAAGGCACAAAGAGCCACCCTGAACAGAGGGGCCTTGTTGGGCAGGTGTCCATGCCCCACTCTGAGGCCCCACACAGTCACCCTGGCTCACTTGAACGAGGGGCACCCCAGACTCAGCAAAGCTCCCCTCCCAAATGACAGAAGCAATGCCTCCATCTATACAGGGGTCTCTCCTCCCCATCGCGCGAGGCCGTAAAATCAAGAGTCTAAATAATAATAATAATTTTATTATTTGTACCCTGCCCATCTGCGTGGGTTGCCCCAGCCATTCTAGGTGGCTTCCAACAGATATAAAGGTAAAGGGACCCCTGACCATTAGGTCCAGTCGCGGACGACTCTGGGGTTGCGGCGCTCATCTCGCTTTACTGGCCGAGGGAGCCGGCGTGCAGCTTCCGGGTCATGTGGCCAGCATGACTAGGCCGCTTCTGGCGAACCAGAGCAGCGCACGGAAACGTGGTTTACCTTCCCGCCGGAGCAGTACCTATTTATCTACTTGCACTTTGACGTGCTTTCGAACTGCTAGGTTGGCAGAAGCAGGGACCGAGCAACGGGAACTCACCCCGTCGCAGGGATTTGAACCTCTGACCTTCTGATCGGCAAGTCCTAGGCTCTGTGGTTTAGACTGCAGCGCCCTTTCCAACAGATATAAAAATGCAATAAAACATCAAATATTAGCAGCTTCCCTATACAGTGGTACCTCGGGTTACATATGCTTCAGGTTACAGACTCCGCTAACCCAGAAACAGTACCTCGGGTTAAGAACTTTGTTTCTGGATGAGAACAGAAATCGCACAACAGTGGCAGCAGGAGGCCCCATTAGCTAAAGTGGTACCTCAAGTTAAGAACAGTTTCAGGTTAAGAACGGCCCTCCAGAACGAATCAAGTTCTTAACCTGAGGTACCACTGTACACAGCTGCCTTCAGATATCTTCTAAAAGTCGTACAGTCGAACCTCCGTTCCAGAAGACCGTTCGACTTCCAAAACATTTGACAGCCGTGGCACAAAGGGCTGCCAGCAATTTCAATGGCGAAAATTGTGAGGCGCGTTTGAAAACGGAAGCAATTACTTCCGGGTTTTTGGCGTCCGGGTTCTGAAACGTTTGGCTTCCAAGACGCTCAAAAACTGAGGTTCCACTGTATAGCTGTTTATCTCCTTGACATCTGAAGGGAGGGTGTTCCACAGGGCGGGAGCCACTACCAAGAAGGCCTTCTGCCTGGTTCCCTGTAACCTCACTTCTGACAGTCAGCAGCGTGTTAGAAACTCAGATATATAAGCTAAGTACCAAATGGCAGCTTAAATCTGGGTTAACGGTTGCCACAGAGGAATGTCTATTCACCAGGGGGTTGGTCAAGATGACCCTCAGGGTCCCCTCCAATGCTACAATACACTCCCTGGATAGCTCAGCTGGTTAGAGTGTGGTGCTGATAACAGCAACATTGACGGTTCAATCCCCGTATGGGACATTTGCATATTCCAGCATTGAAGGGGTTGGAATTTCTGCAATTTCTCAGACCCTTGATTCTTTTGTAACCCATGAACGGAGGCCCTTTCAGCCAGGACGTGCCAGGATCAAACCTGTGCTCTCCTGTACTTCACACAGCTGAAAAATTGGTTCTTTCCTTGACCGCCACCTCCCCGCTGTGGGTCTGCAAGGGAGGGGGGAGCTGTGTCGCCCTGACAAGAGGGCCTTTTCTTCTCCATTCCCTTTTCCAGAACAGAGAAGCAAGCAGGATGGAAAGGTCAACGAGGGAAGGAGGCATACAGGGAGAGACAGTCCCACCGCCCACAACCCCGCCGGCTCCCTCACCCAGCTTTGACCCTGCCGTGGCCAACAGGCCACGCTCCAAATCCCCTAAAAGAACCACAGCCTCCCGTAATGGTTCCAACAAGCCCCCTTTGCGGGAGGGGGGCGTCGAGCCCCTGGGATTGCATTTGCTTTATTTATTTATTTGATTATAATTGTTAATTATTAGCATTATAAATATACAGTGGTACCTCAGGTTAAGTACTTAATTCGTTCCGGAGGTCCGTACTTAACCTGAAACTGTTCTCAACCTGAAGCACCACTTTAGCAAATGGGGCCTCCTGCTGCCGCCGCGCCGCCGAAGCACGATTTCTGTTCTCATCCTGAAGCAAAGTTCTTAACCTGAAGCACTATTTCTGGGTTAGCAGAGTCTGTAACCTGAAGCGTATGTACCCTGAGGTACCACTGTATTCAGTGCTTTTTTCTGGGGGTGGGGTGGGGACGCATATCCCTAAACATTTGGTGAATCTAAGTTTGGCCTCACTGAGCGGCAGAATTTCAATATGAGTAGGAAAATGAGAGTACCCCTAAACATTATTATTTTGAAAGGAATAAAGCATTGAATATATTTATATCCGACCTTTTCCCCAGACCAGGGCTTAAGGCTGCTTGGAACAAATTAAAGCAACTCAGAGAAAACACAAAACAGCTAAAAAGCTAATCGTTGGAAGGTAATTCAACTCTGATACAATCAAAACGATAAAAAATCATTTTATATATCTTTAGGCGCTAGGCAAAAATGTTCCTCTTCAACCAGGCCTTGGGCTGATTGACATGCAATGCCCTTTTAAAACGTGTTGGGGGGAGTTATAGGATTGTTTTCATTTTGTATATTCTGTGATTTTATGCTGTATCTCCCCTGAGACCTGGAGGTTTAAGGAGGCATACAAATTTAATAAACAAAACCAAAACAATAAAAAAAGCAAGCCTATTAAAATCCGGAGAGTAAAAACAGCACAGAGCTATTAGGAGCCCTTTCTTTAAAACCAGGCGGTTCCCAAAAGCCTGACCGCTAAGATGCTAGTTCTCAAGGTTTTGAAACAGGAACGCAGGAAGCTGCCTTCTACCAAGTCAGACTCTGGGTCCATCCAGCTCAATACTGTCTACACCGACTGGCAGTGCTCCGGAGTTTTGGGCAGGGAGCCCTTCCCCGCCCTACCCGGGGACCTTCGGCCTGCCAAGCGGCTGCTCTGCCACTGATCCATGCCCGCCTCCTGTTCCTCACCCAACTCTGGGATGCGTCACTTCCATTGTTCACAACAAACACCCAGCCTTTGCCTCAGAGCTCCCCAGCTCCCTTGGATGGGCGGCCACAGCTGGCAGCAACTGTTCCTTCTTTGGGCGAACGGGGGGGGCATGTTTCGTGTGGGTATGGTGGCTTCAGAGCCAAGCGGCGGCTCCCAAATCGCTCGCAGGCCGCAGCTTCCGCCTGGCCTTGTTCAATCATGTCTTGGAGAGGCCTGTGGGATGCAAAGCTCCGCCAGAAACAGGGCGTGGGAGACAGCTGGGAGCCCAGAGGCCCGTCCCAAAAAACCCCGAATCAACCGTAACCAGCCTGCTGCCTGCTCCTGCCACACCTGGATTTGACTCCCAAAGAACTGTCAGGTTGAGAGGGACCCAAGTGGTCATCTTGCCCAACCCCCTGAAATGCGCGGGGTTTCGTTTGCTAGGATGAGTTGCTGGTACGGTATGATAATCTTTGTTGTCATGGTCCCATACAGAACAACAAAATTGAAAAAATCTACATCAGACATTCAAAAACCAACAAGCCTGCTATCCCAGCCTGGTTAGAAGTAAAGGGACCCCTGACCATTAGGTCCAGTCGTGGCCGACTCTGGGGTTGCGGCGCTCATCTCGCTTTATTGGCCGAGGGAGCCGGCATACAGCTTCCGGGTCATGTGGCCAGCATGACGAAGCCACTTCTGGCAAACCAGAGCAGCACACGGAAACACCGTTTACCTTCCCGCCAGAGTGGTACCTATTTATCTACTTGCACTTTGACGTGCTTTCGAACTGCTAGGTTGGCAGGAGCTGGGACTGAGCAACGGGAGCTCACCCCGTTGCGGGGATTCGAACTGCCAACCTTCTGATCGGCAAGCCCTAGGCTCTGTGGTTTAACCCACAGCGCCACCCGCGTCCCTCCCAGCCTGGTTAACCCCCTAAAAATACCCCATAATTAAATACAATATACTCCTACAGAGACTACTTTACACTGTGTTTAAACCCAAAATCGCATTTGGATAAAAACTGTTTCTCAGGCGGTGGTGATGAATGACTTGGGCAAGCAGGCTGCAGTTCAGTGGGAGAGCACCTGCTCTGACTTTAGAAGAAGAACCCACAGGATCAGGCCAAAGAGGGCCCATCTAGCCCAGCTTCCTGTTCTCACAGGGGCCAACCAGATGCCACAATGGCAAACCAGCAAGTAGGATTCAAGCACGAGAGCAACTCTCCCCTCCTGAGCTTTCCAGAAAGGCTGTCTCCAACTATGGAGGCAGGGCAACAGCCCTCCTGGCTAGCAGCCATCGATAGCCCTCTCCTCCTCCTCCTCCTCCTCTTCCTGCAAGAATTTGCCCAGTCCTCTTTTAAAGCCATCCAGGTTGGGACCATCATTGCTTCCTGTGGCAGGGAGTTCCATAGTCCAACTCTTTCTTTGGTCTGCCCTGAATCTTCCAGCCTTCAGCCTCCCTGGGTGTCCACCAGTTCCAGCATTAGGAGTGGGAATGAAAAGCTTTTCCCTCCCGCCTCTCTCCTTGCCTTTCATAATTTTATTAACTCCTCTCTTCCCACTTCTTAGTTTTCCTGTAAATGAAAAAGACCCAACTCTCCTCCCTGGGGAGTCAGTCCACGCCCTAGTTCATTTGGGTTGCCCTTTCCTGCACCTTTTCCAACTCTGCAATGCCCTTTCCCGACACCGGGAAAGACCCCTTGTCTCAAACCTGGAAGCCACTGCTGCCAGTCAGTGCAGGCAGCAGCCAGCAAGATAGCCCAATGGTCTGCACATGTCCCTGTTTATACCAACCCTTCAGTCAGAACCATGAAGACTAGAACCTGGTTTTATTTTTAGATTAAGCTGTAGCATGGCAAGTAGAAGTTTCGGACTTCAACCCCTGCCATCCCCAGACAGGGCTGCCTGAAATGCTGGAGAGCTGCTGCCAGCCAGTGTGGACAATACTGAGGTACATAGACGGGCAAGTGCTAAGGAGTTCCTAAGACCCACAAAGGGGAGGAACTTAAAACAGAGCCAACCCCCGCCCGCCACCAAAGCCAGCTAGGAAATGAGGCCTGGGGAAGGGGGTGAGCCGCAGGACTCCTGGGTCCCTTTCCCCACCACCAAACCGTGATTTCATGGGGAGGGGTTGTGTAGAAGAGAAGGCAAGATAGGTGTCAACAGACTTGGGGGGAGGCAGTCCCAGCCCCTAACTTGAAAACAAGCCTGACACCACAGCCCTACTCAAGGCAGGATATGCCCAGGGCTTGCAGATTGAGAGCCCCTCCCGGCACTTCCTTCCTATCCTGGCCTGGGGGGAAGTTTATGGCTGACCTGCGAAGTTTGGATTGCGGAGAATGGAAAGAACGGACAGCAATCTCCAGCCCAGGCTAACAAAACAAGGCAGGCTCTGCTTCATTGGTTCCCAATTTATTTGAGGGGACTGTCATCCCCCCCCCCCAGTTCCATAAACACATCCGCAGTGCCCCCCTACCTCCACGAGAAAGCATTATTTGGAACAGCGGTTTGCATGGCCCACGAAGGAAGATCGTAACACAATGAAACAATTAATCACACGTTTGTTCAAAGTTAAAACTTTGTGGTTGATTAATTCAACAAAACTGGTGAGCTTGAGGCAGGGAAACCAACTTTTGAAAGTCTGGTTGGCATTGGTACCAGTGCCCTGCTGCCTCTCAGCACCCCCCTAGGGAATCCCATCACCCCCCCAAATAGTGGTACCATCCCCTCTGGGAATCTGGAGTCTGCAGCACATAGGGCATGGGTGAGTTCCCGTGTAAGGAGAAGCATCATTCTTAATAATTATTATTATTTATGAATTTAATTTACACCCTTTCCTTCCAAAGGAGCCCAGGGCAGCATCCAATTCACCTATCAACTTTGCTGTCTGCCAGCCAGTCTCAGCCTCATAGGATACCGAAAAATGCCATGCTAAATCAGATGACCAAGTATATCAGGCAATAGACTCTATATGGCCATAGAGACTAACAGGCCTTAGTAGGTAATGGGTCCAATCTTCTTCAAAGTCATCTAACCTAGCGACTCCTCACCATCTACCTTGTGGCAGCGAGTTCCATAGGCAAACTCACTGCTCCATGGCATCCACTGCCAACACACTGGGATGCTTTTATTCAGCTGCATAGTAATTGCTTTATCACTTTTTGTTGACCCAAGTTTGTAATCATTTGCACGTTATTTTATCACACACTGCTTCAGTAGGTTTTGGACCAATGGTTGTCCTTCTAGGTCGGTACTGTTTACACTGACTGGCAGCAGCCAGGATTTCCATGCCCCTCCTTCTCAATTCGGGGTCCCCAGCACCAACCGGCAGCACCGGCAAGGACCTCTCCAGCCGTTCCTCCCAGCCTCCCATTCCCAAGACTTGAAGGATGTGCGTGGGCTCATCCTGCACAGATGGCAGTGAAGAGAGAGTTGACTTGGCAGATGTCTGCATTCTGTGCCCCCGGGAGCCTCTGGCACTGAGGAACGGCTTGTCATGCGTCAGGAGAGACTTCTCTGCCAGCGGCATCCCTCTTCCGCCTGCCGCCAAGGAAACTGGGGCTGGCAGTGGGAAGGGGAGCTAGATCTCCACTCCTGTATCAGAAAGGAGTCTCCCTTCCTGGGTTCAGAGAGATATCACCCCACAAAATCCAAGACAAGAAACTGGGGTTCTCCAGTGACCAGTAGGAATCGCTGACTCTCAGCCACATGGGAACAAGAGAGAGAAACACCCCATAAACCGGGGCAGGGAAGATGAGGCTCCCTGGATATTGCTGGAATACAACTCCCATCATCCCTGACTGCCAGCTCCTAGGGCTGATGGGATTTGGAGTCCCACAATACCGGGAGGGTCTCAGGTTTTACCCATCCTTGGGACAGGACTTGCAAAACCACGGAAGAATATATATTCAAAGCGTCCCCAAAGAGTTGGCGATTGTTCTAAGCAAAAGGAAAGGACAAATGGGAGAAATAGGAAGGAATGAACAGCGGAAGGCCCAGGATCAGGTCTAGCCTATCTGTGTCAGGAATCTCCAGCAGAGTCATGCCCAGCAATCAGAGGCCACACCTGCCCTTTGGAACTCCCTGCCTCTTGATATCAGACGGGCTCCTTCACAGTACTTTTTTCAGTGCCTGCTAAAGACATTTTTGTTTTGACAAGCCAGTCCAGATATCTAGAACACTGGTATGTTTTTTTGTTCATTGCTGGTTTATTTATTTTTTTAATGGTTCTTACTCATAATTATCTTTTGCTTTATATTTTTCATAGACCACACTGAGGTTTTGGGTTTTTTTAACAACCAAGTGGTATATAGATTTTGAGAAATAATAAATAAATTTGAAGCTTTCCGGACACTAGGGCCATCCCAGCATTTGCAACCTTAAGTTTAATTCATGGGTAGGCAAACCAAAGCCCGGGGGCCGGATCCAGCCCACGGATGGTCCGGGAATCAGCGTGTTCTTACATGAGTAGAATGTGTGCTTTTATTTAAAATGCATCTCTGGGTTATTTGTGGGGCATAGGAATTCATTCATTATTGTTTTTCCAAAATATAGTCCGGCCCCCCACAAGGTCTGAGGGACAGTGGACTGGCCCCTTGCTGGAAAAGTTTGCTGACCCCTGGTTTAATTTCTTATTTCCTCCCCCCCCCCAAAAAAAATAGAAGCTGATACTTCATTCTTTCTTTATTCACGGCCCACCCTCCACCCTAAGGACCATCTTAGCTGTGGGTCCTGGGAGACCTGCTCCCTGCCTCGCACACCTTTCCCCACCTGGCCTGGGAGGGCGGAGCTTGGACTGACTCCAGCTACAAAAGCGGAGGCTGCTGAACAGACATTTTGGCTGGGGTGTTGTTCGGGGGAGAGTTTTAATGGGTGGGGTGTTTTTGCTGTTGGCTTTTGTGTATCTATATTTCAGATCTTGTGATTTATGTGGAAACCGTTCCGTTTGGTTGAGTATTTTTCGATGTTTTGTTTATTGTTTATGACTACACTTGCTATGTTATAGTTATGTATATTTTTCGCGTTGCAAGCTGTCTTGAGCATGGCTTGAAATGTGGAAAGGTGTGACACAAATAAAATTAAACATGTATGCAAAGTCGCAAGGCATGCTGCAACGTTTGCAAGAGCTCAGTATTTTAGGGTGGCAGCTATGGACTTCGGAACTCCCTGCCTATTGACTACCTCTGTAGCTATAAACCCTTTTCAGCTCCTGCTAAAAACATTTTTGTTTGGCAAGCCTAGCCAGATACTTTGAAAGCTGATACGAGTTATGATCTGTCGTTCTTTTAACTTTTCCAAAGTCTAAAATGATTGTGGTTAATTCACTCCCTTGATCGTTTTACTGTGTCATCTTAATTATGAACTGCTTTGAGGTTGTTGTTGTTACAATCAAACAGTGCACATATTGTACGGAATAAATAAAATAAAACGCAATATTAAAAGCAACCTATTTAGATTATTCTTTGCAGAGCGGGTAGATGTGGATGGAGGGTGTGTCTTGCCCATACATAAGGATGATAGCAGGGGAGAGCAAGGAGAAAAATCCTGCTTTTACCATCTGCAGGAAACAGACCCCCCTCTAATGTTTTTCTCTATTGTTCACTTCCTCAACAGGCCATTCTGCAAGATAAGGACTTCTGACCCAAGCCAGGGAATCCTCCAGGCCGACACAGAAACCTCCCTGCACTAGCATGATTGCCCTGCCTAGCTTAGTATTGTTTGCACTGACTGGCAGCAATAGCTCTCTCCAGGGTTTTCAGGCGGGGGGGACGGACATACCCAGTCCAATCTGGTAGGTGCCACAAAGGACTAGAGTCACAGTCTTTTCCCCACAAAGCAAGTGGGAGGAAGATCACAAGCAGGGCCTCCAAGGTAGACTGCTCCTGTATAGGGAGGCTCAGATTTGGCTCCTGCTCCGATCTAGCCCATTCTTCCCGGAGTCAGGATAGATCCCACAACCGAAGGACTCATAAGCAGCTGAGGACCTTCCTCCCCCTTCCCATTTTAAGGAACGATTCACACAGTCATCCCTTGACCCAGAATCAGTATTTGTGCCAAAATGCTGTAAATACAGAACATTTCCTATCACATTGCAAGTGCAATGGGGTTGTTAAAAAAGGAAAGAAAGATCTGAGCTCTCGCATTCAACTGTCAGTAATCGCAGGAGACTGCCTTATACAGACAGAGTCAAACCATTGGTGTATCTAACTCAGTACTGCCTACACTGGCTGGCAACAGCAGCTTTCCAGGGTTTCAGGCCCTACCAGAAGATGCCAGGGGTTGAACCTGGGACATTCTGCATGCCAAGCAGGTGCTCTACCTCTGAGCTGTGATTCTTCGCTTTCAAACAACCCCTAAGATACCAGTCCTCATGATCTTGAATAAAGGGCTGCCTTAAATGTTTATTTATCTCTTTTTTATCCCACATTTCCCTCCAAGCAGCTCAAGGTGACAGTTCTCCCCTTCCTCATTCTAATCCCCTACAGAGCCAGATCACTGGTGTATCTAGCTCAGTATTGTCCACACTGACTGGCAGCAGATATTCCAGGATATTAGGCAAGGGACACCCCCTCCCCAGCCTTACCTGGAGATACCAGGGGTTGAAGCCGAGAACTTCAGATGCCCTACCACTGGGCTATAGTCCATGGACAGCTCAAGAGAGTGAGCCAAGTTAGAATGAAGTGGCACAATGGGGCACAGAGATTTGTTTCAAGTACAGTCATACCTTGGTTTTCGAACAGCCTTAGTTCTTGAACGTTTTGGCTCCTGAACGCCGCAAACCTGGAAGTGAGTGTTCCAGTTTTCGAACGATTTTTGGAAGCCGAACGGAGCTTCTGATTGGCTGCATGAGCTTCCTGCAGCCAATCAGAATCCGCGCTTTGGTTTCCAAATGTTTTGGAAGTCGGACGGACCTCCGGAACAGATTCCATTCGACTTCCAAGGTACACCTGTACTAGGACTGAGCTGAGGGCCCTTCCATATCTCCCCCAAAATCTGTTCCTAGTTACATCAAGCTTTCTTCATTTCAGAAGCCTAATGGGGATGGGAAGAAAAGTCATTTAACGTAGCGAGAGTAAGAAATCCTTGCAGATCTGTTGCAAACCACCCAGTGGTCTCCCAGTAGATCCCGATCTCCCAGTGGATCAGTAGATCAGAGTCATTAACCAGCTGGGGCCAAAAGCTATAGCTCCATGGTACAGCATCCGTCCTGAATACAGAACACCCCAGGTTTCATCTTCCCCTTTTCCAGGTGTGGCTGGGAATATCTTCCACCTCAAACTCGGGAGAGCAGCTGCCAGTCAGAGTAAACAGTCCTGAGCCAGGTGGCCAACAGACTGACTCTGCAGATGGATTCTAGTTTAAAGCACCCTTTAATTCAGAACCATGAGGACCGGAATCTTGGTTTCAGTTTTAAAGGAAGAGCTGTAGCTTCCTGGTACAGCACCTGCCTTGCATCCAGAAGGTCCCGAGTTCATTTCCCAGGTAGCCCCGGCAAAGACCCTCCCCCTGCTGCTGCCAGTCAGTAATGCACTAGGTGGCCCAATGGCTTGATTCAGCTTGCAATCTAGGGGGAAGTAGCCTAGTGGGACAGGGTGTCCCTGGTTCAAGCACATAATCAAACAATGTTATTTGGCGGATTGTTACATTCTGAAACAATTTAGCCACATTTGATTGTCGCATTAATGATGCAACGATCTGCATTTATTTTCTTTCAGTGGCAAGCTGCTGCTTTCAGTAGACTTATACAGAAAAGTTGTGTTATCAAATCTAAATATTAGCCGTACCACCACTCAGCAGCATCTTCAGGTGGGGTTGGGAGAGAACCTTGCCTGAAACCCTGGAGAGCTGCTGCCAACCAGTGCAGACACAATGGAGCTACACGGAGTCACATTCTGACCCAATATAAGTGCCTCTGTTCCTAAATTATAGGGGCCTAGTTTTGCTCCGTAAAGCAACCGGCCAACCCTGGAACCCCCAACCACAAGTAAGAGAAGCTTGCACCTGTGCCCAGGTGAAGATGCATCTCAACACACGCAGACACACACCTGGCAAGGGATCCCTCCTCCACCCCTGCATGAAACTTTTAACTCCTGAGAAACTACAAATAGCAACCAATTGGCCTGGATCTCCTATTAATTAGCCAAAGCGGGGCAGGAGAGAAAGAGCTGAGATTTCCTGCTGGAGAAGAAGGTTCTGCAATTCAGGCCTCTGGATTTTATATAACGAGCAAACGCCCCATTTCAGATCCACAGGGAAGTGGTGTTTATTTTTGGAATGGGTGGGAAGAGGGAGAACTCTGCCCCAATGATCTTACAATCTCCTACACACAGAGAGAGAGAGAGACCCCAAGGAATGCCAGGCCGCTTTAGGTAGGCCTTGGTTGGGCAGCTGAAAGATAGGGGTCACGTGTGTACACATGTCTCTCCAAGGGTAAGGGGGGGTGTCAGCAGGGGGGGAGAGCACCCGGACACCTGGGTTCTGCTTGCAGGATGGGAGCCCTGCTGGGCTCTGTTCCAGGTCACTAGGAGTGTGATAAGTAAGGGGTGTGTGAAGGCCTAAGCACTGGGGGGGCTCCCTCCCCAGCGCTGGTTGGGAGGGGCCCTAAATGATGCCTGGGAGAAGAGGGGAAAGAAAGGGGGGCTGGGTGGGGCAGGAGGCTCCTAGGCAGTCAGACCATTGGCTCATTGATCCCTGTACTGTCCACACGGACTGGCAGCAGTTCTCCAGGGCACCAGAGAGGCAGGGTAGAGATGCCACCAGGAAGTGAACTTGGTGCCTTCTGCATGTGGAACAGGTGTCCTTCCTGCCCCCGCCCCCCAGCCATGGCTATATAAATGGCTCCGAGAAGCAGCATGAGCAGAATCAGAATGCAAATATCCCTGTCTGTGAATGATAAGGGGGGAGGGGGAAGACCAGGACGCCTGGGTCCTATTCCTGGTGCCTCTATGGGAAGGAGGGTGTGCACCAGGGCCTTATATTCCTAGTCTCCCTATGATGGGGAGGTGGGTCCTATTCCTGATATTTCCATGGCCGGTTCATATTCCCCGTGCCTCAATTGGGGTGGGGGCACTAGGACGCCTGGGTCCTCTTCCTAGTGTTTACGGGGGGAGGGGGTCACCAGGACACCTGGCTCCAGGTGTTTCCACTGGGGTGCGGGAACCAGGGCGCCTGGGTCCTATTCCTAGCGTTTGTAGGGGTGGGGTGCGGTGCGCCAGGACGCCTGGGGGGCCGATGGGGCGCCTGGGTCCCCGCGGTGGGGGCGACGCCAGGCAGGCAGCCCGAGGGCTCGCCTTTCTCTCCGCGGCGAGGCTCCGCGCTGGTCTCCCCGCAGCCGCAGCGGGAGCAGCAGGCCCGGCCGCGGCGCTGGCCCTACCTGGCGGCCGGTGGCGTCGGATCGGGCGCCGGAGCTGGTGCTGCAGGCCCGGCCCCGCCTTCCCCGCCTGCCTTCCCCGCCCGCCTTCCCGGCGCCGCCGGGCTCACCTGGGGCGCTGCAGTCGGCGCACACCTCCGCGCGGGGCACCTTGCGCGACATCCTGAGCGGGCGCCGCGCGCCGCGACCACCCCGCCGGCGCCGGGCTCCCTCGGCCGCCGGGCTCCGGGGCTCAGCGCGGCGGCGGCGGCGGCGGGGGCAGCAGCAGCAGCAGCGCCAGCAGCAGCAGCAGCCGCCTCCTGCGCCTCCTCCTCCTGCAGGAAGAAGCCAGGCGGGCGGGCGCGCAAGGCCGGCCCTCCGGAGGCGGAGCGAGGCGCGCGGCGGGAGGGCGCAGCCAGGCGCGACCTCTCCGGGAACGAGGAGGAGGAAGAGGAAGCAGGATGCCTGGGTCCACGGGAGCAGCCGCGCCGGGACGCCTGGGTCCCTTCCAGACCTGCGGAAAGAGGGAGGGAGCGAGGGTTGCCACCCGGAGAGGGATCCTGGCTTCTGGAGCTCAGGACACCTGGGTCCTTTCCTCCTCGGGGAGAGTGGATGCGGGCGGCAGAAACGCCTTGACTTTGCAGGGCAGGAGCCTCGGGGCGGGCTCTTTGCACATACTCAGAAGCTCTCTGAGAGGAGGGTTCCATTTCAGTCGGGGTTATTGCTCTGTATTTTATTCGTTTATTATTATTATTTAAATAAATGTATCATTATTGTGTACTGTTTCAATTCTGCTCGAGTTTGTTTGCTTTCTAACGATTCTCTTCCGTTTTAGCTGTTTGGGTAAGCTGCCTCCAGACCCGGGCTGGGGAAAATGTGGGGTAACAACATCAACAATATTTGTCTCTTTTTACAAAGAAAAGGGGAGTGGTATCAAATTATGTTATGTTCTCCGCAGACCCATGGAAAGCAACAGAACTGATTTGAGTTGTGCCTAATCACTTTAATGGGTCTGCTCTGAGTAGGGATGGCATTGGGCACAGCCAAATGTGAACAAGAAGATGAAATACTAAACAGGTGAACTTGAATGGGAGATTAAAAAGAAAGCCCACAAAACATTTCCTAAAAGCGTTCAACAATGGAGTTGTAAGGACTGATCTTGCCACACCCCATGGTAAGGATAAGGCCCACAATAGAAGCTAAAACTGCAGTATTAGCTGCGATTCCTGCATTGGAAACCAAAAGATGATCTTTTGGTTTCCTTCCAACACTATGATTTCATTATTTTCATAATAATTATTAACATTATCACTGATTTATTCGTTGCCTTCTAAATATTCATCTCAGTACCTTTTGCATGATCTCAGAAACCTAACCAGCCAAAGCCCCAGTAAGGAAGTGTGCTTTGAATAGCAGCCAAAGTCTGCCCTCGTGGATTTGACCAGAAGAACATCAGGAGGCAGCCTGGCTGCTGGATCAGGCCCAAGGATCAGGCCCATCTAGACCGGCATCGTCTCTTACCGTAGCCAACCAGATGCAAGATTGGGCCGCTTGCTGTCGTCAGTGATGGTGAATGGAGAGTGAAGATGCTGTGATAGAAATGGATATAAGAGCAGCTGGGCTGCTGGATCGGGCCCAAGGATCCTGATCTAGCCCAGCACCCCTTTGTCACTGGCCAACCCGATGGCAGATTGGACTGAATGCCACTATCGCTGGCAGCAAGCGAAGTCAAATGCAGACAGCAAGACCTGAGCACAACAGCCACTCTCCCCACAACTGGTATTCAGATGCATTTACTGTCTCCGACAGAGGACAGAATCCCTTCTCCTCCATGAATTTGTCTAAACCTCTCTTAAAGCCATCCAAGGAGGGGGCCATCGCTCCTTCTTGTGGGAGGGAGTTCCACTGTTTAGAGCACCCTGCTTCCAACCAGCAGGGCACGGAGGCCACCGCTGTCTCCTTTGTCCCCTACGTACTCAGAGGCTCACTGCTCTTGGACATGCAGGCTCCATTTTAGATGTCATCAAGAAGCCTGTTCTCTCTGGACCAGCTGCCAATAAACCAGAAGTGTAGAACCTGCAGTTCTCCCGATCTACAGATGCTGCCTGGACCCAATTATTTTTTTGTTGTTATGTTTTTAACAAAAGAAAGGCCTAGAATTCCATCTCTTGTCACCACTGCCCGGGTCAGTTCTTCAGACTCCTTTGCCAGCTCAGCCACAAATATCTGCCCTACATCTTTTGCGGTGAAGACAGCCACAAAGTATTCATTCATCCTGCCTGTAATCTTCCTTTACCAGTTGTCCAACTACTTCCCTTTCCGTTTTCCTGCCTCTATTTAAATATATATTATCGGGCCTGGCATTTTAAAACACTATCCTCTCATGTTTCAAAAATATTTCATTTGCTTTCTCAGTAACTTACATTATTAATTTTCCTTAATTTTGCTTTCCTTTTTCTTCTTGCTCAGGAAAGTTTTCTAAAGGACACCTTCTTGCTTCTTATAGTTTCCTTGACACTGTTCATTAACCAACCATGCTGGCATCCTTGTGGAGTTGGTGGTGCCTTTTTCGCTCTGATCTCCTGAAAACATCTCTCTATGCACAGACATTTTGTTGGCCCCCAAAGCCTGATTTTTATTTTTATTTTATTTTTTACCATTAGCACTCCTGTTGTATTTGATTATTCATGTTATCATGATGTGATTAATGATTTTATACCATGTTATATTAAGCTTTCCCGTGTATTCTACACCATATATATATGGGATGCAGGTGGTGCTGTGGTCTAAACCACAGAGCCTTGGGCTTGCCGATCAGAAGGTCAGCGGTTCAAATCCTTGCGACAGGGTGAGCTCCTGTTGCTCGGTCCCTGCTCCTGCCAACCTAGCAGTTCAAAAGCACGTCAAAGTGCAAGTAGATAAATAGGTACCGCTCCGGCGGGAAGGTAAATGGCGTTTCCATGCGCTGCTCTGGTTTGCCAGAAGTGGCTTAGTCATGCTGGCCACATGACCCGGAAGCTGTACGCTGTACGCAACCTCAGAGTCGTCCGCGAGTGGACCTAATGGTCAGGGGTCCCTTTACCTTCCTAACCCTAGCCTGAGACTGTAACCACTATCCCCAAGGGCTCCCCCTTGTGGCTTTGTCTAGGAAGTTCCTCCTTTGTCATTCTCACTCTGGAATTGCAGCCGTCCTGCACCTGGGATTCCAGCTGTGGTCCGATCCTGGAAGGAACCCTCAATCTGCTTGCAAGATTCCACACTCCTTGCAGAGATTACCCACCTGCATGGCTAAGCAAGCTCTCAGCAGCTGGTTATTTTTTTTCTCTCTCTCTCTCTGCTGACCATGTAGAGAGCACAGCAGCAGACTGGGCAGCTGGTCTAAATGGCAGATGATGACACCCTTCCTTCCAGGCAGCGCTGGTCCATCTCTCTCCCGACCACCCCTTGAATCTGGCCGCTCCACCTGCAACCTCTAAAGCTTTAGCACAGGGGGCACCTTGTGTCCCTGGTCTTAAAGCAGCCCCCAACAATTCTGGGACTGAGGGTGGGGAAATATTCAAGATCTCCTTGCCTGCGCTCATGTTGGTCTTGTACTGCCTTGGAGCTAGATGGGCCAATGACCTAACTCTGTACAAGGCAGCTTACAGTGTTCCTGTTTAAACCAGCCTTTAATTCAGAACCATGAGGACTAGCATCTTGCTTCAACTTTCAGCAGAAGGGTCATAGCTCTGTGGTATAGAGAGCATCTGTGCTGCATGCAGATTCAATCCCCCAATGGCATCACCAGGTAGGGCTGGGAGGGAACCCTACCCGAAATCCTGAAAACCTGCTGCTGCTGCCAGTCAGTGTAGTTGACAACACTGGGAAAGGATATTTCTCAGTTAATTTGGTCCTTTATTCAAATCCAAGAGGACCAGACCCTTGCTTTATTTTTAGGAAAAGGAGCCCACTGGTCCCACATGATATAAGATGGTCTCCTCTGTAATGTCTGCCTGGAAATCAAATAGTGGGGTTGCATGCACAGAAGCTATGGGTTTGTATCAGGGTGGAGAACCTGCAGCCTGCCAGATGTTGGGCTCCAAAGCTACCACCAGCCTCAGACAGCATGGTCAGTGGTCAACAACATCTGGAGGGCCACAGATGCCTCACCTCAGTTGAAGCCAAGAATGACCAACACAGAAAGGACTTTAGGGTTTGATCCAGCTACAGGGTCCTGCTTATTTTCAGAGGGACAGACCCCCTCTCTGCCCTAGAGATCCCCAGAAGCCACTGCGGGTGATAATGGTCAATGCCGGGGGAAATGGAGCAACATCGCCTGGTCTGAGCCAGGGTGCAGCCATCACCCTAGACCTAGCTAGAGCCACACGAAGGAAGCCATGTGATGCTACGGAAGCTGGCCTGCATCAGAACAGGTCATTGGTTTACCTGGCTCAGTACTGTCTACACGGACAGGGTTTGGGGGACGGAACCTGGGACAAGGTCCGGTCTTCTGCCCCTGAGCCACGGCCCTTCCTTTACAAATAAACCAAGATCCCACTCAAGCGCCTGAACAAGGTTTGAAATGGCATCACACAAAGCCCAGGAGCCAACTCCTAGGGGCCAAGGGGTCTTCTTCACAGAGACCCCAATAAAATATTTGAGGGGCCACCCCCCAAAAGAAGTGGATGGGCATTGCCATTCAAATGATGTGTGTGCACCAGATCTTGCAATTGTTTATGCAGGCTGGGGCTTACCTGCGCTCCCCAATGTTTTATTCACGTTGGCACCCCTGGAGCGAAGCTGCCTTATATTGGGTCAGATGAATGGCCCACCTTCTTCAGTGCTGCCTACACTGACCGGCAGCAACGGCTCTCTAGGTTTGGGCTAGCAGCCTTTCCCCACCCGAGGATGGCACCGCGACCTTCTTATGCGCGCAAAGCAGATGTTCCGCCGCTCATGCGCCCCCCCTCCACCGCTCACGCTGCCAGCCCCCTCGGAAGACTACAAGTCCCATGGTGCCCTGCTGCCGCGTCTGCCTCCCACCCCCCAACTGGGGCGAGGCAGCAGCTTCCCCTCTCCTTTGCAGCTGCGGGGGCAGCGGTGGTTTGCGGGGGGGGGGGTATCCCCATCCTCTCCATCCCGCCGCGCGCCACCCTCGCGCCTCCTCCTGCGTTTCCTCCTCCCTCCCCCTCGCCCTCCCCTCTGCTGCTGCCGCCGCGGCTCGGCCCGCAGCGTCGATTCCCCCGCCCTCGCTCGCTCCCTCCCTCCCTCCCTCCCTCCTTCCTGCCCGGCCCGGCGGCGCACATGCGGCTGCAGCCCCCCCGACGGCCTCGCCCCGGTGCCAAAAGGATGCTGGCCGCCTCCCCCGGTGCCAGGAAGGGCGCCGAGGCCGGGTACCCGCTCCACTCCCTGGTGTGGCACAACCAGCCCCGCGAGCTGGAGGCCGAGCTCAGCTCCGAGCAGGTGGGTGTCCCTGGGAGCTGGCGGGGCTGGGCTTGGTGGGGGGCGGGCGGGCGAGGGGAGGGGAGGCGGCCTGGGGTCCCACCCTAACAATGGAGTGAGGGGCTGATGCAATAGGAGGCGTCCGGCGCGGCTCCGAGGAAGCGCGCTCGCCATCCTTCGCGGGAAAGGGGCTTCCCCCGGTTTCTGCAAGAGAGAGAGGGGGGATGGATGGGGGGGGCAGGGAGGAGAAGGAGCCATGATTTGGGGGGTGGGAGGGAGGAGAGGCTGCAGGGAGGATTGGGGAGCTGTCGTAGCCCCAGGGGGAAAATCCTGTTGGGCACAGAATGGGCAAAGTAGGTGGGGGAGTTTTAAGATCCCCAAAATAAAAATAACAGTGTATTTTAATTGGGTGGGGGGAGTTGGGGACAAGTTCATTGTCTGGCAGGGGGGCTCCTTGCCCACCCTCTGGTGCCACCCATGTTTGGGTGCTCTTGATGTAGCTCCCCCTCCTACAAACACACAAATATTGCGGTTCCTGCAGCACTGTTGAGATATTAGGGGTTTGGGCATCAAAGGGCAAGGGCGTAGGGGGACTTGAGTGTTGTGGGGTTTCTACCGAACGGAGGACCCTTCTCCCCCCGCCTTCTCCCCCAGTCTTGGCACCAGGAGCTCTCTTTCCAGGGTTTGGCACTGGCGACTGTGGCTTGGCACAGGCAGATCCGTCCGCCACCCTGAAACCCTCTGGCAGCAAACAGCCTTCAGGATCCTCCCTAAGGTGAGGAAAGCCACGGGGCTGTCTTTAGCATGCCTCAAAAAGAGAGAGAGAGACGTGGGCATGACGCACAGTAAAAGAGGGCACCTGAGCACGTGCAGAGAGGCCTTCGTTTGATGTTGCAGAAGCATAATAGGAACCAACTCTTTGGAGGCTATGGGGCCTCAAGGTGGCCAAAGGAGTGGAGAGCCCTGACTTTCCTTCCTGCCCCCCCCATGAGAAAGAACTTGAGATCTAGCACCATGCTGGGGCTTAGCTGAACTCCATGCCCATTTCCACCACACCTGCTACTCGCTCCTTCCTCTAGCACAACAAAATCTGGGGGGCTGGAAGAAACAACGTCCCCGCTTATGATGTTTATTCAATGATGATGATAATTTTGCTATTTATACCCCTCCCATTTGGCTGGGTTTCCTCAGCCACTCTTGTTTGGGGTTCATATAGTTACTTTATGCACTACTCAATTTATTCTTTTGTTCTACATTACTGGGGTCCCACTTCAGAATTAATCATGTCCCAACGAGCTCCAATTCTGCTGGGGTTGCCTCTGATTTGCGGTCATGGAGGTTGTCACAAACTCCTCCATCCTTGGCTAACCTGTGGCCCTCCAGGTGTGTCTTGGACTACAGCTCCCATCATCCCTGACCGTTGGTTGTTCTGGATGGGGCTGATGGGAGCCAGAGTCTTAACAGGTTAGCCACTCCTTCTTTAGGACACTGTTCCCCAGCCTAGTGCCCTCCAAAAGCTGTACAGCAAATGCCTGGCATGCAGAGATGCCCTGGACAGCATCTCCAGGTGGGGCTGGGAGAGACCACTTGAAACCCTGGAGAGCTGCTGCCGGTCAGTGTAGGTGATACCGAACTAGATGGACTGTTGGTCTGAGTCACGACAAGGCAGCTTCTTGGACTGCCACTCTCACCAGCCCCAGCGAGTCTGGCCAGTGGTCCGGGATGATGTTGAAACTCACAAAATCTTTCCATTTTCTTACCGTTGTCCCTCACCTTTCTTGCAACACACCTGCCAGCCCAGGTACAGACCAGAGGCACACCGGCTTTGCTTCCCCTGTGCTCTGAAGATGAACAGCTCTGCTGGGTTAGCAAAACAGGGACTCTAGTTTGCAGTGGGTAAGGCTAGCAGCACCTCTTGGCTCCAAACTGAACAGCTGTGTTCAAGGCTGTGTCCTCACAGTGCTGGAGAACAACAGCCTTCACCCAAGGCTTGCAAGACTCTCTTTGCTTCCAAATGATCCTGAAAAGAAGATGCTGAACAATATTTTATAAAATTTAGCCTGCTTCAAGCTTTTGGTAGGGAGGCAGGGTGATCAGTAAGTACAGTCGTAACTTGGATCCAGAACGCCTTGGGAGTTGAATGCTTTGGTTCCCAAATGCCACAAACCCGGAAGTGAGTGTTCTGGTTTGCGAACGTTCTTTGGAAGTCGAACGCCTTCCGCAGCTTCCGATTGCGTGCAGGAAGCTCCTGCAGCCAATTGGAAGCCGCGCCTTGGTTGTCAAACATTTTCGAAAGTCGAATGGACTTCCGGAACGGATTCCGTTCAACAACCAAGGTGTGACTATCCATTAGAGAGCGATCAAGTTCCAAGCAAAGGAAACTTTCCATCTGCTGGTACCTGTAATATCCAAAGGTGGAACCTCCACAATCAGAGGAAGTATACCTGTGAGAACCGGTTGCAAGGCTTCCTGGAGGTCCAGTGCTTTGCTCAGTGCAGGGTCTGAGACCCAGGGTGGAAGGAGGAGGGGGTCTGAGCTTCAAGGGCAAGGGGAGAGACCTCTTCCTCCAGAGGTGTTCTGTTGTGTCTGAAGGCCCCTGTCGTGGTTCCCCCCTCCCTCCCGCAAGCATACTTTGCTGCAGAAAAGCTTGGAAGCAGTGAACTGGGGAAGAGCTCTGGGCTTCCGGAAGCCCACAACGAAGGACAGCAAAGGCATCTGCTTAGCTGGCAACAGAAAACAGCTCAGCTTTTCCCAGCCTGGTGCTCTCAAGGTGTTTCGTACTACAACTGCCATCAGCCCCAGCCAGCACAGCCGAGAGACGCTAAGGCAGATGGGAGTTGTAGTCTGAAAGATCTGGAGGGCACCAGGCAGGGGAAAGTTGCAACGGCTGGCTGCTGGACCCTTAGTGTCGAAGAAACCTCACCTTTGCCATCCTTGTATTAAGGGATGTGTGTGCTGCGTTCATCTCCAGTTAACCAGATAATATCAATGATACATCCAAGTGCTGCGGGAGAAAATTACCTGTAAATAATGGGAATCCCCTCCCCCATTAACTTATATAGGATTGCAGTCTTATGGGACGTTGTGGGATGGGGTCCAGGAAATTGGATGGCCAGCTGTCAGGGATTCTTCAGCATTGCTGGGGGTGGACTAGATGACTCTGGGGGTCCCCTCCAACTATAATTCTGAAAGTTTCACATTCTTGCTCCTGGATCCAGCAACTCTGGCCAAGTGGGAAAGCGTGGAAGAAGAGGAATGGAATTGAAAGGGGCATTTGACTCTGCTTCCAGGGGTGTTGCTTGCTCCTTAAAGGAACAGGCCCCACCCAGAAGTGGCTGGCACCCATTGGGACTGGTAGGGCAGAAGACAGGGGATCTGAACAGTAGGCGGAGGCGGAGCTAACGATAGGTGGTGGCAACACATTCTAGTTTTGACCCCATCGTCTTCATCCCTGCTAAGTTTTACAAGGGACAACACTGAGATTGAGGAGGAAGCTGGCAGCCCCAGAGACTGGCAGGCAGCAAGAATGCAGTTAGGTGTGGGGCTGGCTGAGGGAGGAGTGAGATTGCGAGGGCTGTGCCCTTTTTGCCCTAGACAACCAGCCTCCACTGGACACACCACCTGGAAGGAAGCTTTCCGTACAAGTCCTACCTTCCTCCTTGCTGAGTTCTACAAGGCACAACACTGAAATTGAGAAAGAAGCTGACTGCCCTATTGACTGGCAGGCAGCAAAAAGGCTGTTAGGTGTGGGGCTGGCTGAGGACGGACTGAGGTTGTAGGGCAGTGCCCCATTATCCCTAGGCCACTAGCCTCCACTGGACACACTACCTGGCAGGAAGCTGTCCATACAGGCCCTATCCTCCTCCTTGCTGACTTCTACAAGGCGTGATACTGAAATTGAGGAAACTGACAGCTCTGGCAACTGGTAGGCAGCAAAAGGGCTGTTAGGTGGAGGCTGACTGGCAGCGGACTGAGGTTAGTGTTGGCAGACCTTCAGGTCTGACCTAAAGTTTCCAGGTTTGCTTGATCCCCTCTACTGGTGGTGGTGGGCTTGAATCTCCAAGTGGACAAGAGTGCATATGATAACAACAACAACAACAACTTATTAAGAAGACTGTGCATGCATCTTGCCAGCTTCAGCTCGGCAGCCTGCAAATTCTAGAATAGACATTTTGTGAGGTCTGCCCAACCCCTCTCTCACTTAACCTCCGTTTCCAGGGCCACCTTCTTCTTTGGCGATCCCTCGTAGCCGAGTAAGATTGTCTTCCATAAACACGGTTTTAACAATGAGTCCGTAAGTGACTGTGGAGGCCAATTCTGGATCCACACGTCCTTCCGCAATGGGGACATAGGTTTCTGGGCGGGAGTTGATCACGCTGTGGATTTGCCAAGTGTGCCTTCCTCTTAGCACGTTTCTTCCTTTCGTCCTGAATTCAAGCGTCTTCAAAGCCCATGACACCTTTGGTAAAGGCTGTTTTCCAATTGGAGTGCTCTCAGGCCAGTGTTTCCCAGTTGTCGGTGTTTATACTACATTTTTTAAAAATTTGCCTTGAGAGAGTCTTTAAACCTCTTTTGTTGTCCACCAGCATTACGCTTACCATTTTTAAGTTCGGAATAGAGTAGTTGCTTTGGAAGACGATCATCAGGCATTCGCACAACATGACCAGTCCAAGGAAGCTGATGTTGAAGAATCATTGCTTCAACACTGGTGATCTTTGCTTCTTCCAGTACACTGACATTTGTTCGCCTGTCTTCCCAAGTGATGTGTAAAAATTTTCAGAGACACGTTGATGGAATCTTTTGAGGAGTTGAAGATGGCGTTTATAGGTGGTCCATGTTTCACAAGAATACAGTAAGGCTGATAGTAAAATAGCTTTGTAAAAAAGCATTTTGGTTTCCCTGTGAATATCCCAGTGTGCTTCAGTTGGGAGAAAGCTGCATTTGCAGAGCTCAGGCGATGCTGGATTTCAGCATCGATGTCGGCCCTTGTGGAAAGATGACTGCCCAGGTAGGAGAAGTGATCAGCACTTTCCAAGGTTACACTATTGAGTTGGATTTGTGGCGCTGCAGAGGGGTTATTTCGTACTTGTTGGTGTAGCACTTTGGTTTTTTGGCTGTTGAGCAATAGGCCAAGCATTCTGTAAGCTGTGAAGATATTTAGGATGGTTTGGAGGTCATCCTCTGAGTGTGTACACACTACATTGTCATCAGCGTACTCTGTGATGGAAGTTACAGTAACCTGGGGCAGTCCCTAGGTCTCAGGTGAGGGCCCCAAAATCTCAGGGTCCGGGATACTCCTGACTTGATCACCCTGCTAAGGTCTGGTGGGGGCACTGCCCCTTTTGTGACAGATGGATGAGCCACCACTGCTGAAATCTAGGGCCTGGTGCATGAATCTCAGACACCTAAGGGCACAGCTCAGGAGTTGTTTGCCAGACCTCCTCAATTCCGGGTGAGATGTGTTTGACACACCCGGATTTCCCCCTTTTCCTTAACAATGAGCAGCGGTGAGGCGTGGCTGGGGATCTGCCGGCAAACAAACAAGATCACGCTCTGAGCTTTGGGGTTTATGATATTGACTCTCAGGGGTAGATCTAGGGCAGGAGAGGATGGGTGGAGCCGTACAAGGGCATTTGGGTTCCTGTTTGGCTTCTGAGAGGTGTCAGGTGTCTTGTCTGTGCTGGGGGGGGGGCAGTCAGTGGTCTTAGTTTGGCTTCTCTCTCCCCCCCACCTCCATCCCATTGTGCCTTACCCTCCAAATTTCAAAGTAACACGGGGCACACTGAGGCTGGTGGGAGTTTTAGTTTGGGTTGGCGCAAGTTGCTGAGAAAGCCGTCCCTTTGGTGGCCAGGATGGGCATCTGAATATTCAGTGCTGGCCAGTAAGAATCTGAAATACACCTTGAGGCTGCTATTTACAACAGTTGTGTTTCACCCTTTCTATAAGTGTGGTTCATTCATCCAGTCTCCTTCCATCAGAGACCAGCTGGGGACCTTCTGGAAAACTCACTAGTGTGCCCAGGAGAAATGGAAGCACTCCCCTGTTGTTTGTTCTTCTGTATCTGGTACTCAGGTAGACTTGCTCTGGGTGTGGGGGCTCCACTTAGCCGTTGTAGCCAAGGATAGAGATCTGCACTTCCATAAATTTATGTCACCCTTCCCCCCCCCCATTTAATCTAGCAGTTGACACAACTTCTTGCAAAGTCTTTTAAAGCGTGCTTTCCTGAATAAATTACCCCCCCCAAAAATTCTGCTATTAACTAACTGCCAATTTTACTGGGTCCCCCCAATGTTCTTGTATGTGAGATACATGGAAGTGTACTGATATTAATGAACGCCTTGGGTGAGGAATGCACTCTGCACAGACTCAGAGACTTAGTGGAAACTATGCTCTGTTTGCTGAACAACTTCTTCTTCCTCCTCTTCCTCTTTTTCCTAATTACTTTTCACACCAGGATTATTTCTGATTTGCCTGGCAAATGGTTCCTAAGCCCCAGGTTCACTTTCCAGGTTTATAAAAGCAGAACTTCTCAGAACACTTATTGATTCATGCTTCCTCCTCCCTCCCCTTTTTGCTGTTCATTATTTTAAGGCCACTGTCTGTTATCTGTAGCGGATGATTCCAAATTTGCATAAATGCAAATAAAGCTGAGATCAGGTTGATTAATTTCCTTATCTTAGAAATGGATTCACCGAAGAGCTGCCTGGGGGAACCAGAACTGTCTTAGGCCAAACAAACATACCCCACCCTATGATGTTCTCCATTAAAGTTAGCCATCTAAGATCCCACATATCTTAGCGTGGGAGGGGAAAAGTCTTTTCCAGATCAAAGGGGCTAGTAACTTGGGAGGAGTATTTGGGAGTTCTGGTTTGGCTTGCTCCTAAGACTTGAGACCAAGTGATGTTCAGGGTCTAGGAAGGATGGCTCTTTCCATTGGTGGGACCCAACGCTGGACTTTGGGAAGCAGCCCTGCCAGAAGGCGAAAGCTTCTGAGCATGTACAGAGTGCCCAACCCTCGCTACACTCTTTCTGCGAGGACAAATCAATCCAGGCGCACAATTTCATTTTGTCTAAGGAGCGAGGAGAGTTAATTGAAACTCGAGAGGGAGATTCTCTCTCAGTGCCACACTCTTTTAATTACTTTAATGAAAAAGGTTTGTAATTAAAGGGAAACAACAGATCTTCCAGCAGTGGCTGGTGGGAGTGGAAGATGGCACCAGGGATTATTTCAGCTTCTGGGGCAGAAAGGAGGGAAGAGGTGTGTTGCAGGTGAGGCAAAGGAAGCCAAGGACTTGTGAAGTCACACCCTGGGGAGTGGATATTGGGGTGTGGGAGTCAGGGCTGAGCTCTGCTTTCGAGCCAGGAAAGACACCACCACCACCCCCGCTGTATCGGGCTATTGTGTACAAGTAGGGCTGCCATACGTCCAGATGTTCCTGGACATATTCGGAATACTATAGTCTGCAGCAGTGTCTGGGCAAAAATCGGGAAAACGTCCAGGAAAATCTGGACGTATGGAAGCCCTTGTCAGCGGAGCCTTTTTTTGGCCGTTTCCCCATTAAAAAATATCTCCAAAACAGGTTGTTTTTGTTTTTTCGTTTTTGCAAAATAAATAAATAGCTCAACAACTTTTCTGTCCCAATTTTCACTGTTTGAAATATGGCAACCCTAGTGTACATATTCTGGTTGCCTCGCCTCCCAAAGGATACTGTACAGGTAAAGGTAAAGGGACCCCTGACCATTAGGTCCAGTCGTGACCGACTCTGGGGTTGCGGTGCTCATCTCGCTTTATTGGCCGAGGGAGCCGGCGTACAGCTTCTGGGTCATGTGGCCAGCATGACTAAGCCGCTTCTGGCGAACCAGAGCAGCGCACGGAAACGCCATTTACCTTCCCGCCGGAGCGGTACCTATTTATTTACTTGCACTTTGACGTGCTTTCGAACTGCTAGGTTGGCAGGAGCAGGGACCGAGCAACGGGAGCTCACCCTGTCACAAGGATTTGAACCGCTGACCTTCTGACCGGCAAGCCCTAGGCTCTGTGGTTTAGACCACAGCACCACCCGCGTCCTATATACAGTGGTACTTTGGGTTAAGAACTTAATTCGTTCCGGAGGACACAACTAAACGACTAAACAACAACAACAACAATAATAATATTGTTGTGGAGTCAGTCCCTTTGAGCAGAGTGAGGCTGACTTCTGAGTAAACAGGTACACGGTGGCCAAGTGACTCAGCTGATGCAAACATCACACAATCCTCAGTCCACAGATTTGTATAGTTGCCTCCTGGTACCTGGAGAAATGCAAATAAAGCACAGCTCTTCCGGCCCCCCTCTGTGGCACGGCAGGGGGTGGGGAGGTGGAGAAAAGAATCATTTGTTTTCTGCAAAATTTATCCTCTGTCTTGCATCACCTAGCATCCTTCCCGGGGGCAGCTCTCAAAAGAGCGCAGATCCGATGCAGGCGGAAGGCAGCCGTCAAAACTATGTCACGACACAGAACAAACGGGCCGGGATGGATGGCCCTTGGCAACTGTCTCTTGGAAAGCCTGCCCCCGAAACTTGGCAAACTGTTTTCCTTTACGCTGCAGCCTGGAATGCTAGCAAGCTTCCATTATTTGCAATTAACACACACAAGTCCCGGAGGAGAGATTGTCGCCGCCTCTTTGCAGATCCCCCCTCAAGGGAACCGTATCCGACACCTGCCCTGGCAGGATTCGAACCTGAGAGAGGCAGCTTGGCTCTCAGGAGCCTCGCACCATTGGCTGTTGTCCATCTACTACCAAGCCAGGCTCAAGGTCTTTGTATTAATTTACAAATCCCTGAGCAACTTGGGTTCAAGGTACCTTGTGAACCTCAGTGATATCACTGAGATCACGCGCAGGAACATTGTAAGTCATTCCCCAAGTTGGCAAGTTCTTTTGACAGCATCAAGAAACCGAGCCTTTAGTGTCTTTGGCCTAGTCCTGTGGAACCCTCTGCCACTAGAGATTCTGAAAGCTTGTATTTCGCTAGGCTTATGCAGGTATTTAAGAGGACATATTTCCATTATCTCAGGTGTCTCAGACGTTGGAAATTCTGCTGGTCCAAACAAGCTGGTTAGCAAATGTAAATATACTGTTGGGTTACATCCAATAGATGATTTATCTCTTAAATAAAATGTATGTTAAAATTTCATCTTCAAATGATGATCATTCAAAATTTCAGTTGGTCCAAAGTCAATATGCCTTCCATCCGATTTTTCCATGTCACCATCTTTCCCCCAATTTTTAGTGTTGGGTTTCCCCACAAAGTCAGTTTTAGCATGGGAAAAGGTGTCCAATCTATTTTTACTAGACATTGCATTCTACAACTTTCTAACTGGCATAATTGGTTCCAGATATTCATGAGTTCTAACGTATTTTGATCCTAATACTGTCCATCAAAGGTGTTATTATATATGTGCATTCCAAAGTTGCCCAGATCAGAAAATTAACACCAGTTGTTGGTTTCCAGTATTTAATACTTGGCAATAAGTAAGCATGATGATATAGCTCTATATTTGGAATACCAAGCCCTCCTTAATTAAGTTGTAATTGCATTTTCTGTAAATATATTATCTGAGTTTAGGAACCCCATAGAAATTTTCTATACAAAGAAAATTGCCAAAGGATATGGTTTAATGACTCTCATCTATCAATATCTGAAGAAACCTCACTATATATTTTATTTATATTGCATTTTACTAACAGAGTTATATCTTTCGGTATTGTTGTTTAGTCGTTTAGTCGTGTCCGACTCTTTGTGACCCCCTGGACCAGAGCACGCCAGGCACTCCTGTCTTCCACTACCTCCTGCAGTTTGGTCAAACTCATGCTGGTCTCTTCGAGAACACTGTCCAACCATCTCGTCCTCTGTCGTCCCCTTCTCCTTGTGCCCTCCATCTTTCCCAGCATCAGGGTCTTTTCCAGGGAGTCTTCTCTTCTCATGAGGTGCCCAAAGTATTGGTGCCTCAGCTTCACGATCTGTCCTTCCAGTGAGCACTCAGGGCTGATTTCCTTCAGAATGGAGAGGTTTGATCTTCTTGCAGTCCATGGGACTCTCAAGAGTCTCCTCCAGCACCAGAATTCAAAAGCATCAATTCTTCAGCCATCAGCCTTCTTGATGGTCCAGCTCTCACTTCCATACATCACTACCGGGAAAACCAGAGCTTGAATTATACGGACCTTTGTCAGCAAGGTGATGACCTTTTGGTATAGACATACCTAAATGGATTCTGAACAAATGCAGAACTGATACTCTTTAAATGGATGGGTGAACAAATTTTCACCAGATTGGCATCAATTAGCTATCCTTCCACCCCGGACCAGTTACGTAATAGAATATCCTGATATTTTAGTAAAGGCATCTGTCATTTGCATCAACGTGGGAATAGTAATATGAGGAATAAACAGAAGAATATCATCTGTAAAAAAAAGCAGTTTCTATCCAACTGAATTATGTAGATCTCCCTCTGTTTTCTCATAGCACAAACCAAGGTTTCCATGCAGATATTGAAAAGCAAGCGTGGAAGTGGACATTTTTGCCTAGTTCCTCTAAATTGTGCAGGAGTGGCCGACAACATGCTTGTGTAATATTCAGTGCGTCTGTCTAGAAAGGTGTTATTTTTTGCAAGCTGTTGATTCCATGGGGCACCGAGGCAGAGATGAACCGAGAAAAAGCAAAGGGTCCTCTCTGCCCCAAGGATGCTGACCTCATCCTTCCTTTCTCCCAGCAGGTGGATATCGAACAGCTGGACCCCCGAGGGCGCACCCCCTTGCACCTAGCCACCACCCTGGGGCACCTAGAGTGCGCCCGAGTCCTCCTGCGCCATGGGGCGGACGTGGGCAAGGAGAACCGCAGCGGCTGGACAGGTAAGTCTCACCTCTTCCGCCTGGGAGTTGAAATCAGCGTTTTAGGGGCAGGGGCAGGCTGCCAGTTTGTTTGGGACAGCCTGATCTGCACTGGCTGGCAGCAGTAGGCCAGGGGAAGGGCCAGGAAAAGGGTGGGCCTGATTCGGCCAGAATGAAGTACCACTCCCTTGGTTGCAGTGCTCGTCTTTCCCATTGATACAGTCCTCTAGTTTGGCTGAATCACGGCACAAACCACAGTTGTGCATATGCTTACTCAGAAGTAAGCCCCACAGTGTCCAAAGGAGCCTCCTTGATATCTTGCTATTTATCTATTTATTGCCTCATCATCTTTATTATCATTTCAATATATCACCCTTTATCTAATTATCCCAAGGCGATGTACAACGTTAAGAACATAATTACGCAGCACAACAATAAAAGCATAACATAGAGCATGATAATAAAATAATCACAATAGCAGTCCTTCCTACATTTGACAGGCCATAAGATTATTTAATGGCCATAGGCCTGGGTCAAGAAATATGTAATGATGGCGCCAGGCGAGGCTCTCTGGGGAGAGCATCCCACAATTGGGGAGCCACCACAGAAAAGGCCAGGTCTCATGTTCCCACCCTCTGAGCCTCTCTGGGCCTCAGATGCCAAGCGCCCAGTCTGTTTGTAAGGGGAGAGGTGGTCCTGGACATGTTGAGGTCCTGAGCCAAGTAAGGCTTTATAGGTCAGCACCAGCACTTTGAACTGGGCCTGGAAACTAATCAGCAGCCAGTGCGGTCGGTCCAGGATTGGCGTTAGGTGCTCAAACCATCTTGTTTTCATGAGCAATCTGGCCTTTGAATTTTGTACCGGCTGAAGTTTCCCACCTTCTCTTAAGAAACACAAGGTGGTTTACGTGGTTCTTCCCCCACAACATCCCTGTGAGGTAGGTTAGAGGATGAGAGGCAGTGAGCTTCGTGGCTGAGTGTGGGATTTGAACTCTGGTCTCTCCCAAGTCCTAGTCCGACATTCTAACCACTAGGCCATGCTGGCTCCATGGTAAGTGCGCTTTGGACTAGAGACTTAGACTGAAATCCCACGCACCAGAGGGCTTGATATGTGTGTGTGTGTGTAAACGTGGCCCTCACAGACTCTCTGTCTGGCCCTTGGGACTCTCCCCAGACCACGCCTCTCACTGGCTCTCCTTTACACCTTCCGTGAGTGCTTTTGCCCACCTGAAAATGGCTCCCTGAACTCTGTCCATGCCTCTTGCCTTGCCTGGATGGAGGACAGAGAGGAGTGTGCAGGTGTAGAAGCCAGGCTCCTGTATAAAGGTAAAATTTGCATGTGTTGCCCCGCCCACTCTTGGATCCTCTGGCCCTGCCCACTGTGGTCGTGTGGCCCCCAAAAAGCTGTCCAGAAGTGAATGAGGCCCTTGGGCAGACAATAGTTCCCCACCCCTGGTATAGGCAGTTAGCTGGAAGTAAGTCCCATAGAATGCAGCAGGGCTTACCTCCGAGTAAATTTGCCTGGGACGGCGCCACTGCCTTCCTCTACCAGTGCCCATTTACTGCCCTAATTAAAATGCCTTTGCCTTTTAGACGGGTGAAAGCTTTAATCTCTTTACCGCCCTACGGCAATAAATATTTGATTTGTCGCTTTTACAAATTTATTACATGGCTTTGTTTTCTTTCAACCTCTCGCGATTCTGTGGTTTTCTTGATGTGGGTGGGAGTGTTCCTTAACTGCTTTGAAAAATTATTTAGGGAATTTGCCATATGAAACACTGAAACCGCCGAGGTGTTCTGGGGTAAATGGTGCATATTCTTCCAGAGATTTTGCCTCCTATAATCACTTCCAGCTTGGCTTCCAGGATGCCGAGCCAATTATGAAATTAACGCACTTGGATGGAGTTGCGCTTCTCTGTGAAACGGCAAGCCTTGAAACAAGCAGGCAGAGCCAGATTTCTTCAAACCAGCTTTTACTCTCGTTGGACGGCCCGGTTCAACCACAGCTGATGTGCGACCTGTTTTTAATTCTCAGTTTCTCTATTTTAAACAATGGGTTTGTTGGTTTCACTTCTGACCAGTTTCACTTTTCAGTTTTTTGCTTTGCGGTTTATTTATTTATTTACTGTTTCCTCCAAGGAATTTTGTTGTTGTTCTTTAGTCATTTAGTCGTGTCCGACTCTTCGTGGCCCCCTGGACCAGAGCAGGCCAGGCCCTCCTGTCTTCCACTGCCTCCCGTAGTTTGGTCAAACTCATGCTGGTAGCTTCGAGAACACTGTCCCACCATCTCGTCCTCTGTCATCCCCTTCTCCTTGTGCCCGCCATCTTTCCCAACATCAGGGTCTTTTCCAGGGAGTCTTCTCTTCTCATGAGGAGGCCAAAGTATTGGAGCCTCAGCTTCAGGTTCTGTCCTTCCAGTGAGCACTCAGGGCTGATTTCCTTCAGAATGGAGAGGTTTGATCTTCTTGCAGTCCATGGGACTCTCAAGAGTCTCCTCCAGCACCATAATTCAAAAGCATCCATTCTTCGGAGATCAGGCTTCTTTATGGTCCAGCTCTCCCTTCCATACATCACTACTGAGAAAACCATAGCTTTAACTATATGGACCTTTGTTGGCAAGGTGATGTCTCTGTTTTTTAAGATGCTGTCTAGGTTTGTCATTGAAGGAATTCTTTTAAAAAATAATAATAATATTTTTATTAAATTTCCAAAAAAGACACATAAAATTGCAATGCATTTTAAAAAGATATTTCTTTTCTATTTTTTGATTTCCCAGCCCATTTCCCATGGTGTTTTACTTATCTCTCCTTTGCTGCACCTTATCTTAACTCTTTTTAATATCATAATCATCACAATAGCCTCCAAGGAGTTCAAGGTGGGCCCTGCACTGGTCTCCCCCTCCTCATTTAATCCTCACAACAACCGTGTGAGGTAGACCAGGCTGAGGGGCAATGAAGCCCCTAAGGTCACAGGCAGTGAGTTTCATGGCTGAATGGGGGGATTTGAACCCGGGTCTGAGTCTGACACTCTGATGGCAGGATGGCTCTTTTTCTGGCGGGGGATGGGGGTGGTAGGTGAATAAATTTAAGGACAGCAAAGAAATTCCTTTCATCGGGAATTCCCACATTCCCACATCAGTGGGCGGGGCCTGGGGCAAAAGTGGGCAGGGCAACAAAGGTAAATGCTACCTTTACTGTACAGGGAAAGTTGGAGTTTTCTGCATAGACCCGCCCTCACCTCTTCATCCAGGAAGGATAATGGAGGAATGGTCCATCATTCAAGGACCTGTTCCAGGCAAGCAAAAAGCAATCAAGTAGGGGTGGAGTTTGCAAGGGAAAAGTTTGCAAGTTTGCAAGAGAAAGTTTGCAAGGGCCAGACAGACGGGGGGAGGGCCACATTGGATCCCAGACCTCAGCCCCCCTGCAAAGGTGAACGGATTTATTATGATGTCAGCTGTCAGGCGCCTCGGAAGATGTGTGAAGTGTTATCTTCAGTTTGCAGGGATAACTTCTTTATATATATTGGTCAGACCCCATCTGTGTCCAGTTCTGGGCACCTCAGTTTAAGAAGGATATCGACAAGGTGGAAGGTGGGCAGAGGAGGGCAAACCAGGTGATCAAGGGTCTGGAAACTAAGCCTTATGAAGAACGGTTGAAGGAGCTGGGAAGAGAAGAAACTGAAAGGAGATAGGGTGGCCATCTTTAAATAGAAGAGGAGAAAAGCTTGTTTTATGGAGGAAAGGACCCGAACCCATGGTTTCAAGTTGCAAGAAATGAGATTCCAACTAAACCATGGGAAGAACTTTATGCCAATGCCCCTCCCCCCCAGCCCCTGACTCTCCTTTGCTCTTCCTCCACAGTCTTGCAGGAGGCGGTGAGCACCCGGGACCTGGAGCTCGTCCAGCTGGTGCTGCGTTACCGTGACTACCAGCGGGCCATCAAGCGCCTGGCCGGCATCCCCCTCCTGCTTGAGAGGCTGTGCAAGGTGAGCAGGGGGGCTTCCTTGAACTCGTCGCCATCGTCATCCCTAAGGGAGAAGAAAAGTACTCTCCTGGTTGTCTCTGCTGCCGGTGGTTTTCTAGATTGTAACCCCCTCAGGGCAGGGACCTATAGCCTTTTGTTGGAAATAAATGCATCCCGTCCACTGCCTGTTTCTCCTCTCTTCCTCTGTTGGACTACAACTCCCATCAGTGCCAGCCAGAGTGGTCCAGAGTGATGGGAGCTGGAGTCCAACACAGGTGTGAATGTTCCCATCTGTTAATTCCTGGGGGCTTGAGCTGTTGTTAAAGGCAGAGGAGTCAGGGGTGGTAAAAAAGTTGGCAACCCTGGTTATACTGTACATTTAAATGAATGAATCACACAGAGAGAGAGAGTCGAGAGTTTTTCAAGCCTCATACCTAGGAGACCGGGCTACAGCTGAGCCAAGAGTGAATCCAGGCATCCGGCGTCCCTTTGACCTCTGTAGCCCTTGACCTTTGACCTCTTCTCTCCTTACACCAGGCTCAAGATTTCTACGTGGAGATGAAATGGGAATTTACGAGCTGGGGTATGTTTGCATGCAGAATAATAATAAAAAGTAACTGTAGGATTAATAATAATAAATGTAACAACATTAATAATAACTACTTTGGGTTCATTTGGGTATGAGGTTGTGGGCTTCCCCTCCCATCACTGAACGCAACATGCCCTCACCCCCATCCTGCCTTTTCCCCCATTAAAAGTGATATCAAGACTTCAACATAAGCTGGGGTTTATCTTCCACCCTCAGCACCTTCTGTGCATCCTTGGGATAATTCAAGAACACCTCTGAACATGCACAGAGTCCTTTCCCCCCACTTTGGGGTTTCAAAGCCAGGCTTTTAGGGGGAGCTCTGAGCCATGGATGGGGACCTGCTTTGCCCCAGCGGGCGAGATCTTTATTTATATAGACCATTGTTCCGTTAAAAATCAGCAAAAATACATAAAGCCATGCAGCCAAAACCAAACAGAAAAGTTAAAACCAAGCAGGGTAAATTGGGAGATGATGTAGAAGCACCGACACCTAATGCCGCCTCTCTTCCCCTCCCCTCGGCAGTCCCCCTGGTCTCCAAAATCTGCCCCAGCGACACCTACAAGGTCTGGAAGTGTGGGCAAAACCTCCGGGTGGACACGACGCTCCTGGGCTTCGACCACATGACGTGGCAGCGCGGCAGCCGCAGTTTCATCTTCCGAGGACAAGGTTGTTGGGAGCTCGGCTGAGCCGCTTCGCGTCCCGGGGCCCCGTAGGGAAGGGAACTTGAGGAAGGAGGGAGAGTCGGGGCCACACTTTCCCGTTGCGGAAAGTCAGTGCTTTTGGGGGGACTGCGGCAGTGCATGGTGGTGAAACGGGGCACAATTATATTGTGATGAGTTATATAAAGTCTGTATTGATTGTATAGTTGCTCTGGATTCCTAACCTGCTCTAAGGGCCTTGAGGCAGCAGACACCTGCTTGTCGTCTCCACAACAACCCTGTGAGGTAGGCTAGGCTGAAGGGTGAAGAAAAGCTTGTTCCTGAAGTTGTACTGGTGCATCTAGCAGCTTTGCAGCTGCAATTGCTACAATTTGTGTGGGGGTTTTTATTGTTTGATACTGAGGGGTATACACATTATCAAAGAAATAAATAATTTGGGGGTTGGGTTGCACCCCATGGTGGCTGTTGCCCTTTGGGCATGGATGGGGCAGAAGGCAGGGAGCCCGACAGCAGGTGGCGCCAGAGCCAACTTACTCCTGTTTTGTCCCCATCTTCCTCCTCCTTCTTCTGTGTTCTCACTGGGACTGAAGGAAGCTGGCAGCCCCAGAGACCGGCAGGCAGCAAGAAGGCAGCTGGTTGTGGGGTGGCTGAGATCAGACCGAGGATGGTGGGGCAGTGCCGTATTTTCCCTAAGGGACTGCACACTCCACTGGTTTCCCCTTTGGCCAAGCCAGATTGTCAGGATACATCCCTCTCAGGAGGGCACCGGTCATTTCTCTCTCTTCCTCTGCTCCGCAGACAGCAGCGCCGTCGTGATGGAGATTGACCACGACCGGCAAGTGGTCTACACTGAAACACTGGCGCTGGCCACCCACGACCGGGAGGGACTCCTGGCCATGGTGCAGCCCACGGAGGAGCAGGTGATGGGCCGCCTCCTGGCCCCCGTGGTCGCCACACAGTTGGACACGCGCAACATTGCCTTTGAGAGGTGAGCCAGGATCGCATCCTCTGGAGCAGCGGGGAGGGAAACCTCTGCCCCGCGGGCCAAATGTAGCCCAAGCCATGCCCTCTTTCCCAGGCCATGCCCTCTCCTGAGCCACACCCCTTTCCTGGCCCCTCGTCACCCCTCCTTCACCCTCTCCTTGAGTGTTTTCGCCTGATCGTTCCTCTTTTCCTGGGCTGGAAGGAGCAGAGAGAGGCGTGTGTCAGTGTCAAGGTGGGTGCCGGGAGCAGGTCAGCCACAACTCACAAGTTGTCAGTGAAGTTGACTCTTTAGTCAAAGAAACAAAACAGCGCAGGCCTAGTGGTCACAGCAACTCTTCCCAGCAGAACTTGCCCCAAGGAGGCAGTTGCGCAGCCCCACCTTCCCACAGCTCCCTAAATCTCCTCTTCCCCCAGGTCTTTTTCAAGTGGTCTGAGGCTCCTTCATCTTGCCTGTCTTTGCTACGCCCTCTTCATACCTCTACTGGTTCTGGGCGGTCAGGGGGAGACGAGCTGGCCTACCTCATCTCTGCCTCTTGACCCCACTCCTCTACAGCCTCCACTTACGCCTCTGATTCTGGATTTCTCTTGGCCCCAGCCTCTTCCTGCTCACTAAGTCCTTACCTCTTTAGCTTCCGACGCCGCCTCCTCCCAGTCTTCTCCCTTGTCTGCCTCTGACCAGTCATTGTTGTCCCACCACCGCTCCCCTGGCCCTGAGCCTTCTCCCCTTGGGGGTTCCCCAACTGCTGCCTCTCAGCACTGCTCTGCGTCCAGGCAGTCCATGACAGAGAGAGTAGAAGCTCTCCTACTACTCTCCTACTACTCTATGATGCTCTCCACCCCCATCGTTCTGCCCGGACACTGAGGTCCAGCTCCGAGGGCCTTCTGGCGGTTCCCTCCCTGCCAGAAGCCAAGTTACAGGGAACCAGGCAGAGGGCCTTCTCGGTGGTGGCACCTGCCCTGTGGAACACCCTCCCATCTGATGCCAAAGAGATAAACAACTACTTGACATTTAGAAGACATCTGAAGGCAAGGAAGGTTAACAACAGGAAGATTTAAAGGAACTATTCGAAAGACTATTCACGGCAGCAGAGATATGAGATGATCAGAGTCCCCCCGAACTTGAAGCATGGGGAGTCCCAACAAAAAAATTTAGGCAGAATATTTGGACTATTTGATATGTATTTGTATAATTTGGAACATTCAATGTGATTTGATTGGATTGTTAACATGGGAAACTTAATAAAAATCATATATATATATATATATATATATATATATATATATATATATATATGAAGACATCTGAAGGCAGCCCTGTTCAGGGAAGTTTTTAATGTGTGACATTTTAATGTATTTTTAATCTTTTTTGGAAACTGCCCAGAGTGGCTGGGGAGACCCAGCCAGATGGGCGGGGTACAAATAATAAATTATTATTATTATTATTACTAGACAAAGGGAGAACTTTCAAGCATTGCTCTGCCTCTTTTGCCTCTTTTGCCTCTGGCCCCTGAGAGGCTGCCCAGGAGAACATGCGGCCCTCGTTTTGAAAATGCTGGGTTGGGTTGAGTTGTGAGAGTCCCCCTTGTAGGTGTCTCCAACCAACGTCTCCTCCAGCTGATTGCTTCCACGGTGGATGCCTGTTCTTCTGCGCCTGGAAGAGGAGCTGCTACACAAAACAAATGAAATACCGTGAAAATCCCTGAAACAAGAAGTAATCGACTAGAAATATTATCTTATAGAAATGAACTAAATAATAAAAATTTAAAAAAAGGAAAATTTAGAAAAACCTAGAATTGTACAAAGCCTTAACGGGATGCCGGCTACAAATCTCGTTTTGTACAATTCTAGGTTTTTCTAAATTAAACTTTTTGAAACTTCTCATTTCAGGGATTTTCACGGTATTTCATTTGTTTTGTGTAATTTCTCGGTTCCGTGACTGTCTTTTTTCTCCTGGAAGAGGAGCAGCTGCTATTGGCATCCAAACCGCACCCAAGACTGGGCTCCACCTGGCCTCTCCCCATCTTCCTCTTTGAACTGGACCCACGGAGTTGAGTGATGATTTATTCTGTGGCTGGGAGAGAGAGCTAAGCTCCACCTCTGCTGTTGTTCCACCTCTCCCTTCCAGGAACAAGACGGGTATTTTGGGCTGGAGGAGCGAGAAGACGGAGGTGGTGAACGGGTACGAGGCCAAGGTGAGGACCGGTCCGGGCGAGTATCTTCTCAGGAGAAGGGTCTTTGGGTAGAGAGAGTAAGCAAAGGACCGTACAGTCGGAGCGATGGAAGCAGAGAGCTTTATTGAAGAAGACGAGGAGCTTGAAACTGCTGCAGGGAATGTTGGGAGCCAAGGGAAGTTGTGCTTTCCCAGAGCCACCGGCAGCAACCTTTGGCATTTTCCCTGTCTCCCTCTTCAGGTTTACGGGGCTTCCAATGTAGAGCTCATCACTCGGACGCGGACTGAGCATCTCTCGGAGCAGCACAAAGGAAAAACCAAAGGTAAGCCTTTTGACCTCTCCTTGCGGGGGTCTTCCAGGGTGTACAAGGCGGGCAGAATCCTGACACCCAAGAGCCACACTGCCTCTGTCTAGAGCCTAAGCTGAGGGTGATCCAGTGGATTTGCGGTGGATGAACCACCCATGTTTTAACCGATTGCCAGTCCAGTTAAAAGTCAAGGGCTGTAGCTCAGTGGCAAGTCCCAGGTTGAGTCTCCAAAAGCATCTTCAGGTAGGACAAAACCCCTCGCTGGGAAACCTGGTGAGCCGCTGCTGCCAGTCAGTGCAGGGAACACTGGGCTTGATGAGACCAACTCAGCCCAAGGCAGTTTCCTATGTGTTTCCTCAGCTCTACCGCTGAGCTGCGGCCCGTTCTCAAAGTCTCAGAGATGGGATGAGGGCTGATGACCGAGATCACTGAGAAAGCCACAGATTCCCAGCCCGGGAGAATGCTCTACTGGTGTGTCTGTCTTTCACAGGCGGGAAAACCCCTCTCCAGTCCTTCCTGGGCATTGCCGAACAACACGTGGGCCCCAACAATGGGGTGAGTAATAAGTGGGGGCCACAGGTATGGGGGACACTGCACCCCAGAGGCCATTTGAAGGCTCCTTTTGTTGTACAGTGGTACCTTGGTTTAAGAACAGCTTAGTTTATGAACAACTTGGATTAAGAACGCTGCAAACCCGGAAGTAGGTGTTTTGGTTTGTGAACTTTGCCTTGGAAGCAGAACATGTTCGGCTTCCTGTTGAGTGTGTTCCATTTGTAAATTGAGTCCCCCGCTGCTGTGGGAAAGCACGCCTTGGTTTAAGAAAGCTTTGGTTTAAGAATGGACTTCCGGAACGGATTAAGTTCGTAAACCAAGGTACCACTGTAATAATGTTTTGAAGCACAGCTGGAGAGCTTCAGACCAAGGGCCAGATGTGGATCTCCAGGCTTCTTTGTTTGGCCCACGGGACTCTCCCCAGGCCATGCCCCTACACAGGCCACGCCCACTCCTGAGCCATGCCCCCTACCCAGGCCACGCCCCTCACTGCCCCTTGCTTTGCCCCATCCTGGAAAGGTGTCCTTGAGCTTTGCTAACAGCTCCGGGATAGAGGACAGAGAGGGTGTGTGTTTGTGAAGAAACCAGCCTAGTGCATGAAGTTATAATTTGCATTTCTCGTCCCACCCCCTTTTGCCTCCAGCTCCACCAACCTCTGGCATGTGGCCCCCAGAAGCTTGTCTGAAAGGCAGTGTGGCCCTAAGGCTGAAAAAGGCCCCTGTCTGTTTTTTCAGGTTTTATTGCTGATGATGGTTCCATTCATACATTCATTCCCCACACCTCCTCATTTAATCCCCAGAACAGCCCTGCGAGGTAGACTAGGCTGAGAGGGATTGACTGGCCTGAAGTCACCCAGTGAGAGCTTCATGGCCAAGTGGGAAGATTCGAACCCTGGTCTCCCCAGGGTCCCAGTCCGACACTCTAACCACGATGCCTTCACTGGCTCGCTGTGCCCCTCGTAAGGTGGGATAGAAAGGATCTCAAACAGAAACCAAGGCTTGGCGAAGCGACAAACCCCTTCTTAGGATACCCTCCCTCCAGCCTTGCCTTGGTTTCCCAAACACCGTCCCTCCCACCCCCTAAAGTGTCTGGAGTGCCGACATCCACCCAAAGTCCTCCACTTCAAGGAGGATATTGATAAGGTGGAACATGTGCAGAGGACGGCGACCTAAATGATGAAGGGTCTGGAAACCAAGCCTGATGAGGAACGGTTGAAGGAGTTGGGTATGTTTAGCCTGGAGAAGGAGCCTGAGAGGAGATAGGAGAGCCATCTTCAAATATCTCAAGGACTGTCACTTGGAAGATGGAGCAAGCTTGTTTTCTCCTGCTATGGAGGGTAGGACTCGAAGCAATGGATTCAAGTTACAGGAAAGGAAATTCCAACATTAGGGAGAACTTTCTGATGGTAGAAGTCGTTCAGCAGCAGAACGGACTCTCCTCCATCAGGGGTTTTAAGCAGAGCTCGGCTGTCCATCCACCTGGGATTGTTTAGCCGTGCTTCCTGAATTGGAGGGGCTTGGACCCAATGACCCCAGGGGTCCCTTTCCAACTCTCCGATTCTGTGTATTCGCAGAGTGTTGCGAAAGAACGATTTCTATCAACATTTGATGATCTCCTTCTACCAGTCCACAATAGAAAGTGTCCTTTCATACTGCATCACGGTGTGGGATGCTGGTTTGACATCAGCTGATAGGAAGTGCCTACGGAGGGTGGTAGGGACGCGGGTGGCGCTGTGGGTTAAACCACAGAGCCTAGGACTTGCCGATCAGAAGGTCAGCGGTTCAAATCCCTGCGACGGGGTGAGCTCCCGTTGCTCGGTCCCTGCTCCTGCCCACCTAGCAGTTTAAAAGCACATCAAGGTGCAAGTAGATAAATAGGTACCACTCCAGTGGGAAGGTAAACGGCATTTCCGTGTGCAGCTCTGGTTCGCCAGAAGCGGCTTAGTCCTGCTGGCCACATGACCTGGAAGCTGTACGCCGGCTCCCTCGGCCAGTAAAGCGAGATGAGCGCTGCAACCCCAGAGTCGGTCACGACTGGACCTAATGGTCAGGGGTCCCTTTACCTTTACCTTTACAGAGGGTGGTGAATACAGCACAAGATATTATGGGCTGTCCCGTGAATCCGCTGGATGAAATAGCGGAAGAACGTTGCCTTAGGAGAGTGAGGAAAATTCTCAGGGATGATTCACACCCTGGGCGGCACTTTCTTGATCTCCTGCCCTCGGGCAGAAGATATAGAAGCAGGATTAGTCGCACCAACAGGGTAAAGAACAGCTTCTGTCCATGGGCTGTTAGGCTGCTGAATGAAAAGATAACAACAGGGCAACTGACTTTCGGGTTTGGTGCGTCAGAAAACGAGGGGAATTAAGACTAAAAGAGCTGACAAAAATGGTTGAATACGTGGAATTAGCAAAACTAACCCACAGAATCCGTAACTAAGAGGAAACAAAGTTCAGAAGTGAATGGAGTAAATATACGGAATAATTGTAGAAGTTTAAAGACTGTAGTAGGATTTTAAAAAAAAACTTATGACATGAATAGGATGATGTTAAGAATATGTGAAAAAAGGAAAGATTAATATGAAAACCTTTGAAGGGAGGGAGGGAAGTCTGTGCTCGATAGAGCGTTGAGAAAATAAGTGTACATAAGACTGTAGAACATTAGTGTATTCGTTTTGTTTTGTTTGTGTTAAAGAAAACTTAATAAAAAGCATTTTAAAAAAAGAAAGACTAAGAGATCTGAGTGTGGGGTGCTTGTGTAATCTCACTGTATACAAGTGACAATAAAGTATTTCAATTCCAATTCCATTCTCTCTCCCCGCAGGCTCTCATCACGCAAACTTTGAGCCATGCCAACCCCACAGCCATCACGCCAGAGGAATACTTCAACCCCACTTTCGAGCTGGGCAGCCGAGATATGGGGCGCCCCATTGAACTCACCACCAAGACGCAGAAGTGAGGCTGGCTGGCTGGCTGGCTGGGTGGCAGGGAGGGAGGGAGGGAGGGAGGGAGGGATAGAGATCCTCCTTTGAGTGGGCTGGAGGTAAAGGACAGCCCAGGGCTCACAGTCTCTCTCTCTCCCCCCCCCCCCGGGCTTCTCTGTCTCCCTCCGTCAGGTTCAAGGCAAAGTTGTGGCTCTGCGAAGACCACCCTCTCTCGCTGGCTGAGCAGGTGGCCCCCATCATTGACCTGATGGCCGTCAGCAACGCCCTCTTTGCCAAGCTGCGGGACTTCATCACTCTGCGCCTGCCCCCGGGCTTCCCTGTGAAAATCGGTGAGGAGACCCCCACCCCACCCCCCGGGCAGAGCTGGGCTGGTTGGTCCTTGACCTTCACGCTTGGGCATTGCAGTGGGTTGAGCTACGTGACCCTCGAGGTCCCTTGCAGCTCCACGACTTTACGAAATGCTCCTTTCACTCTGGGCAAGAGAGCCCAGAAATCATGGAGTTGGAAGGGGTCCGAGGGTCATCTAGCCCAACCCCCCTGCAGTGCAGGAATCATGGCTAATTCTGGGCAGCCAGGGCCGTAGACGACACTGGGTGTGTTCACATTTGTGGCCTGAAATGCAGAGAGGTCATCCCCTCTGTCCTCGGCTGCATTTTGAGCTGCATTTACGCAGATGTTTTCTCAACAATATAGGGATTGGAGATGCCACACCCAACATGCAGGGCTTTTCTTACTCTTTTTCCCCTGTAACACGCCCCCCCCCCTAAAATTCCTATTCACAAACCTGTCATCTGCCCCATTGGAGGTGCACTCCATTGTCTTCAGAGACAGATGGATGCCAACCCAGACAGGACCTTAAGGTCCACAAATAACAACACTTTGGAGGTCCCGAGCCTCAAGGAGGTTAGATTGGTTTCAACTAGGGCCAGGGCCTTTTCAGCACTGGCCCCAACGTGGTGGAACGCTCTGTCACAAGGGGCTAGGGTCCTGCAGGACTTGACATCTTTCTGCAGGGCTTGCAAGACAGAGCTGTTCCGCCTGGCCTTTGGTTTGGACTCGGTCTGACCCTTATTTTTCCCTCCCCTTATGGTCTTGATTTATCAGCTGCTTTAAAATGAGGCTGCATTTTAAATTGCATTTTAACCTGTATTTTAAATTGGGTTTTCCCCCTTTTCTCCCCCCCTTCCCCCCCCATTATATTTTTACTGTGATTTTGTTGGTTCTGGCCGGGAGGGCGTGGTATAAATAAAAATAATTATTATTGTTATCATGTCTATTCATTTCAGTGGCTCTACTCTGAGTAGGACTAACATTCCATAAAATACCTAATCTCTCTCGTTCTCTCCCCACCTGGCTAGAAATCCCCATTTTCCACATCCTCAATGCCCGCATCACCTTTGGAAACCTCAATGGCTGCGATGAAGCTGTGGTCTCGATCCGAGGGGCCGGCAGCCCTGGCAGTGACGCTCCATCGCCAGGCAGTGATCGCTCCAGCATAAGCAGTTCCAGCTCTCTTGGTATGTTGGGGGGCAGTGGAAGAACATAAGGGGAACCTGCTGGATCAGGCCCATGTCCTATCTGGTTCAGCCTCCTCTTCCCACGGTCGCCAAGCAGATGCCCCAAAGCGAAACCCACAAGCAGGACTTGAACACAAGACCCCTCTCCCCTCCTGCGGTTTCCAGCAACTGGGATATAGAAACATCACTGCCTCTGTTTGTGTAGGCAGAGCGGAGCCATTGTGGGTGGCAGCCATCAACAGCCCTTCCTTACTCCACAAATTTGTCCAGTCCTCTTATAAACCCATCTTGGTTGTTGGTTGTCACTGCCTCCTGTGGCAGTGAGTTCCATAGATGAGCTATGTGCTGTTTGAAGAAACAGCTGGGAGCCTTTGGTGGGGGGGTCCCCTCAGCTGTATGAGGTATGAGGGAAATGGATGTAAAAGGGGGGGGGCTTTTAAAGGGAATGGAGGGGGCATGAAGCAAGATACAAAATGTCCAATGCACTCAGAAGGAATTATAACACCACTTAGGGGCCATGTGCCCAAAATTGCCTCGGAAGTTTCAGAAACAAAATTATAATAATCAGTGCAATTTAGAAACAAGTGGTTAAAACCTCCTTCTCCTTCTCCTTCTACTTCAGCCTTCAGCAGCAATCACTCGTAGCCGAGTAAGATTGTCTTCCATAAACACGGTTTTAACAATGAGCCTGTAAATGGCTGTGGAGGCCAATTCCTGATCCACACGTCCGTCCACAGTGGGGACATAGGTTTCTGGGCGGGAGTTGATCTCGGTGAGGGTTTGCCAAGCGTGCCTTCCTCCTAGCACGTTTCTCCCTTGCGTCCTGAGTTCGAGTGTCTTCAAAGCCCATGACACCTTTGGTAAAGGCTGTTCTCCACTGCAGTTTCGAAAGATGCAGCCCCTCTTGATTCAAGATGGCGTCTGACCATCTCCAAATACAGGCAGGCATCTGCTCCTTGGTCTAGGAAGCTCTCCTGCAAAGCCTGATTCCAGCAAACAGGAAAACCACCTTCCAAAATACAGAGCAGAGCCATAGCAGAGGAAACCAGAGGAAACTTCAGGGCAGAAGTCCAAGGCCCCATTCGGCAGAGCAAGGGGGAGGGCACAGGTACATTTTCCAGGGGTGGGGAGTAAGCAGAGGAAGGCGTGATGAAACGAGACCTCTTTGGCAGGGGGGCTGTGCTATGGCTTTGATCCTCTCCACCCCCCCAGGTTCCTGCCGGTGCTATGAGATGGACCCGTCTCTGTTCGAGGCCCCACGAGGCTACAGCGTCATTGGGACCCATCCGGAGCCCCTGCGGGGAGAAGACGACGATGACCTCCTCCAATTCGCCATCCAGCAGAGTTTGCTAGAAGCTGGGAGCGAGTATGACCAGGTGGGCCTCTCCATCCCTCCCCTGTTCCCCGAGACCAGAGCTGTAGGGCAGTGGTTCTGGGCTCTCACTCTCTTCCCTCTTTTCTTCCGGTGCGTCTGTTTCTGTCTGCAATGTCCCTTCATGCCTGAACCCTAAACTGTGGTTGAACTTACAGTTTAAAGGGAACGAGCCAGCTTCAGAAACTGTGGTTTTGGCAAACCACAGTTGAACAGAGTACGCTTAAGACTAGCTGTTGCGTTCTGAAGGCAAAGGAAGGACTGGACCCTGATTAATACAACAGACACGAGGCTTGACCAGCAAGACCCTGGGAGAAAGTGCTCTTGCCACTCTCTGGCCCAGGTCATTTTATTCACAAAAGAACTTTAACACAGTGTTTGTAAGAACCAATCAGATTTCCTCTGAGCATTTCAAGAAATTCCCACGTGGGGACAAAGTCAGATCAGAGGAAGCCTCTTAACTACAAAGAACTATTTCCTATTTGAGTATGCATACATGTTGAGGCTAAATAAACAGGAACCAAGGAGGAATGCATGTAGCAAACCCCGGAGGTCATAAAAGGAAAGACAGGCATTTTACCACCTCCATGTGAATTCTGTTCCTGGCCCTAAGATCCTGGCCCTAAAATTAACAAAAGCTACATCACAGCTACCTCTTTATATTTCTGTGTAGAATGCTTTATACGTGACTGTCAGGCATAGGGAAAATGGGGCAGAGATGCAGAGGCTTGTGGGATTGATCAGAAACCGTGTCAATGACTTCATTTTTCATAATTCCTCATAGCAATCCCACATGACCACCACAACTAACCATGGATTGTTCAGATTGGGACGTAACACTAAACTGTGGTCAGCTGAAAATGGAAGGAGAACCTTCCTTTTTTCCCCTCGTATGCAGAATGCTAAACTACAGTACAAAAGCAGGCAGAAAAGTGAGGGTCCGAGCTTTCAGGTGCATCGAGGAGCAAATGTCTTCTGCCCCCCCACCTCATCCCCTCTCGTCCCCTGCAGGTTACCATTTGGGAGGCCCTGACGAACAGCAAGCCAGGCACCCACCCCATGTCCCAAGATGGGCGCAAAGTCGACAGGTGAGCGCAGGATGCTTCTGACAACATCCCTTCTCCATTTCTGGGGTCTCCACACCAGGGGCAGGCAAACTTCACCCTGGTCAGATCTGCTTTGGGTTTCTTTAACAGAACCCCCAAACCCTCCAGCCAGAACCAATTGCAAAAGATACATTGGGGAAAACATTTAAGAACAGAGTGCCTCTGAGCTCAGGGATTTGTTTTCAACACTGAGCTGATGCAAAAGTCCATTCCTGGTTAGCAAAAGATTTGTTTTTGATTCAGAGGCCTAATTGGACCATAGAGAGGCACCTTTTGGGTGTTCCCACTGTCGTTTGTCTCCCGGTTGTTGACTCCCAGTTGTTTGTCAACATCCACAAAGAGCCTTGTTTTACTTTAAAGGCTTGACACATTTTATTACGGCCCCAAGCTTTTGTGGACCACTTCATTCGTAAAAGAAGAACATCTTTTATTATGGTATAAGGGTTAAGAACATCAGAGGATGGAACTGGCAAAATTGTAGAGGGGAGGAGAAGCATTATCTTTTCTAAGTGGTTACTGGTTTCGTATTGTAATATGTTGAAAGAGGGAACAAGGTGAAGGGTTGTATTTTTCAACGTTGTCTTGGCGGTAGATGTTCTTGTCCATGGCTGGTTGGTGGGTGGGTGGGATCCAGCATTCAGTGTAGTAAACGCAGTAGAACTGTCCGTTCTCACATCAGAAGAGCTTGTTGGGAGAACAGGATGCGAGGGGCCTTTTCAGAACCACAGAATCATAGAATTTGTAGAATCGGAAGGGACCACGAGGGTCATCTAGTCTTTGCAATGCGGGAATATTTTGGCTTGACCTGATCCAGCAGGCGCTGCTCTTTAACGTTAGCTATAGAATTCAGCTTTAGGAGAAGCTCGTTTTTGTTTTCAAGAGACAAGTTCCTAGCCCTCATGATTCTGTGGGAACAGGATGCTGCACTCGAGGGGCCCTCTTTGGCCTGTTCCAAACAGGACTTTTCCGGCATCCTCACAAAGTGAAATAAATCAAAATCTGTGTATGTTATACCTTGGTTCCTGAATGGCTTGGCTCCTGAACAAATCGGCTCCTGAACATCACAAACCTGCAAGTACCAGTAAGTGTTCTGGTTTGTGGACGTTTTTTGGAAGTCGAATGTCCGTTTTGGCTGTCAGCAATGTTTCTGGGGCCAATCAGTCAATCAGACGTTGGTTTGCGGACGTTTTGGAAGTCAAATGGACTTCCAGAATGGATGGAGTTTGGGAGCCAAGGTACCACTGTAATTCCATTCCGGCAGCAGAATAAGTCTCCCCTTGACTGATATCATTTAACTGAATTGCAGACTTAAGCAGCCTCTCTTTCCTTTGCTCCTCCAGGACGCCCCAGCACACGCCCCCGCCCCGCCCCACAACCCCACAGCAGCCCCCCGCGGCGCCCACGGCGGGCAGGGGGCCCAGCCACCCGCTGCCCAGTTACGCAGAGCAACTCCGCCTGGCCATGGAGCTGTCCGCAAAGGAGCAAGAGGAGGCCGAGCGGCGCTCGCGGCAGGAAGAGGAGGAGTTCGAGCGGATCCTGCGCCTCTCACTCACCGAACAGTAGCAGAACAACCCCCCCACACCCAATGATCCGGGGAGGGGGGGCGCTGCGCGATGGTGGGGAGGCAGCAGCACCCATGCACAATCCCCTGGCCTGCCTCCAGGTGGCGCCAGAGCTCCGCAGACTCTGAGGACCCCCCCTTTCTATTCTCAGCCATGCCAAGTGACTTATCAGCAAGGATTTTGGGTGGGGGGGGGCCAGGAATGGAAGAATTTGGGGGAGGGGTGTAGAAATACTGACCCGACTGGGGAGGCGCCAAATGCGCCCCACCTCCCCAACACTGAGCCATTTAACAGCCCTCCCCACTCCTCTATTGGGGGGGGCTGGGCAGGTAAGTCTCAACGAACTGGAGGTTTTTGCACGGCGGAGGCACTTAGGGGAGCAAAGTGGGGGGGGGAGAAGAGAAGCAGAATTGCATGCTCCCCCCCCAAAAAAACCACACACACTCAAAACACTTCATCCCTGTCTCTCTACAGCCTGCCAGACTCTTAGCTGGGTGTCTTCCCCATCCTGTGGTGGGCAGGATCCGTCCTCACGGTTATGCATTGCCCATGAAAAGCATCCCACCCTCCCTTTGGGGCTGGGGCAGGGGGCGGCTGTGTGTGTTTCTGCAATTCTGGGCACCAGCAGAATATAGGAAAGGGAGCGGGAATCAATATTGGACCAGAGTGGATCTTTTTTGGGGGGGTTGTGGGGGGGGGTTGCTATGCAGCAGCCGCTGGCCTTGTAAGTTGGGGGAATTCGTGGGTGGAAATAGGAGCTGTTTAATGTCCTACGTTCCCCGATCTAACTTAACTCGCCAGCCTAGATGGCTTTGAAAGAGAACTGGACAAATTAGTGGAACAACAGGCTCTTCTCGCGTTCTTAATACAGTCATACCTCTGTTCTCGAATGGGCTCCGTTCCAGGAATGCGTTCAACTTCCAAAAACGTTCAAAAACCAGGATGTGGCTTCTGCCAGTCGGAGAAGCCACGTCAGACGTTCGGGTTCCAAAGAACGTTCGCAAACCAGAACCACTCACTTCCGGCTTTGCGGCGCTTGGGAGCCAAAACGTTCAAGAACTAAGCTGTTCGAAAACCAAGGTACGACTGTAATAATAATTTGAAATAGTATTTTTTTTCAATTTATATCCCACCCATCTGGCTGGGTTTCCCCAGCCGCTCTGGGCGGCTTACAACATATAGAAAAACACAACAAAACCTCAAACATTAAAAAACAGAGTATCTTATGCAGACTATAAATAAACCAATAAATTGATAGAAAGCAATAACAATAATACCCCCCCCCCAAAAAAAAACCCCTCACCAACTGCTATTAGATCTGGGAGGGAGGAAGACAGACGACATTAGCTCTGGAGGGGGAAATTTAAATATAGAAAATTAAAATTAATTGGAGCCATAGAATTGTAGAGTTGGAAGGGATCCCAAAGGATCATTTAGTCCAACCCCCCGTGATTCAGGAGTCACAGTTTAAGAATCCAGATTATGGGAAATTAGCGTTAGACAGGTTTAAACACGTTCTCAAGTACTGCTTAATCTCTCCAGCCCCAGTCTTCAAAGCAGTCTGTGGGGCTGCTCATTATTTACAAACCAACTAACTAACCAGGAGAGAATTTAATGTCATTTTTAGTTCAGGCTAACAGCTTTCATTTAAAAGCAGCAAGGTTCTAGCCCTCATTGACACCAGAGATACATGTGGCTGATGGGCAGGAAAGCAGAGTGACAAGGTGGAGTCGTGAGGCTGCTTACAGAGTAGACCATTGAGATTAATGGACCCAAGTCAGTCATATCTATTCGCTCCAATGGGTCTACTCTGAGGAGAATCAGCTTTGAGTACAACACCATGGTTCCAGCTCCATCCAAAATGTATTGATCTCTTCCCCTTGCCTGGGAGAAACCATCAATGCCACAAGCAGGGGGGCGGGGAGAGAATAAAATGGCAGAATGGATAGGTATTCTACAGGGACTTTAGCGTTTCATAGTTGGAAGGGATCTGTGGATCATCTACTCCAACCTCTTGCAATGCCGGAATTGCAGCAAGGTGTTGGTTTAAGTTTAAAACGTTGCACACCTTGATAGCACACAGCCTCCCCCCTCCCTGCAGTGGGTCTTCTCTTCACAAGCCTTCTTTTTAAACTTGCGCTTGAATCAGAGCAGGAAAATTGGTGCCCAGCTATGGAGAGAAGCAGGAGATGATTGGCAAGGAAGGACGGTGGTGGGCGGGGCTAGGGGAAAGCAGGCGGAGCAAAGGATGCAAATTTTACCTGTGTTCACTCTGCTCTATCCTCCATCCGAGAGGCAGGATCAGAGCTCCAGGATGCATTTCCAGGCAGAAATCTTCAAGCAGAGTATAAAGCAGGGGCAGTGAGGGGTGTGGCCTGTAGCGAGAAGGTGTGGCCAGGGAGGAGGTGTGGCCTGTAGGGAGAGGGTGTGGCCAGGGAGGTGGGGCCTGTAGGCAGAGGGTGGGGCCAGGGAGGAGGTGGGGCCTGCAGGGAGAGGGTGGGGCCAGGGAGGAGGTGGGGCCTGTAGGCAGAGGGTGGGGCCAGGGAGGAGGTGGGGCCTGCAGGGAGAAGGTGTGGCCAGGGAGGAGGTGGGGCCTGCAGGGAGAGGGTGTGGCCAGGGAGGAGGTGGGGCCTGCAGGGAGAGGGTGTGGCCAGGGAGGAGGTGGGGCCTCTAGGCAGGGGTGGGGCTAAGGAGGAGGTGGGGCCTGGGGATTCCAAGGGCCCAATAGAGAGGCAGGATGGGAGGGACGCCACTTTCAGCCCTGCATTTTGAAAGTCCACAGCGCTGGGATAATTTAACCTGGAGGTGGATCCTGGAGATAAATTCTAGATTATTTTAATCTGAGGACTGCAATTCAGCCAGTAGCCTCTGCCCTTCCCTGCCGCCCAGCACCAAGTGCACTTATGAACCCTGCTCTTCAAAAACCCAGGTCTCTCCTGCCTGATTCCCAACCCTCCCTGTTTGGTATCAACGCTGCAGTGCTGTTTTTGCCTAAACATGGCTTCCAAACTCCAAAGGGAGGACAAGGGGAACCCTAAGTGCCAGGCGTGGGGGGAGGAAGCAGCACCCCCCAAGCCCGGGAAGTGGGGCAAGCTTTCCTTGACATCTCCAGGGCTCCAGTTGCTGCCTACACCTGAGTCAGTGTAAATGGGCAGGTTGATTTTGAAGGCGGAGACGTGTGCAGCTTGGTCTCCCTAGCAGCGAAGAACCGTAGAGTCGAAAGGGACCCCCAAGGGTCATCTAGTCCAGCCCCCTGCGATGCAGGAATCTCAACATGATCATACATGCCAGGTGGCCACCCAAGCTCCGCTTACAAACCTGCCGGGAGCCTGTTCTACCGCCAAGCAGCTCTCGCCGCCAGAACGTTCTTCCTGATGTTGAGTCGGAATCTCCCTTCTCGTAACTTGAAGCCATGGGTTCGGGTCCTCCCTTCCGGAGCGGCAGAAAACAAGCTTGCTCCATCCTCCATGTGACGGCCCTGAACCCACCTCGCTGTCCTCTGCTCTCCCACAGATCCCTGCCCCAAACTCTTCGCTTCTTTTCCTCTTTGAGACAGAGCTCGGAAGTTGGCGGACGTCACAGTAAACCATGGTTTGCTGAACCAGGCCAGTGGCTTTGAAATGGAAGGTTTCAGCCATGACCACTGGCTTTACTGGCTTCAAGGGAGGGGTCTGTCTGCCGCAGCTAAGGGTTTGCTCCAGTTCTTATTCCTCCCCCCCTTCTCCCTGAAAAACACACCTCCCCTGCTGGAGCCCTCCTAGAGCGTCTGGAGCTCTCCGAGGTCACGACAACCCCCGTTGTTCAATGGTGCTAACCTACACACAAATACACACACACACACACGCCTCTTCCTTGTCCAAAACCTTTGCCAGGCAATGGCGGGTGGCCAGAGATAGGCCTCTAGGCCTAGTTCTCAGACGTGCCCCCACCTCAACACCCCACCGAGACAAGACAAATGTGTCGTGCACAGTTTGGGGGTGGACTGGGGTCGGGTGTGTGTGGCTCTTCGGAAAGGATGTGGGTCCTTAACCCCCACGTGCCAGGGGGAAGCCACTCTCTGAGGGGAGGGACCACAACAACCAGCCTGCTCAGGTGTGTTACCTACACAGAGACACAAAATAAAACCTCGTGAACCTTCGCTGTCTCCTGCCTCCGTCCTTTTGGCGTCTGTTGGGAAAGGGCCGTAGTTCAGTGGCAGAGCAACCAGTCTTCAGGCTGAACTTCTCCAGGTACAGTTGAGAGAGGCTCTGCAATTCTGAATCTGGGATCTACCATGGAGCTATGGTTTTAGAAGAAGATCTTTCATTTTATTTAATAAAACGGTAAAGGGACCCCTGACCATTAGGCCCAGTCGTGACAAGACTCTGGGGTTGTGGTGCTCATCTCACTCTATAGACCAAGGGAGCCGGCGTACAGCTTCCGGGTCATGTGGCCAGCATGACTAAGCCACTTCTGGCAAGCCAGAGCAGCGCACAGAAAGGCCGTTTACCTTCCCGCCGGAGTGGTACCTATTTATCTACTTGCACTTTGACGTGCTTTCGAACTGCTAGGTTGGCAGGAGCAGGGACTGAGCAACGGGAGCTCACCCCGTCGCGGGGATTCGAACCGCCGACCTTCTGAACAGCAAGCCCTAGGCTCTGTGGTTTAACCCACAGTGCCACCCACGTAAATCCGGTCCCTCATAGTTTGTTCCCCCATTTTATTGTGAGGTAGTTTAGGCAGAGAGCAAGCCATCTAAGGCTGAGCTTTGTGGCCGAGCGCTGATTCGAACCCAGTCCGTCCTGGGTCCGACTCTGTCCAATGACAACACAGCCCTGGAGGCTATAGAATCAAGAGTTGGAAGGGATCCAGCGGGATTGATAGACACATATTTGCCCTTTGACAGACAGAAAAAAGAGAGGCTGCGTCTGATGAGCACCTTTTAACTGCACGTATATTTTAATCAGCGTTTGCGCATGAGCAATGGCCCTTCTGCCTTGTCCCACCCCCCCTCCCGCTCCATTCCAGGGATCCCCAAAATTCATTGGCACGTCCTCACAATTCAGGGATGGCCTACAGATCTTTTCTCCCCCTTTTCAAACAGCTGGCACTCCACCCAACTACATATTGCTGAGAACAACCTGCCCCCCCCAAACCAAAGATGTGAGGCAACTCATCAGGGCCCCGGATATTTGTTCCGAGCCATCCCATAATACCCCACCCGTTCGCTCAGCACAGAGGCCACCCGATCCGCTCTCCTCTGGCCAACGTCTGCCCCCGCCTGCAGGGTCTGTTTCTCCCCCAAAAGCAATGCCTGCCCCCCACTTCCCTCATCCCCCATCACCCCCCAGTCTCCATTCAACCTCAAATCTCGACCCCCCACCCCACCCCGATCACTGCATCCCAAAACACACATGGAACACCCCCCCCAATAAAAATAACACAGTTGTCCCGTTCCGTGGCAAGGAGAAGGCAGGATGAGGTAGAGGGTGGGTGTCGGGCCCAGTTTTGGGACAGGGTGGGGGGCCAAGATATGAACTCTGATCCCTCTCTCCTTCATTCTCTCTGCCCCCTCCCCCAAAAAGGTCTTGCCTGTCGTTCCAAAGCAGCTGAGATCAAAGTCCAAGCTAGGGGGGGAGGTCAGGGTGGTGGGCCATTTCCAGTAGGCGGGGGTCGGGCGGGGGGGAGAATGTCCCTGCTCCCCACTGCAAACGTCTGCTGAGCCATGGGAGAATAAGCAGCGGAGTCTCCGGGAAAGGGGAAAGATGCAGAATCCGGGTCTCTGGCGGAGGATGTCCCCAGGCATGGCCAAGGCTGGTGGGTGGGTGGCTTTTTCGGGGGGTGGGGGGAGTTGCTAGTCCGTCCCGTTGGTGAACTGGCAGAGTTTGTTTTCCAGGTCAGAGATGCGCTTCTCGTGAGCTTGGACAGTTTGCCGCAAGGACCGGATCTCTTCCAGAAGCTCCTCCAAGGCAGAACGCTTTGGGGGAGCAGGTGGGGAGAAAGGACAGAGAAAGAAAGAGAGAGAAAGGCAAGAGTTAGAGGAGTGGCAGGACCTAGGGGACCCCACCACGCTCCCTGGAAAAGGTCTCAGCCCTTCATTCCTCCGGATGGGGAAAAGCAAGCTTCTAGTCCACAGCATTTGTGATCCTCCACCAATGTAGCCATTCGGGTCCATTCCACAGCCCCCTGGAAACTCCCACTGAAATGCTTTGTAGGAAACTGAACAGCGTCAAAGTGCCTTGAAGGGCATTTTGCGGCTGTTTCTCCAACCGCCACCAGGTGGCGCCGCAACTTGATTGAACCCTTCCAGGCGCTTTCATAGCCGTCCAGTTTACCCCCCCTCTCCCGCCCCTGAGCGGATGAGAAAAACTCACCGAAAAATTTGTGTCGCAAGTGGACTGGCTTCGCCGTGGCCCCGTGGGGGGCCTGCTGTCCAGGATGTTCTTTTTGGTGACCTTGAGCTCCCGGTTCTTGACGGGGACATAGCCGTCCCGCAACGAAACCAGGATGGGCTCCGCGTCCTTTCCCGACAGCCACTCGTCTGCCTCGAGTGCGGGTTCAGGCCCCGGCGTGTCGGGATATAAATCATCTTGGAAGAGGTCGGACTGCCCAGGAGAGAGAGAAGGGAACAGGAGAGATTCCAGACTGCTTTGTCCTTGCTATCCATAATGCCCTCTGGACTAAGATCTGGTCCATCTAGAACAATGGCTTTTGGGGGCCGCCCCCCCCCCAGTTCCATAAATTCACCCCCGTGTCCCCTACCCTACAAACAGCATTATTTAGAATAGCCACTGAGGAAGACAATAACGCAATAACATTCAAAGCAGCAACAATTAATTGCACATTTGTTCAAAACAAAATTGAATTAATTAAATAGGATTAGTGAACTTTCTCCAGCTTTTCAAAGTCTGATAGTCATTTACCCCTCCAGCACATACACCCCGCTGCCCCCAGGGGGCACTATTGCCCATTTGGGAACCACGGTTCTAGAGCAGGCATGGCGCGGGAGCCTCTAGCCCGCCAGGTGCTGCTAAACTACAACTTCCATCAAGCCTGGTTTCTGGTCTGACGGGACTTGTAGCTCAGGTATACAGTGGTGCCTCGCAAGACGAAAAGAATCCGTTCTGGGAGTCTCTTCGTCTAGCGGTTTTTTCGTCTTGCGAAGCAAGCCCATTGACGGATTAGCGGATTAGCGCTATTAGCGCTATTAGCGGCTTTAGCGGCTTTTAGCAGCTTATCAGCTTATCGGATAAGCAGATAAGCGGCTTAGCGACTTAGAAAAGAGGGGGAAAAGGAAAAAACCCAGGAACTCGCAAGACATTTTCGTCTTGCGAAGCAAGCCCATTGCAGATTCGTTTTGCGAGGCACCTCCAAAACGGAAAACTCTTTCGTCTAGCGAGTTTTCCGTCTTGCGAGGCATTCATCTTGCGGGGCACCACGGTATTGGGAAATTGATGCAGCCGGTGTGTGTGTGTGTGTGTGTGTGTGTGTCCATTAATGGTTCTTCCTTCCCCCCCCAAGTTCAAATTGACATGCCCGTGGTCCCCAAATCTTCCGATTTGCTCACCTTTCGTGGAACGGTCATAACAATGGGCTCACATTTGCGTTCGTGCAGCTTGAAAAACCTGTTTCATGGGGGAGAGGAAAAGGGGGACGCAAGGTCAGGTGAGGGCAGGGAACCCGTTTTTCAGTCTGGGGGCCGCATGCCGGGGCTGGGGTGAGGCCGGAGGAAAAAGTGTGCGGAGCAACAAATTTTGCACACAGACCCACACACACACCTCTGCGTCCTCCATCATGCCAAGCGAAGAGTCAGCGTTTCAGGTGGGAATTTCCAGCCAGGCAAAACGCCCCCAGGTGTGGGGCCGGTGAGGGAAAAGGGCTGCGGCCACGGGAAAGTTTTGACAGCCAGGAAGAGAGGCTTGGAGAGCAGCAGCTGGGCCCTGGGCTGTGGCTCCCCCTCTGTGGGTTATGGGGCAGGCACAACCCTATAACCTGCGCTAGATTATTGCGCCACCAACACCTGAAGCATCAGCTCCCTGGACACTAGGCTGCCCCATCCACTGAGGTCGTGGTTATTTGGGGCTTTTATTCAGATCCCACCAACCTAGATGGAGCTAGTAGCCATTGGGTAAATGGCCTTCTCGGTGGTGGCCCCTCCATCGGCAAAACACGCTCTCCAGGGAGGCCCACTGGGTGATTCACTGGTTATGAGCCATTTGACAGCGGAAGGGACTCCCTTATTTTCTTTAGAAGCAGAGGTTGGCTGGCCATCCGTCAGGGACTCATTAACTGTGATTCCTGCATTGCAGGGGGTCAGGCCAGATGACCTTTGGGGGTCCCTTCCAACTTTTCAATTCTGTGATGCGATTTGCGTCAAATTCAATTTGTGTCAGATTGGCACGCACCAGCTGAGCTTGCCAATGGAGGGGAATAACAGAGGTTTTCTCCTTTCCGAAGCCACAAACCTGCCTTAGGAAGGGCCCCGTCGCACCTCTCAAGCCACCCTCCACCTCTTGGACCGTGAGCCATACCTGGCAATCTCGCATTTGCTGACATCCAGGCCTCTCTTGGGCATGAAGCCCATCCCTCGCTGGGGTTCTTTGCTGCTGTAGGTGCTCAGGTAATGGACGTAGGGGGCTTCGTCCGTAATCTCAAAGTACCGGATGCTGCTGTCCCCCTGCACGGAAGCAGGAGATTTAGGTTGGGAAGTAACTTGGCTTTTTGTTTCGCTTTTTTAATGAGTTAGCATGAATCTCACACATTTCAGGGTGCGAGGAAAAGTTCACTGCGTTTTTATCAGCACGGAAGTTTGCTGATAAACAGGGATAGGGGGATGGCCTGAGTGGATAAATTAATATAAATAGGAGGAAAATGCGCACACATTTGAAAAGCAGAGTAGGGCATTCCTTATGGGAGAGTTCTCTTTCTACAAATCAAAACTTAAAATAAAATAAAATCTAAACAAAAACAAAACCCCAAACCCTCAAAATCTAAATCCAAAATCCAAAAAGCTAAATCCCTATCTTTGAGCATCTTCCCTCTTTCCTGAAAGGCAAACTGCTTCGTTGGATATCAGTCCTGGAAGATCTTCCCTCAATGTGCTCAGCTCACTCTTCCCCCACTTCCTTGCTTTATCCTCACAGCCCTGCAAGGTAGACAGGCTAAGAGAGAGTGTGGCCAGTGTGTGAACCCCAGGAGCCAAGACACTCTTACAGGCCACTATGCCGCAGAAGTGTTGTTGCAAAAGGAAAAGGGAGGAGGAGGGGAGAGGAAAGCGAGCGAGCTCGGGTACCAATTTTAAGAATGCCCAAAATGGAAACAGTGGGAGAAATGGGGGCAGCTGGCCTCAGAGGTGCTAGTGCCCCCATCTCTTCTGCGGCCAGACAGGAATGCTACAGCCTCCCACGTTAAAAAACAAAACAAAACTTTTATTTTGCTTTAAACTAATACATATAAATATAGACAACCAAAATTACAAAAGAAAATTCCTTAATAATAATAATAATAATAATAATGAAAAAAGCTAAAAATTTACAAAAAATATCAAAGTACATGGTATAAAACATAAGCCATTATGGGAAAGAAAAAAGAAAAAAGGATGAGAAGAAGAAAAAGAAAAGAAAAAAAGAAAAAAAAGGAGAAGAAGAAAAAAAGGAGGAAGATGAGCCAAAACACAAGAAGGCTCATCTATTGTACACTTCTGTCAAGGTAATAACAGATCATTATTCTTATCAATTCTCTCTATCTGCATTCCAAAGAATCCCTCATCTTGGTATAAGGGAGCATTTTTCTCACTTTTTACCTTGCCACACAGGTAGACTATGCTGGAATCGGGGTCATAGAAGGGAAGGAGAACCCCATTGCTTGTGTCCATCTCCTGGAGGGCTATGGGCTCCTCAAAGTTCTTCTGTAGGAAGAAGGGGGTGTCAGGACACAGGGGACAAAACCAGACCAGACACAATCTGGGCACAGCAATCACACACACACAAAATGGGGGTGGCTTCTCTCAGCCAAAAGCCCAGCACTACCCAACCTCCCTCCTCAGCCCCACGGCGCAAGTGGAGAGGGAGTCTGGAGCTCAGTAGCAGAGGCCCCACTTTGCACGCAGGTGGTTCCAGGTTCAAAATCTGGCATCTCCAGAAACTGGTAGCGTGTGATGGGAAAAGAGCTTTGCCTGCCAAAGGCGCTGCCAGTCAGTGCAGGCAACACTGGGCAATGTGGAGAAAGAGCCTGGCATGGTATACAAAGGTGGCATGCAATGTTTTGTTGGGCTCTGCCACTGAGCTCCATTGAAAAGCATCTCAAAGGACATCTAGTCTGACCCGCCCCCCCAACCAAGCCCATTAAGCTAGGGACACACTCTACTTCCCTTTGTCAGGCATTTGAATCACCTTCCTTCCACCGTCTTGACTTTTGGGTTCCCATGCTGGGAGGGAGCCCAAGGCTCAGAACCAGGAGGAGCAAAACAAGGAGATCGTGTGCCTCTGAGCATGTGCTGAGGGCCAGGTCATTCTTCAAGCACAGAGCTGGCCTTGGAGCAGGAAGTCTGGCTATGCCAAATGCCAGCTGTGTAAAGGCCACCCTATAGGGTGGCGCTGTGGGTTAAACCACAGAGCCTAGGACTTGCCAATCAGAAGGTCGGCGGTTCAAATCCCCGCAACGGGGTGAGCTCCTGTTGCTCGGTCCCTGCTCCTGCCCACCTAGCAGTTCGAAAGCACGTCAAAGTGCAAGTAGATAAATAGGTACTGCTCCGGTGGGAAGGTAAACGGTGTTTCCGTGCGCTGCTCTGGTTCACCAGAAGCGGCTTAGTCCTGCTGGCCACATGACCCGGAAGCTGTACGCCGGCTCCCTCAGCCAATAAAGCGAGATGAGCGCCGCAACCCCAGAGTCGGCCACGACTGGACCTATTGGTCAGGGGTCCCTTTACCTTTAAAGGCCACCCTGTCGCAGCTCTAGGATTAACATTTCTATTTGCCTTTCTCCTGCCTCCAGGTAGGGGTGGGTCCCCCCAACTAGAAACCCCATCTCTTCTTTCAGAAGTCCCAGTTCCTATGCTTTGCACACTTAGGAGCACAGCATTCCCAGCATGCACTGTGATTTTCATGCCCCCCCACACTCCCCACAAGCACACACGCCTCTGCAAATCCACACCACTGCAAGGTTCCAGGAACATGGCACTTGCCTCCACTGGTGGCTCAATTAGAATCCAACTATCCTTATACTCAAAGGAATGTGGTAAAGTTGGCCTCCTGCACAATGCATGATGGGGGATGAAGTCCTCAATGCCACCTGATCCAACACTGACAAGGCACTGAAAGACTACATCTCCCAGGAAGCAACTTAGAGATGCGCCCTCCAGTGGCCAAACAGGGAAACGACGACAAGTGAACGGGATGAACCTCAGATAGTCACCTCCATTAATTTCAGTGGGTCTACTCTGAGTAGGACTAATGTTAGCTATAGCCCACACCTGTCTTAGAATCTTAGAACTGGAGAGTTGGAAGGGACCACGAGGGTCATCTAACCTAAACCCCTGCAATGCAGAAATATTTTGCCCAGCGTGGGACTCAAACCCACAACCCAGATGTGCTCTACCGACTGAGCAATGCAAATTAGTTCAATTGCCCGCCTGCCTTGTCAGTGAGCAAGAAGCAGCTACGACACCTGATTTCTTTGTATGCGTGTGAATTAGAGCCGCGTTTCCCAATGTTGGGTCTCTGGCTGTTTTTTCAGACTACAATTCCCATCATCCATGGCTACTGGTCTTGCTAGCCAAGGATAATAATAATAATAATAATAATAATAATAATAATAATATATTTATACCCCGCCCATCTGGCTGGCTCCCCCCAGCCACTCTGGGCGGCTTCCAACAAAACAATAAAATACAATGACCTATTAAACATTAAAAGCTTCCCTAAACAGGGCTGCCTTCAGATGTCTTTTAAAAGTTTGGTAGTTATTTTTCTCTTTGACATCTGGTGGGAGGGCGTTCCACAGGGTGGGTGCCACTACTGAGAAGGCCTTCTGCCTGGTTCCCTGTAACTTGGCTTCTCGCAGCTGGACCGAGGCCGTTTAGGGCTTTAAAGGTCAGCACCAACACTTTGAATTGTGCTCGGAAACGTACTGGGAGCCAATGTAAGTCTTTCAATACCAGTGTTATATGATCTCGGTGGCTGCTCCCAGTCACCAGTCTAGCTGCCGCATTCTGGATTAGTTGCAGTTTCCGGGTCACCTTCAAAGGTAGCCCCACGTAGAGCGCGTTGCAGTAGTCCAAGCGGGAGATAACTAGAGCATGCACCACTCTGGCGAGACAGTCCGCGGGCAGCGAGGGTCTCAGCCTGCGTCCCAGATGGAGCTGGTAGACAGCCGCCCTGGACACAGGATTAACCTGCACCTCCATGGACAGCTGTGAGTCCAAAATGACTCCCAGGCTGCACACCTGGTCCTTCAGGGGCACAGTGACCCCATTCAGGACCAGGGAGTCCTCCACACCTGCCCGCCTCCTGTCCCCCCAAAACAGTACTTCTGTCTTGTCAGGATTCAACCTCAATCTGTTAGCCGCCATCCATCCTTCAACCGCCTCCAGACACTCACACAGGACCTTCACCGCCTTCACTGGTTCTGATTTAAAAGAGAGGTAGAGCTGAGCATCATCCGCATACTGATGAACACCCAACCCAAACCCCCTGATGATCTCTCCCAGCGGCTGCATGTAGATGTTGAGAGATAATGGGAGTTGTAGTCCAAGACATTTGGAGACCCAAGTTTGGGAAACATTGAATTAGAGGACACAGGATGCTGGACCTTTGGATCCAGTGGGCATCTGAGGTTTTTTAAAGCTGCCCTGCTGGAACTTATGGTGTCCCTCTGATGTTCCTCTGCGCATTAATGCCTTTGACCACATGTCTCCTCGCCTGAACTTTGCAGCTGCCCTGGCCTGTCTCCAAACACTCCGCGTGCCGGGAGAGGTGGCAATGTCGCAGAAAGCGCCCAGGTTCCCGGGGGGTGGGAAAACACTCCACACCATGCGTGGCCCGGCTACCGGATCCCAGAGTCCCAACTCTCGCTGGCTCATGCGAGTGAACCCTGTGGTGAAGACGAGTCCGTCGCGGGTGAAGACGGCTCTCATCGGCCGCATCCCTTCGTGAGGGGCAAACCTTTCCTGGGGCGAGCAGGGGAGAGAAAGGGTTAAAAGGGTGTGTCGAAAGGAAAAGCGAGGTGCCGGAGGAGGTGAGAAGGATGGAGAGAGAGAGGGATTGCCGGCTGGGAGCTGCTGCTGCCCCTGGAGATTTCTCAAGGAAATTTTTAATTTTAATTTTTGATAAAACTCGCTGTGTGGTGGGAGATCCCTGTTAATTCTCAGGTGGTTCTTTTACTCTAGAGGTGTGCCCCCAAGCGGCAAAACTGAGAAAAAGCCACAGAGGGCAGCATCAGATTAACCTATGTCATGGGGTTGTTTTGAGGATAAAATAGAGAGGGATTTTTTGCTCTATAAGACTCACTTTTTCCCTCCTAAAAAGTAAGGGGAAATGTGTGTGCGTCTTATGGAGCGAATGCAGGCTGCGCAGCTATCACAGAAGCCAGAACAGCAAGAGGGATTGCTGATTTCATTGCGCAGCAATCCCTCTTGCTGTTCTGGCTTCTGAGATTCAGAATATTTTTTTTCTTGTTTTCCTCCTCCAAAAACTAGGTGCGTCTTGTGGTCTGGTGCGTCTTATAGAGCGGAAAATACGTTATGTACACCACCTTGTGCTCTTTAGATGAAAGGTGGGATATAATAATAATAATAATAATAATAATAATCGTACATTTAGAGCACATTATTTCCCCCCCCCAAGAATCCTGGGAACTGTAGTTTAACCCCCACAAAGTGCTACAATTCCCAGCGCCTTTAACAAACTACACTTCCCAAGGTTCTTCGGTGGAAGTGGATGGGCTTTAAAATGTAGGGTGCGTCCAGAGTCAGTGTTTCCCAACAGGAGCAAGAAGTCATAGAGGAAATATGCTTCTCTGAACAAAGCCATGTTGTGAACTCAGGCTAAGGGCCAGAACCTAGAACCACCACCAAAATCAGAATTTTAAAAAATTTAAATAAATCTGTCTCAACCTTTCCCTCTTATCTCCGTTCACATCTTGCAGCTTGCAGATCATGGAACAGAGAGCAAGGGTAGCCCTACCAGATTTGCCTGGTCGCCTGGGGCGAGTTGAAACTGGCTCCAGGCAACCAGTTCAAAAAGTTTTCTAAATGACCCGGGGTGGGGGCAGGGAGACAGTGAGCTGCCTTGTTCCCCCACCTGCCCCCCATTGATAAGGAAAGGGGAAACTGTGGTCAGTACACATTTCTGGTAGGCCTTTGTTTTGGTTTAGAGTTTCTATCCAAATGCGATTTTGGTTTTAAATGCAGTGTAAGGTAATCTCTCGGGACGCGGGTGGCGCTGTGGGTTAAACCACAGAGCCTAGGACTTGCCGATCAGAAGGTCGGCGGTTCGAATCCCCGCGACGGGGTGAGCGCCCGTTGTTCGGTTCCTGCTCCTGCCAACCTAGCAGTTTAAAAGCACGTCAAAGTGCAAGTAGATAAATAGGTACCGCTTCGGCGGGAAGGTAAACGGTGTTTCCGTGTGCTGCTCTGGTTCGCCAGAAGCGGCTTAGTCATGCTGGCCAGTAAAGCGATATGAGCGCCGCAACCCCAGAGTTGGCCACAACTGGACCTAATGGTCAGGGGTCCCTTTACATTTTTAAGCTAGTCTCTATGGGAGTATATTGTATTCAGTTATGGGGTATCAGAGTTTTTAGGGGTAACCAGGCTGGGATAGTTGGGATAGCGGGCTTGTTGGGTTTTGAATGTCTGGTGTCAATTTCGTTGTTCTGTATGGAACAATGACAATAAAGATTATTGTATCGTATCATATTGTTTCCTCCAAAAATACCAGCGGTGATTCCCTGGTTGGTACACTTCATTCAGTACTGGGATCTGGGTTCCAATACGCTCTCCTTCCCTCTCCTCTCCTCCTGCTGATAGAAAGGCCAGGATAGGCCCCCCACCCCAAGAGAAACACACACACACACACCCCTCCCCACCATCCGTCATGCAACCCCCTCCCCAAGCCGTACCAAATCCCAAAGCGCTAGCTGCCGCTCGCTCATCTTGCTAAACCCGGTGGTGAAGACTTTGCCATCGGCCATGAAGATGGCTCGGACGGGACGGGCGCCTTCGTGGGGCTTGAATTTCTCCTGGCGGCCGCAGGGTTAAGCAGGTTAGGACCAAACAGAGAGATAGACACACACACACAAGGTTAGTACAGGTCCAAGTAAGAGCACACTCCGGAGAGGGGAGGAAGAAGGAACACAGCTCTTTGCAGGGACAATCGCAGGAAGGGAGAGCTGCTCCTGCGTTTGAATCCTGCTCAAGGGCTTGGCCCAGGCACCTGGTTGGCCACTGAGGCTGACACGGAGCACTCGCATTCCTTTAATGTAGAGGCTCGCTTTTACGTTTGTGCGAGTGCAAAACGGGGGACGAATCCTAAAGGAGGATGCTTTAGGTCTGAGACAGAACCTGATCTGGCTTTGCAAACCGCGTCCCAGTTAACAGATCGCGAAAAAAGCCCAGTTAACTGCCATAAACAGACAGATCGGTGCTGTTTTGCCCCTTCCCAGATGGAAAGAGTGAGAGCTCACTGGGAGAGCATCTGCCTTGAATGCAGAATGTCCCAGGATCTTAATGGTATCACCAGGCAGGGCTGGGAAATGCTCCTGCCTAGAACCCTGCCTTGCTGCTGCCAGTCAGTGCAGACAATACTGGGCCAGATGGACCAAGAGTCTAACTCAGCCTAAGGCAGCTTCCACTCCAAACCAGAGGAACCATGTTATTTTAACACTTTGAAAGCTTTAAATGATTGCTGCAATTTTTTTCTGAGCGATAACTTTCTTGTTCTCTCCCTTTTTGTAAACTGCTTTGTGGTTTTCTACAATCAAGCAGTGTATAACTTTTATGAAATAAATGAATACATATATTTAAAAGCATCTCCAATTGGCTAGGCAATGCCCCACTGCTAAGCTTGGGGACAGTGTGGGGAGAAAAGTACCTCTGAGTGTGCCTGAAGAGTGGGTCTCTGAGCATGTGCAAAGTCCGCCCACCGCTTCCGCTACAAGCGGTCCAGCATCTCAGGAGCTCCAGCTCCTATTGTCCCCAACCATTGAGCATGCTGGCTGATGGGAGCTGGAGTCTAGCAACAGACCTTCAGGCCCACAGGTCCCCTGTCCCAGGTCCAAGGGAATCTGAGCCACGACGCTTACCCTTAGATGCCTGTCCCAGGGCAGGGAGGGGAGAGAGGGAAGCAGAGACAAGCCAGGGAGCAGGAGAGGCTGTCCACACATGCTCAGTGGCAGGCTGGGGCCAGCAGCGGCTACTCACTGCCACAACCAGGTGTTGCCGGGGGTCAATGATCCGCAGGTGCTTGTCCTTGCAGGTGGTGACAAAGAGGCTCCCGTTGTGGTTCCAGCAGACATTGTAGATGAGGTCGGTGTGCAGGTCGTCCAGGGTCAGGAGCGCCTCCCCAGTGCCCACGTTCCAGAGGATGATGACGTTGTCGCCCCCTGCAGGAAGGAAGGGGAGTTGGGAAAGGGCCAAAATGAGGCATCAGTCAGCCTGGCAGGACAGAACAGTCAGCTGCGGTGAGAGCTGCAATCCTGAAACATTTGGAGGGCATCACATTGCGGGAAGGCTGATCTAGACAAATATCTTACTATATACATATACATGTAAGGCTGTCGTCACGCTGCAGTTCTTGTGGCTGCCAGTAGGTGGCCATGCCTACTCCAGCAGGACAAAAGGGTGGCAGGAGGGCCAGGTGAGCTGTTTTAGCAGAGGATGGGCCAGGAAGGCACTTGAGGTTGTATTTGAATCCTACCTTTCTTCTGAGAGCTCAAATCAGCAGCCTCTGCCAACCTGCTGTCCTCCAAACATTTCGGGCCACAATTCCCATCAGTCCTAGCCAGTGCAGCCAATGGCTTGGGATGCTGGGAGTTGCAGGCTTGGTGCAGCGAGGGGCCTGAATCTGGGGAGAGGGTCTCACCTGCGCTCAGTAGGATATTGCGTGCTGTGGGGTGCCAGGTCAGGATCCCCACACGCTTGGAATGCCCTTCGAGGGTGACGACTGGCTCCGTCAGGTTGCGCATGGGGATGTAGTCGGGGATCTGCCAGACCTGGTGGGACAAAGAGGCGGCGATGGAGGTGTTCAGCACCCGCTCTGCGTGCAGAAGGTCCCAGGTTCTAGCCCCAATGGCACCTTATCTTCAGGATAAGGCTCTCACTGCCTGAAACCCCATGGAAATGCTGCCGGCCAGTGCAGACCAAACTCAGCTAAATGGGCCAATGGTTGCTCCTATTTAAACCAGCCCTTTCATTAAGAACCATGAGGACTAGGAACTTGTTCCAATTTTAGGGGAGGGGGCACTGCAGCTCTGTGACAGGTCACCTGCTTTGCATGCAGAAGGTCCCAGCGTCAATCCCTGGCACCTTCAGGTAGGGACGGGGTCATCCCCCGATTCAAACCCTGGAGAGCAGCTGCCAGTCAGTGTAGGCAATAGTGAACTCAATGGACCTGACTCTGGATAAGGTAGCTGCCTATGGTCCCTGAGCTCATAAATAAAGATAAACACATACATTAAAAAAAAAAAAAAGTTTTCTATGGAGGACACTTTGGTGTCCTTTGTGAAAGGAGAAGAAAAAGGGGAGGAAGAGGATTTTTTTTTGGAGGGGGGAATCAGAGGAAGCTGCCACCTTCTTCACTCCCACCCACCCCCCAGGCAAGGCCACAGAGCCAACTATTCTTAGTTGCTGAGTTGTCGTGCGCCGAGCTATTCTTAGCCCAAAATGCTGCATCATACCTAGCAAGTCAGACGCCAGGCGGAGGACCGGCCGGCCAGCTATAAACAGCCCCTGACACCTTTTCCAGTGATTTAAAGGCGAATGGCCATACTCTCTGGCTTGGAAGAGGAGGCTGGTTCTGTGCACTTCGAGTCACGTGTGGAGGGACCCTAAAAACCCCGACCTCATGCGTTTGAATCGTCTCCCCCCGTGCCACCTCCGAAAAATGCTGTTGTACTACATCCGGGCACCCAAATTGATAAGGTGTCTACAGGTACCCAACCACGTCCAGTATATGCCCCCTTTGCCGATTAGAAACATCCTTCCCTCTAAAAATAGTCTCCCTGGACTCCCCACACCTTTGCTCCAAAGGTGCCATCGCTTACCATGACTGTTGTGTCCTCAGAGGCACTGGCAATGACGTTGTCATTGTGGGGGCACCAGTCAATGTCCAGCACGGGGGCCGTATGCCCCGTCACCAAGGGGATGTTCTTGTCCACACGGCCGGTCTGTAAACACACAGAGATCTTGGGAATTTCTGGGAAAGGCAGCCCTCCTCTCCCCACACATTTGACCCACAAAAAGGCAGCCAACCTACTAAAGGTTTACTGACACCTGCTCCTTGGGAAAAAGGCGATGACAAACCTAGACAGCATCTTAAAAAGCAGAGACATCACCTTGCCAACAAAGGTCCGTATAGTTAAAGCTATGGCTTTCCCAGTAGAGATGTATGGAAGTGAGAGCTGGACTATAAAGAAGGCTGATCGCCGAAGAATTCACATTTTTGAATTCTGGTGCTGGAGGAGACTCTTGAGAGTCCCATGGACTACAAGAAGATCAAACCTCTCCATTCTGAAGGAAATCAGCCCTGAGTGCTCACTGGAAGGACAAATCCTGAAGCTGAGGCTCCAAGGCTTTGGCCACCTCATGAGAAGAGAAGACTCCTTGGAAAAGACCCTGATGTTGGGAAAGATGGAGGGCACAAGGAGAAGGGGGCGGCAGAAGACAAGATGGCTGGACAGTGTTCTCAAAGCTACCAGCATGAGTCTGAGCAAACTGCGGGAGGCAGTGGAAGACAGGAGTGCCTGGCGTGCTCTGGTCCAGGGGGTCACAAAGAGTCGGACACGACTGAACAACTAAAGAACAACAGGTCGCAAAACTTTTTTTAAGCCAACAGTGAAGTATACAGTGGTACCTCAGGTTACATACGCTTCAGGTTACAGACTGCGCTAACCCAGAAATAGTACCTCGGATTAAGAATTTTGCTTCAGGATGAGAACAGAAATTGTGCTCCGGCGGCACGGCAGCAGCAGGAGGCCCCATTAGCTAAAGTGGTGCTTCAGATTAAGAACAGTTTCAGGCTAAGAACAGTCCTCCAGAACGAATTAAGTTCTTAACCTGAGGTACCACTGTATTCTCAATTCATAGAATACTAAGAGTCATCAGGGGGACTCGTGGGTCATCTAGTCCAGCCCAGAGCTAGAAGAATCTAGAGCTAGAGCATCTCCAGGAGATGTCTGTCCAACCTCTGCTTGAGGGAATGCTCCAGGGCCCAGGGTTTCCCAAACTTGGGTCTCCAGCTGTTTTTGGACTACAACTCCCATCATCCATAGCTGGCAGGACCAGCGGTCAGAGATGATGGGCAGTGTAGTCCAAAAACAGCTGGAGACCCAAGTTTGGGAAACACTGGTCTAGGCAAATGGTTCCATCACTGAACCGTTCTTACCACAGAATCGTAAAGTTGGAAGGGACCACGGGGGTCATCCACTCCAACCCTCTGCAGTGCAGGAGTCTCGAACCCACGACTCTGAGATGATGAGTCTCATGCTCTACCAGCCGAGATATCCCACCCTCTGCCTTAGCCGCACGACCTTGAGAGAGCCGGCCTTGTCAGGCGGGCCGATCCCCCTGCGTCACGCAGTAAACAGCCCAGCTGGAAACCTGAGCCGTGGAAAAAGTGATCCCCCCCACCCAACTTCCTGCCATCATTTCAATTGTTCCTGAAGTGAGTCATTCATTATTGTGAGCACAGCGCTGTCCCCAGAAAGGCCAACTGCTCTCGTCCGTCTCTCAACCGCCGCCTGGGAGGGGAGGGAAAGTTTTGGACCTGGGCGAGGCCCTTCAGAGGCCGGGAGGGCACCAGCGGGCACCAGGAAGGAAAAGACAGGGAGAAAGGAAAGCGAGGGACAGAGGACAGAGGTCCTGCAAAGAAAAAGCTGGAAAATGGACACATCGGAGGGGTTTCAATCCACATTTCAACCATGTCTTACTCAGAGCTGATCGGCCGAAATTCACGGACCCAAGATGAGTCACTCCCTTTGTTTTCAACGGATCTGCTCCGGGTAGAACGAGCGTTTTGTACAACCCCTTGGGGGTTTTATGACGTCCTTTTAATTGGACACAGCGGCGTAAGACATAAAACAGCAAGTTACCCTCACGTACAAAAGGAGCCCTGCCTGTGGGCGACACAAAAGCAGGAGGAACTGCAAACACATTAGAGGACCAAGTCAAAAAACTGAAAAGGAGCTCTGCTTTAGCCAGAGAGCCGCGGCAATAAAAGAAATCTGGTTCATAGAGAATAAATTTGAATTATTATTATTATTATTTTAAACAGGATTCTGAATCAGGGTGTCAAATCTCCCTCCCCTCAGTTATGTAGAATGGCTTGATGCAAAGCAGATTGGGGCTACTGCATCTTTAATATAGATATGCAGAGGGATTTTCCTGCACAATTAAAGGTGCAAGAGTCCCCTGTGCTAATGTAAGAATATCGGAAGAGCCTGGTTGCTGGATCAGGCCAGTGGCCCATCTAGTCCAGCCTCCTGTTCAGTGGCCTAACAGATACCATCACTAGCCTCCTCAAGGAAAGAGACCTGTCCTGTTGCAAAATGCCAGCAAGGCTGATTCTGTAAGTAAATCCTTATAACAACTACCACAAGACCATCAGCTGTTCCAGCCTTCCAGATAGCCTGTCCAGAATGAAAAACCAGGGGGCCCCCACCATTTTATTTAAGGCTCCAGTCCCAAAAGACCAGGGAAGGAGAAGCTGGGGTGCCCCTTCCGCATCTTGGCCATTGACTTACATGGCATCAACACAGGTTTCCATCTTACTCCTCTCCATATTCTAATGTTTCCATTAAACCACTGGGGAGACGCTTTTTTTCTTTAAGTTTTACAATGTTTACTTTTTAAAAAAGTTCTTCAATATTTTTAAGGTTTTAAAATGAAGTTTAAATTTTATTTTTAATTGCACTGTTTTAACACGCTCAGGGAGTTTGCCACCCTGGGCTCCTTTGGACATAAGGACAGAATAGACATTTAATCAATAATGATCAGTGGTATTCAACCAAGAGGTCCAGCCCCAAGGGCCTTCTGGTGGTTCCCTCCCTGCGAGAAGTGAGGTTACAGGGAACCAGGCAGAGGGCCTTCTCGGTGGTGGCGCCTGCCCTGTGGAACGTCCTCCCATCAGATGTCAAGGAGATAAACAACTATCTGACTTTTAGAAGACATCTGAAGGCAGCCCTGTTTAGGCAAGCTTTTAATATTTAATGCTGTATTGTTTTTAATAGTCGATTGGGAGCTGCCCAGAGTGGCTGGGGAAACCCAGCCAGATGGGCAGGGTATAAATAATAATTATTGTTGTTGTTTTAATCAGAGTTAGACCTACTGAAATTAAAAAGCGTGACTCAAGCTGCAATCCTATACTCATTTACCCACTGGGATCTATGGGGCTGACCTCTGAGTAGAACTGTACAGGATTGCAAACTAAATTAGGTCCATTAATTTCAATAGGTCTATGCTGAGTGAAAAATAAGTTGAATACAACCTAGAAATAATTAGCACCATCACTGGAGAAACACAAGCGGCTTCTTTATGTATACCCCACCTCCAAGGACTTCAGGGTGACGTACATAGCTCTCCCCCCCCCCCATATCCTCAGAACAACCCTGTCAGGTAGGTCAGTCTGAGAGTGAGTGCCTGGCCTGAGGTCATCTAATGAGCTCCGTGGCAGAGCAGGTATTCGAACTCTGGTCTCGCGCCCAGAGTCCTAGTCCAACCACGACATCACACTGGCCCACAATTGTGCAGTTCAAGTTGTAACCAGGAAGGCGGTGTGTCGAAAATGCTTATTATGCTTAGATGCCTCTATGCATTTGTGTCAATGGGTCTGCTGGAGTTATGCAAAAGAACTCTGTGAGGTTGCAAAACGTCTAAGCCATAGGTTTATGAATGGAAGCGTCATTTGATTCACTTAAAAGGATCAAGCTATTTGTAACAGCTAGGGCCATGTTTGCTATCTTCTATAAAACAAAATATAAACCTACTTCCATCCTGGTGTGTTACTGTAATTAGGAAATGTACGAGAGGGAGATGCTAACATTAGTGGGGGGAGGGGTTAAACAGTAAGTATTCATTGAAAAATCAAAACCCTATCGCAGAGACATAAATCTCCAAAAAAGAAGGCAGTCCCTGTTAAGGGAGGACTCAAGGATCTTCAATCAGTTCATTGGTAAATGGATTAATCAAGCTGCGGTTACATCAATTAATCAGCTGGCAAATCCATTTAAATTGGGTGACAGCCTCCAGATTTTAGAAGGCCAGGAAATTATGTTGCTGGTTTAATACAGAAACATAATTTATTGTGGAAGGGACCTTTTCCAACTCATTTCTCCCCACCCACCACTCCTGCAACTTTATGGGGACGCAAAGGGGGTGATATATTCAAATCCCCACAAAGCAAAATGCTTCCTTGGACGTCCTTCTAAGCAGCAGCCCCAGCCTGGGCAAGGGGCCTTTCCATTCTTTTGGTAACACAAAAACGGCCCCCTCAGAAAGGGGAACGGCAGGTGGTCTCCTTTCTCCTACAACCACACATGCACCCCCTGCTGAGGCAGCTGGGACCCCCCCCCCCGAAACCCTGCTGTGCCTGAGGCCATATCCAGGATATTGGGGCCTGTGTGGTGGAGAGATTAAAAAAAACAGCTCTTGAGATTTCAAATACAAGGTTGCATAACAATAAGGGGTAATAATTCTTCCCAAGAATGGATGCAGGAACAGAAGGGGGGGAGTGTTCAGGCAACTTCTCCCCCCACAAAAAAGGCTAGGATTGAGCTAATGCACAGAGACCTCCGGCAGTTTTTCGTAGTCACACCAAAAGGCAGAATTTTGATGAATTCTGCTTCTCCCAAACACCGGGAGGTGAGAAGCAAGGGTGCCCAGATTTCAAGGTGATGCTGGACCAAAGTACAGGTGATACACAGACGTGGCAAAGGTGAGTCAGGGCTGTACCCTTCCAGGGTTGTCCCATGGAAGACGGAGCAATCTTGTTTTCTCCTAGGGGAGGACCCGAACCAATGGCTTCAAGCAGGGGTCAGCAAACTTTTTCAGCAGGGGGCCGGTCCACTGTCCCTCAGACCTTGTGGGGGGCCGGACTATATTTTGGAAAAAAATATATGAACGAATTCCTATGCCCCACAAATAACCCAGAGATGCATTTTAAATAAAAGGGTACATTGTACTCATGTAAAAACATGATGATTCCCAGACCGTCCATGGGCCAGATTGAGAAGGCGATTGGGCCTTAGTTTGGCCTACCCATGGCTTCAAGTCACAAGGAAGGGCACCCAACTAAATATCAGCAAGAACTTTCTGAGGGTAAGAGCTGTTCGACAACAGAGCCTTCAATGGAGGTTTTAGAAGCAGAGGTTGGACGGCCATCTGTCACGGAGGGTATAGCTGAGATTCCTGCATTGCAGGGGGTTGGAATGGATGACCTTCGGGAGTCCCTGCCAACTCTGCAATTCTGTGACTCTGTGAACTGTCTGGAGGGCATCAGACTTCCCACCTTGGCTGAAGTGGCTCCCAACGTGAAGCTCTTGAATCCTCAGCAAAAATATTACCTTGTCCGGCAGGGATGAGGGGGCTGCCCTCCATAAGAACATAAAGAGAGCTTAGTCAATCAGGCCAGTGGCCCACCTAGCAGAAGCGATTTTAGGATAGCATGACCAGCTTGGCTGCATTGGGTACCAGCGGCGTAGAACTGAAGGCAAGAGGCACAGGGCAATTTTAATGCCACACAGGGTGCTGCTGAAATTTGTCCTTTCCTAAAGCCATCCAAGTTGGCAGCTGTCACTACCTCCTGCTGCAGCAAGTTCCATGGATTAACTATACCCTGAGTGAATACGGTTTTTCTTTTCCCTGTCCCGAATCGTCTAATGTTCTGCTGGGAGTTGTAGTCAGCCACCTCGGGACTACAACTCCCAGCAGCCCAAGCGTGGCTGGGGATGATGGGAGTTGGAGCCCAGCAACGAAGAGGGGTCTGCTAGGTACACTCCTTCTGCTGAGACAAGCCACAAAACTCCATCCACACTCCAGGGCAGAAGACAACTGGCCCACCTCGCCAGACTGTTGCAAAGAGATAATGAATGCAAAGCGCTCTGAATATATAGATCCCACCTTGAAGGAGAAGAATTGATGCTTTTGAATTCTGGTGCTGGAGGAGACTCTTGAGAGTCCCATGGACTGCAAGAAGATCAGACCTCTCCATTCTGAAGGAAATCAGCCCTGAGTGCTCACTGGAAGGACAGATCCTGAAGCTGAGGCTCCAAGACTTTGGCCACCTCATGAGAAGAGAAGACTCCCTGGAAAAGACCCTGATGTTGGGAAAGATGGAGGGCACAAGGAGAAGGGGACGACGGAGGACGAGATGGTTGGATAGTGTTCTCGAAGAGACCAGCATGAGTTTGACCAAACTGCAGGAGTCAGTGGAAGACAGGAGTGCCTGGCGTGCTCTGGTCCAGGGGGTCACGAAGAGGCGGACACGACTAAACAACAACAACAACACCTTGCCGGATCGTTGCAAAGAGATAATGAATGCAAAGTGCTTTAAAGACTGCAGAGAGAATTATTGGGTGCACTCTTCCCACCTTAGATCAAATCTATGCTGCCAGGTGCCATAAGTAAGCGGCAGAGATAGCACATGATAGTACGCACCCCGGAAATGATCTCTTTCAGCTTCTGCCTTCTGGAAGAAGGTATAGGGTTATAAAGGCCAGGACTAGCCACCTGAGAAACAGTTTCTACGCTAATGCAATTCTGGTTCTAAACGCAGCATAAGGGGTTTCTGTAGTATAGTGTGTTTTAAAATGGGGTTTTAGAGTTTTGGGGGGTTTTGAAGATTTTATGTAGTTTTTATGTAGTTTTATGTAGTTTTTCAATTTCATTGTTCCGCAAGGGACAATGACAATAAAGATATCGTAATCGTAATCGTAATCGAATATATAGATATTGAATGCTATGCAAGTCATTATTACTAGCTGAACAACCATTCGCAATCATCAGCCTCCCCCTCCTGCAAACATGCTCCCTCCCACCAGCGGTGAGTGGGCAACGTACCTTGGCCAGGGGCAAAACCATGAAGGCCCCCCCACCGCCTGACTCCACAATGATGGCCACGAATTTGGGGTTGACGGCGCAGAAGGAGCTGTCCCACGTCACCTTGGAGACCCGGATGTCCTCATACATCTGGTCGGCCTTGACTGGCTGCCCAAATACATGCCGGAACTTGCTCTGGCGCACCACCCGGCGACTCATGGCGGAGGGATCCTGCTTCTTTGGGGGGGCAGAAGGGAAGGGTGGACACAGAAGGAGAAAGAGGGGGTCAAAAGGGGACAAACAGAAGACGCAGACCCAAACCCAGGCCAAGCTCGTTGACTGACGAGATCGCCTTGCCCCATAGAGTGCTCTGATCTGAGGAACTGGCCCTGCCACAACCGCTCTGTAGTGTGGCTGCGCCTGCACCTCTGGAACTCCCTGCCTCTTGACGGCAGGCAGCTGCCTTCCCTGTACTCTTTCCGGCTCCTCTGTAAACATTCCTGTTTAGATAAGCCTCCCCAGACGTTTAGAAAGCCGGTGTGAGTTTTCACCTGTTTTTAGCCTACTGTTATTTTAACTTTTTGAAAGTCTTCTATTACTGTCGTCAGCTTTCCTCAGCGATATTTTTATGGTTTGATCTTTTCTGTATACTGCTCTGAGTTTGTTTTGTGTTTCCATTTTTTTTTTACAATCAAGCAGTACACAAATATTTTAGGAAACCAATAAACCCTTCCAAAAGACCTGAAAATGTAGCCCACATGATATACCCCCACTTTTTTATATTAAAACCCCCTCAATTTTTTTTTGTAAATAAGGGGGAGCTGCAACAAAGTGTTGCAGCGCATCCGCCTCTCCCTACAAGAGTGCCCCTGTTCAGGGATCCAGCCACCCATTATTTTTTCCAGGATACTCTATCCCATACATCCCATTTTCATTTTTCATTCCCTCTCCTTTTCCTCTCCTTGGCTATTTTTTATTTTTTGGGGGGGTGGGAAAGAGAGGGTGGGGGAGAAAGCTTAGGTATTTCCCCTCAATATTTTTTCTGCTTCTGTAAACTCCAGCATCTTCTCACACCTTTCCCCCACTCCCACTGCAATTCCATTTTCAATCCAATCCCATCAGGAAGTTAGTACTTTTTTAAAAAAACAGCAACAACCCTGTATTGCTCTTGCACTGCTAATTCAATCACAGCATTGATAAAATTCAAAACTGGTGCCATGAACTAGTTATGCAAATCAAGAAAATATGTGTGCGTCTGTGTGTGTTTGTCTATATCACGCAACATATATACAGAGAGAGAGTGATATCAATATTGTTTGCGTCCAGTGCTAGTCTGGCTCAGAGTAGACCCATTTAAAGTAATGGGCATGGCTAACTTAGGCATGTTCTTTTCAACAGGCCTACTCTGAGTAGAACTCGGTTGAATACAACCTGCATATTTTTGTTTTTGTCAGTTATACATAAAGAAGTAGTAAAGTTATTCCATTATTTGCCCACTGTCAAACCTCAGACTATGTAAGCGCCTTGGGGCAAGGAACTAGCTTTTCAAATTTTCATTTCAGGAGGGAGCCAGCTGTCCTCAGCATGGACAGATGTGCCTCTGGGGTGTTTCAAGGCAGTTCATGGACCTCCTCTCTGCCACAGCACTAGAAGGTAGACCAGACTTATTAGACCCATATTGCAGATGGGAGAAATGAGGCCGAGAGCAAGAGAAATGATGCGGTTTTCTAGCATCGACCTAGTAAAGCCTACAGCTAGTTGAGACTTCTCACCCCAGAACTCTGAGCTTTCAATGCCTAAAACTGTGCCCTGGCACGCACATTTCATCCTGCAGCCAGGAGTTCCGCTGATTCCAGAAGAACGTTGCTTTGCTGGGCCAGAGCCAAGCCCCATCTAGGTCAGCACTGTGTGTCTGCAGCAGTTGGTCAGATGCATCATGGAAGCTGATGTGCAAGGCACAGAGGGGATTGGCTGGCCCCTCTTTATATCCTCAACACCTGGTATTCACAGGTAGGCCACACCTGCACATGGAGGTTTTGTGAAGCTGGCATTGCTAACAGTAACCCTCCTCCTCCTCCTCCTCCGTTGTGCAGCTCTTCTGAAAAAAGCCATCTAGTGCTAGGGGCCAACACCGTCTTCTAGCTGTAAAAAGGTAAAGGTAAAGGGACCCCTGACCATTAGGTCCATTCGTGACCGACTCTGGGGTTGCGGCGCTCATCTCGCTTTACTGGCCGAGGGAGCCGGCGTACAGCTTCCGGGTCATCTGGCCAGCAGGACTAAGCCGCTTCTGGCGAACCAGAGCAGCGCACGGAAATGCCATTTACCTTCCCGCCGGAGCGGTACCTATTTATCTACTTGCACTTTGACGTGCTTTCGAACTGCTAGGTTGGCAGGAGCAGGGACCGAGCAACAGGAGCTCACCCCGTCGCGGGGATTCGAACTGCCGACCTTCTGATCGGCAAGTCCTAGGCTCTGTGGTTTAACCCACAGCGCCACCCGCATCCCCTTCTAGCTGTAACTCGTAGTTAATAGTAATGAATTTTTATCAATGGAATTATTATTGTTATAGTCATATCCCACCTTTCCTTCAAGGAGCTCACGAGGGGGGAGCACATGGTCCTGTCCTCCCCATCATATCCTTGCAACAACCCTGTGAGGTAGGCTAGGCTGAGAGAAACAGTGACTGGCTTAAGGTTACATCCCACGAGCTTTCACAGCTGAGTGAGGATTGAACCCTGGTCTCTCAGGTCCCAACCACTACACCACACTGTCTCTCTCATTTGTTGATTGTGCAAAGGGGCTTTCTTCCCTCTGTTCTGAGTCTCTGGCAGGTTTCACTGCACGACCCCCACGTTCCACCAGCATGGGGGAAAGAGGGAGAAAGATCTCACTCTAATGGGTCTTGAGGTCATTTTTGCTGACTCAAAAAGCCCCCCCTGAATGAGCCCCCCTAAAGTCAGCTCCCTGAAGCGTGCACAATCAGGCGTACACACAACCCAAAGTCCTGGTTGCAAAGACAGACACCAATCTTGCACAGAGACGAGCCAGTGGATTCAAGTTGCAAGGAAGGAGATTCCAACTAAACATTAGGAAGACATTTCTGGGGGTAAGAGCTGTTTGACTGTGGAACGGGCTCCCTTGGAAGGTGGTGGACTCTCCTTTCTTGGAGGTTATTATTATGATTATTATTGAGGTTATTGTTACTGTTGTTGTTATTATTAATGCCCTGCCCATCTGGCTGGCTTTCCCCAGGCACTCTGGGTGGCTTCCTGTGTATATAAAACCATATTAAAGACTTATTTAAGCAGAAGTTGGATGGCTCTGTACCATGGATGCTTTAGCAGAGATTCCTGCATTGCAGGGGGTGGACTAGATGACTCCCAGGACCCCTTCTGACTCTACAATTCTATGATTCTATGTCAGTTCCTAGATATCCACTTGCTGTTCCTATGTTTACACACACACACACACACACACACACACACACACAATTTCTTAGGCAGCACCATCAGCATGCATGATGCTTAACTTAAAGGCTACAAGAGGACAGGGGTCCTGTCCCTGATGGGTGTTACAATCGCAAACTGAACATTGCAAGAAGGGAGAGAACAGGAGAGCAGTGGGGTGTGTTAAAAGGTTGTAAGTCTCAATGGGGCAGGGCTGGGGAATGCCTGTATCCCCCGTTGTGGCAAGCGCCCATCTCGCTATCGATTCTTAACACCGAAAATGCTGGCTGCTGGGGGTTTAGGAGCCCAGCAACATCTGCAGATGATCTCCAGCCCTAAATTAGGGCACGTTAAGCCACACTAAGACCCACAAAAAGCAAACATGAGTACCTAACTTAATTTATTTTGTTTCCTATGGCTATTTACATACCACGAAATCTCTAAAGTTTAAACGTGGCATAGAAAAAGATTACAAGGCAGGCGGAGAGACAGACAGTGAATAAAATCAATGGGGCGAATGGGGGTGGAATACACACAGAGACAAACCCACCAATTTCAGTGGGTTCACTTAGTTGGGTACAGGCCTAAGTAGTTATTAACTCACACAAACGCGGTGGGTCATGCAAAGCACAGGCACGGGTATCGAACTCGACAGTCCTGGCATCATGCACGGGAAACGCGTACACGCATTCACCTGATCGTGTGAACGCGCAGGAGGTGCAGGCAGAAAGGTGGAAGAAGAAAGCCCCCCAAGGACCTCTTTGAGCGAAGACGAAACCCGCTCCGGGGCTCCGGGAGGGTGGGGGCGAAGAGGAAGCGTTCCTTTCCAGGGAAGCCACCGGGGTTTTGTTTTTTTTTCAATGGGCCCTCGGAGAAGGCGGCAAAAAGGGTCGAAGCCGGAACTCCTCCCCGGCGCTGCGGCGGCTATAGAAGGCGAGGCGCTCTGCAAGGCAAACCCCAGAGGTCATTTTCCTAATATAGCCTGGCTTCTGCAGCGGCTCTGGGTTTGGAGCGGAGGGGGGAGGGGATATTGGGGGGGGGCTGGCTGGAGGGGGGGGCGAGCAAGCAAGAAGAGCTTCTTTCCCGTGTGCACGGATGGTCCGTCTGCTGAGCAGCCTGCAGTTTTTTGGGGGGGGCGGTAGGAAAGAAAGGGCCCCCCTTCCCTCTCCATTTTACGCACCTGCGCCCAGGTCTCTCCAAGGGCGCACGCCGTTTGGGGAGGTTGGGAGGGGGGCGTCCTGCGCCTTACCTAGATTTCCAGGGATCGGGGGCGCGGGAGGAGGAGGAGGAAGCGGGGCGCCGTCCCGGGGCCTGGGGACTCTCTGCTCGCTCCGTCGGGGCGCTGCCAAGCTGGGTGGCGTCCTCCGGGGCGGGCGGGCTGGCACGCAGCGCCTGGCGCAGGGGCCTCAATGCGGCTGGAGGGAAGAGCAGCTGCTGCTGCTGCTGCTGCGGCCGCCGCCGCTGCCGCCACCATCTCAGGTCTCTAGCGCTCGCTTCTCCCCCCCCCCCCCCAGCGAGGGAGGGGGCGACAGCTGCGAGCCCCCCTCCTTGGGGAATGGGCGGCCGCCTCCAGAGGCCCAGCCAAGCCCTGGAAAGGGCATCTGGCAAGGGAGAGGAGAGACCCCCCCTCCCCTTTTTAATACAGCTCCTGGGGGGGGGGGTGTGTGTGATAATTTCTCTTTTTAAAAGCAAGCCCCGTTGGGCGAGCAAGCAGAAGGCCCCCTCTATATCGCAGCCCCCCCTGTTTGCAAAAGGGCATGAAGGCAGAGCGCTCGCTCTCTCTCCTGCCTTCTTTGCCTTCGGAGATAGACTGCGACTGGATAGGAAGGTTCCACTGGGCGCTCACTAAGGATTTGTAGGCACAGGCGCCGTGGGCAAGCAGGATTGCTCGGACTAAACCTCACAGACATAATGGAATTGTGCCGACTAGTTATTGTAAGATCTGTTTCAGAATTGACACCAGAGTTTGGGTTTTTCCTCTTCCCACCCTGTTGCTTTCCCCTTGTGTTGTGAATTTATTTACTTTTTAAATTCTTCAGCTACATCTGTTTTTTTGTTTATTTAACACCTTCTCTTTTTTAGCCTGTCCTCCAGACACTCCAGGGTTCGGTACATCAATGAAGATATATAATGCATTTTTTAAAAAAACAACACGTTTTAAATGTATGTGCATGTCAAATAGGTCCCATCTGGTAGCGCTGAGGTTTAATTTATTGGGAGAGAAAGGAGAGGCAGGTGGTGGGTAAGCACTCTGTACAGAGATAGGCTGGAAACATTTTAAATGCTTGATGTACTCACCTTCAGCCTCACTGTAACCATTAGTTGGTGTTGCCCCCGTGTGAACCCAGAGGACACATTTAAAGCTGCTTATTTATTTATCAGGGACGTGGGTGGTGCTGTGGGTTAAACCACAGAGCCTAGGACTTGCAGATCAGAAGGTCGGCGGTTCAAATCCCTGTGACGGGGTGAGCTCCCGTTGCTTGGTCCCTGCTCCTGCCAACCTAGCAGTTCGAAAGTACGTCAAAGTGCAAGTAGATAAATAGGTACCTCTCTGGCGGGAAGTTAAATGGCATTTCCGTGCGCTGCTCTGGTTCGCCAGAAGCGGCTTAGTCATGCTGGCCACAAGACCCGGAAGCTGTACGCCAGCTCCCTCGGCCAATAAAGCGAGATGAGCACCGCAACCCCAGAGTCGTCCGCAACTGGACCTAATGGTCAGGGGTCCCTTTACCTTTACCTTATTTATTTATCACATTTATACCCCACCTTCCTCAAAAGAGCTCAAGGTGGTGTACATAGTTCTCCAGCCCATTTTGCCCTCAACAACCCTGTAAGGTAGGTTAAGCTGAGAGACAGTGACTAGAGCAGTGCTGCCCAGTGAGCTTCATGGGTGAGCAGGGATCTGAACTCTGACACTCCATTGGTAATATGGAGCTAGGCAGCCCACATGCAACTTGTCCCTTGTGGGCCACTTGGCTCCATATTACTTACTCTGACTGGCAGCAGCTCTGCTTGGGAGTAGTCGTCTTTTCCATCAGTTGGTGTTTTAAAAAAATATTAAATGGAGTAACACAATTATGTTACTGTTTGCTACAAAGTGAATATGTTTCCTCTCTATGCAAGAGCAGCACCCAACTACAGTGGTACCTTCGGTTAAGTACTTAATTCGTTCCGGAGCTCCGTTCTTAACCTGAAACTGTTCTTAACCTGAAGCACCACTTTAGCTAATGGGGCCTCCCGCTGCCGCCTCGCAATTTCTGTTCTCATCCTGAAGCAAAGTTCTTAACCCGAGGTACTATTTCTGCGTTAGCGGAGTCTGTAACCTGAAGCGTCTGTAACCTGAAGTGACTGTAACCTGAATTACCCCTGTATTGTGTTCTGATGGGGGGGGTGTGCTGGTGGTATTGGGGGTTCCTCTTCTTATCCCCAAGAAAAGCCCCCAGACAAATTTTGCCTAACGGATTCCCCCCATGTTCTTTGTGGAAAGCGGCAACAAAACTTGTCTCTCCCGCATTGGTTTCTAGAGCCACAGCAGGCGCTGCAACCTGCCAACAGTTTTGACTTCACTCCCAAAGGCGAACTTCTCCATTGCCTCCCGGGACAGACGGGCGCCAATAACCATTAAACTAAATAGTTTTAACTGGATTTTGAATAAACGTGTAAAACAATGCAATCGGCTGTGTCTGTTTTGAATTTTGAGTTATTATCTGCCTTAGTGGGTTGGGCAAGGTAAAAGGTAAAGGTAAAGGGACCCCTGACCGTTAGGTCCGGTCGTGGCCAACTCTGGGGTTGCGGCACTCATCTTGCTTTACTGGCCGAGGGAGCCGGCGTACAGCTTCCAGGTCATGTGGCCAGCATGCCTAAGCTGCTTCTGGTGAGCCAGAGCAGCGCACAGAAACGCTGTTTACCTTCCCGCCGGAGCAGTACCTATTGATCTACTTGCACTTTAATGTCCTTTCGAACTGCTAGCTTGGCAGGAGCAGGGACTGAGCAACGGGAGCTGACCCCGTTGCGGGGATTCGAACCGCCGACCTTCTGATCGGCAAGTCCTAGGCTCTGTGGTTTAACCCACAGCGCCACCCGCATCCCTTGTTATGAATAATGCTTTTTAAAGGGTAGGGTAAGGAGGACTGGGAGCGTGTTTATGGAACCAAGGGCGCAGGGCCGCGAAAAGGTTTAGGACCCCCTGTGCTATGATGTCATGGAGCGTAGTTCTAGACTGCAGGCCCTCTGCTGGACACTCTTTGCTACTGCATAAACCAAATACAGATTGGTTGCTTTGTTGTTTAGTCGTGTCCGACTCTTCATGGCTCCCTGGACCAGAGGATGCCAGGCACTTCTGTCTTCCACTGCCTCCCGCAGTTTGGTCAAACTCATGTTCGTAGCTTTGAGAACACTGTCCCACCATCTCGTCCTCTGTCGTCCCCTTCTCCTTGTGCCCTCCATCTTTCCCAGCATCAGGGTCTTTTCCGGGGAGTCTTCTCTTCTCCTGAGGTGGCCAAAGTCTTGGAGCCTCAGCTTCACGATCTGTCCTTCCAGTGAGCACTCAGGGCTGATTTCCTTCAGAATGGAGAGGTTTGATCTTCTTGCAGTCCATGGGATTCTCAAGAGTCTCCTCCTTCAAAAGCATCAATATGTTAGCACCCAGCAGCTCCTTCCTGCCCAGGGATGCAGAGAATATCCTCAGCAACCCCCTGCCCACTGTTCCATTGTTTCTGAAAACAAAATTTGGTTTCTCGTGTGAAAACAGGTATGTGTAAAAAAATGGGGGAAGGGAATAATAAACAAACTTGTCTTTGCAAGGGGAGGTTGCTATCATTTTTGGTTACACATTTCCCAGCTCAGCGGAATCCTTTTTTTGAGATGTGGCAAGCAGTCATTTATTCCCATTTTTTATTTTATTTTAAAAATTCAGTCCCTTTCCTAATCAGTGGACTCTCCTCCACTGGAGGTGTTAAACAGAGGTTGAATAGCTACCTGCCTGCGATTCCTCAGCTGCAATTCCTGCGTTGCAGGGGATCAATGGCCAAACTTGGCCCTCCAGCTGTTTTGGGACTACAACTCCCATCATCCCTAGCTAACAGGGAGCAGTGGTCAGGGATGATGGGAACTGTGGTCCACAAACAGCTGGAGGGCTGAGTTTGGCCATCACTGGACTAGATGATCCTCATGGATGCCTTCCAACTCTAAAATTCTATGATTTTACGCTCCCTAGCATGGAATCCATCCCCTCCCCCACCGCGGAGAGCTGTACCCTGGGACGGCTTGTAAAATGATGCCAACTGCCTCGAGTACGTTGACAGGAAGATGGCTGCTGTGTAAAACACTTATTGCACAAGAGTAAGTGCAAGTAAAAAAGGAGCAAAAAAACCCCCCATTTGTTACACTTCTTAGCCACTCCGATTCTATGAATGCAAGTATTTCAAGGCTAACCCAACTGATCTCTCAGAATAGCTGTTGTTGGCATCTATCTGTCTCAAGACACAATGGAGTGTACCTGGGGTGGGTGGGTGGGGAGTAAGACGGCTTCACTAGCAGCACCAACGTGACCTCTCCAGGACACAAGTTTGGGGGTCCTGGGCTGCCCAGACGACAAGACCCCCCCCGACCTCGCTGATGTGGTCACTTTTTCCCTCCTAAAAAGTAAGGGGAAATGTGTGTGCGTCTTATGGAGCGAATGCAGGCTGCGCAGCTATCCCAGAAGCCAGAACAGCAAGAGGGATTGCTGCTTTCACTGCGCAGCGATCCCTCTTGCTGTTCTGGCTTCTGAGATTCAGAATATTTTTTTCCTTGTTTTTCTCCTCCAAAAACTAGATGCGTCTTGTGGTCTGGTGCGTCTTACAGAGCGAAAAATACGGTAGGTGGACCTGCAATTTTAAGGGGCCTGCCCCTGCTGCTGCTGACCCAGGCTCCTGACTTTCCTTTGTGGCCCACTGATGAACCCCACCCCCCGCAACCTGATTCAGACAAGACACGCTCGATTCTCAAAATAAAAATTTATTCAGTAACAAGAACGTTGAATCCGCACCCTGAAAACGCAGTAGTTCACATTTAAAAACAGCCGAACACCTTTGTCGGGCAAAAGTCTATGGTACAAGCCACTCTTGGGTGGGTGGAGAGCAAAGGTCAAGGGGCAGGGGGAGGATATGTAAAAAAGAAAGAAAGAAAAGAAGACCAGCGATAAAAGGAGGTGTTTCTCCCCAAGACATTGCAGGAGGGCTCCAAATTTGCGAAAGACTCCACAGCCACAATCACCGTAGGACAGGGCTGCGTTTAGAGAGAGAGATGGATCAAGACAAGAGGCCACAACGCTCTTGCCAAATTCTCAACCGGAAGTGGCTGAGACAGCCTTGAAGACAGCTCCCCCCACCCCCCAAAAAAGGCACCAAGGCCTGCTATCAGTGCGAAACATGGATATTTTGATTCCACAACAGGGCTTGCTATTCCAGTAGGCACAGCCCATTTCAACAGCCGGAGTTTATCCTGGGCTGGGAAATCAAGAAAGTGGCAGGTGTGTGTGAGTGGATCTCCCCTGTTTGGTGGCCTCCTTTGAGGTTTGAAGGGATATTCTCCAACACAAGCCATGGGGGGGGGGTAGCATCACTCCAAAGGGGGCATCTAAT